TTGAACTATGATTATAATCACAAATATTTTAATTGCATTTGATTCTACTATTATTATTTCATGTATTCACACCTTTGACCTAATTTCCTCAGTGGATATAATTTCTTTAAAAAACCATATATATATGATTGTACAGCTTGATAATAAATTCGTTGAAAAAGAGTCTCTTCGCTGAATACTGTGTTCTTATTACAACTAGAAAACACACATCTAAAGAAAATGATTGACAATTTTGGAATTTACAAGAGATACGTGGACGACACTTTCATTATCTCCAACAATGAGGAGAATTTGGAGAACATCTTGGACTTCTTCAACAACTGCCATCCAGAAATTCAGTTCACACTAGAGAAGGAATCTGACGCAAAAATATCTTTTCTGGACGTCCAATTACCAAGACGTGCACAAGATGGAACACTATAAAGATCCATCTACAGAAAGCCAACGTGGAACGAACAACTTACTAACTTTCACAGTTGGGTGCTCCAATATAAAAAATGAAACCTGATCTGTTCAATGAGCCACAGAATTCGCAGCCCTGATACTATAGAAGAGGAGCTAAACACTCTGAAGAGAATCCACCTCAAAAACGACTACCCAGAACGTTTCATCACAAAATCTATGAAACCTAGATCACCAAAACCGCCCACACTCTCTGCTTCCAAAAATATTCTCTACCTGAATCTACAATTCAATGGAGATTCATCGACAGAAGTACTGAGAGACTGCCTGTCCTGCTCATTGAAGAAAACCTTCTTCACGGCTGAACTTCTGTAGAGTACGTAACCATATGATTGTACACTTTTTGGTTAGATGTTGGAATTAGAAACATTGTACATGACTCTTGTTTAAAACGATTTATGTTTAAATACACATAACTTCCGAGTGCAATTTGAAATACATTATTCTGTTGGTAGCTTCGCCTTCTCTCTGGCCATTTCTGTCTACTCGCTCCACTCAAACCATGTTGTATACTTTGGATTTAATTGCAAGAACCTACTATTCTTATCCGAAGACAACTCTACAACCGGAACACAGCTTCTACCAGTAGACACGATTCCAGCAGTGGATAATATAAATCATTTGTAACAGTGGACTTTAACAACGTATCCAAGTAACATTTTAATTAATATAACTCATTACTGCATTTTGATAATATATTGTTGCATTGTACTCTCATTGACTTGGATTTTTATTCGCATATTTTGTTATTTTAATGAGCTTGCTCTAGACAGTCCCCTACACTCCGACTAACCTCCTCTACGAAACCAATGATCCGCATAAACATGAACGATAAGTTACCACTGTTGGCATCATCAGTGTGCACCTACCAAGTCACCTGCCAGTTTGGAGCTACGTATGTTGGCTGCACCCAGCGTTTGCAGTCTAAAAGTATCATCGAACACTTACCCTCAAGCTTTTATAAAGGAGAAAATACTTCCCACCGCAGCTCTATTCTTTAACACCTGATCGAATCTCGACACGAAGAAAACCCAAATAGTGACTTCAAAGTCGTCTACAGAATACGTGGGAATATCGCTAAAAGAGTACGAATTAAACTTCTTCAAACCGCAGAAGCAATGGCGATTCACATGGTAAAACCTGAACTCTGCATACAAAAAAAGTTTGTTCAGTCATTAGATCTACAGTGAACCTGACCTATCTTAACACTGAAAATGTAATTTTTGTTTCGTCTTTTTCTTGCTTGTTTGTTTCTTAATTGTATAATATTTTCTTCCTTCACCCCTTATTAAATCTCTACCCCTTATTGCCACTGTAGTTAACTTGATTTTACTTCAATTTTAATTTTAGTTGAGATCTACTTGACCCCGTCAATTAGATTATGTCACTTAACTTGCTTGTTTAATCCTACTTTAGTTTCCATTCAACCCATCAACGAAATTTGTTATCTAAAATTTATAATTCTAATAATTTTATCTTAGTTTCTACCTGACTAACGCTTTCTGCAATACGCGATTTGTCATCTACAATTCACAGTTCTAATGATGAATCTTTACAAATATTCATCTTGTTGCTAAGACAATTGACTATTATTTATTATGATATTATTGTTTCCTTTAATTCCTAGAGAAAATTAGGGCTTCGGCCGTCCGTCTCCATTGCGTTCAGTTCTCTGCTAGAGTTTTCACCTGGCTCCAAGTCTGCCCACAAGCTTTCATCTCCTCTTCACATGACCTCCTCCAAGTCACCCTTGCACTGACGACCAACTCGCCGCTTCCCTTTCGGGTTCCACTCGAGCGATGGCTTGTCTAGTGATATCACTTGATGGATTCCTCAGAGTATGGCCAAACCGCCTCCATTTCTTACTGCCTATTTGTTTCACAATCGGTTCTTGCTGGGTTGGTTCGCTCATTGCCAGAGATCTCTGTTGCTGATCTTGTCTGGCCGACAATCTGATCTTGATTATTGAGCGAAGACAGCTGTTAATGAAGGTCTGTAGTTTGTTTGAGATGCTCTTTATGACGCGCTGGCCAAGTCTCTGATCCATCCGTATAGTAGCACTGACTAACTTCACATTGGGGTTGAAAATCCGGATCTTATTTTTGATGCTGAATGCTGCTGACCTCCACACAGACTTGAAAGTAGTGAAAGCTTGTCTTGCTTTTCCGATTCTTACTTTGATATCCTCGTCAGTTCCGTCCACCTGTAGTTGAAACGATGCTTCCTAGGTAGGTAGGTAAAGGAGGTTGTTTCTTTCTTTTTACTTTATATATATATATATATATATATATATATATATGATTGTACAACTTAAGAATGATATCACCGAAAAGAGTAACTCTTCACTGAACGCCATTTCTTTTGAATACATGATAGATCATACTATGGATTAATATGCTTGGTTGTCTGTCGCTCACATTAACCGGTACTGCCCAAGCAGTTAGCCATAATTCAGGTGATTTGAAATGTTTTCTCTCTCTCTAAGTTGAGTTAAACTGAAGATAGAGATGATGAGTTTGGGTCCGAACGAGCGAAATGGCCGTTTTGTAACAATAACCTAGTGACCTCTCAATTATTCAGTCATCACTGGGAGATTGTAACATTTTACGAACCCCTTTCATAGTCACAATTAGCAGGGCAGGAAAAGTAGGCAAGGGATTTCAAACCAAATCAAAAGATCGCCAGCTGTGTTAAAAAGCTGATAAAAAACACCTTTAAAACAGTCAGACAAACCATCTTTTACGATAACAGTATTTCTCTAAGCAGATAGTACAAATTCACATATAAAACCAACTACTCCTGAGCGAATTCAAGTTGAAATCCACCGCCTCCGTTATGCCTATTCAATTATACGGAAATGAAAGCGTGGAGACTATGTTTTTCATAACTTTTATACTCATCCGTCAAATAACTGGTCAACAGGATAACCAGTAACAATACAAGTAAACGAAAGGCTAGAAGAATCTCTCGAAACAACCAGTTACGAACAAATTTATCACGAGGGATGTTTATTACGCTTATGGAGATTAGTTACAGCTTAATTCACTTTGGAGTTAATACTAAAGGTATCTAGAAAGACAATAAAGCCTTTCGATTTGAATCATACAACTCTGAGAACTCAACTACACAAAAAACGCATCTACTACCATACATATCCTTTGCAGACAATCAGGAAGGTGGTTGAATTCTGGCTTCATACGGAAAGATAAACCATGTGATTTGTAGATTGTTGATTAAAGATGATTCCATGGTTGTAGTCAGCAGAAGTCAATAAAAAATATCTATAATTTGGTTTGTAAGGCTTAGTTATGTTTTTATGAGTTGATCACGGATTGATATCAGTTAGAGAACCATTGGAAACCAGGGAGTACTGGACAGCTACTGTTTCATCCTAGTTTGGGAATCATCTCTAACTGATATCAATCCGTGATCAACTCGTAAAAATATAACTAACCCTTACAAACCAAACTATAGAAAATTAATCTGATGCTCGCTAGTGACTTGCTACAGGATGGAGTTTCCTGGAGTTCTAGTGAGAAGTCATGACCAATGAGGTCAAATTAGATGTCACGTGCGTGGATGGATGTCCCACCAACGACAATGGTTGGGGTCGTGCTAAATCACGAATTGGCAGAAGTTAGAATTCATGAGCCATTGAGTCGGGTCCCAGTGGCTGAATGGTATACTAGCTTGTCTTGTAACCGGAAGGTCCTGGGTTCGAGCCCTGACAGTGTGTGCATACCGCCGATGATTCCCAAACGAGGATGAAACAGCAGTTGTCCAGTAATCCCTGGTTTTCAATGGTTCTCTAACCGATATCAATCCATGATCAACTCGTACAAAAATATCTGGAAACAATACTGATAGAAACTAGTAGCAATGATACACTTGCTTCGTTTAAGCCTATGCATGTGATGCATGATTCTCCAAGGATTTGTTTTTTCTGACTACGCCTTTCTCCCACTGCCACTGTTTAGCAAGCTGAACCATCGCATGATTATCACAGGAGGTACAATGTTTTACTCACCCACTGAAACCTTTCAACAGTGCCCATGCATGAGAGATAGACAGGTTCATTCATATTCAGATGAGTTGTTTTCAGCTTTGATCACCATCTGACTTCAGCTAGAGAACCACTGAAAACCAGAAAGTTTTAGTTTGGGACTCTTTAGCGGTATGCACACATCACCCCAAGAGGGATAGGACCAAAGACCCTCAGGTGGTTACTAGGCGAGGTCCTGCAGCACTCAGCCCCTAGGATGGAATTCACTGGCTCATCAATTCTAACTTCTGTCAATTCACGGTATATAGCACCACCATCAGTCACTGTCTCACACCCAACTTGGTGGATACCAGTGGTCACCACTTTCCACTGAAAATACAGGCAACTTCGATCCCCGGCGGTATCACGATCACGTACTGATGAAAAGTCTTGAAGCAGGAGGAAGCAGTTATCTTAAACTCTCCAATTTTCAAAACTTGAAATCAATTAAATTCTTGAAGATCAACACTTGAAGATGTGATATTCATGAACAGACTTCAAATTTCAATATCGATATATAAATGTATATACAATACATTACAGGTCAGCAGCAGTTGAAATAATTAGTAAATAAGAAATTAAATATAAGAAAGCAGTATGAAAGGACAAAATTTAAAACAGATAAGTCTTTGTAAATATGTAGTCATCAAATCACAAAGTAAATTTACAAAATAAGCCACACTGTACATGCATTCTGCTGAAGAAAAAAATAACAGTGATATGAAAGTGGGTAGAAAGAGAAGCATAATCCGAAATTCTCACTTTGCATCTATCTTCTGGAAGCATAAGGTATTAAAAGAGAAAAGAAGGGAAAGAGTTGGATTACAAACATCATTAATAATGGAAATAAATAAGGGGTTTTGTGCATTTATTTGTGATCTTTGTATTTTTTTGTTCAGAGAGCTATATACATACCTGTATAAATTATTAAATGCAAATAGGATTACTGAAATAATTTTAAGTAGTATGAGGCAAAATATAAAAAAATGTTTGTGGGGTTGGGGATGGCTACTTTATAGTTTCAGGCTTTAACTCATTATTCTGATTCATAATTGTATCACCGTTAGTCACTGGGGGCTTTGATATAATAATCAAAGGATCAAGTAGACGTTTGACATTCATGAAATTTTTCTCCAATTCTTTATGATATTCTATTTGGTCCGGTCCAATTAATGATTCATTTAAACAAAGAGCTTCGTAAGATCTAAAATCGATAGAGATAAAAAACAAAAAAGGTAATAAGAAAGGTGTTGGGAATTAAGGAAGGTAGTTATGACATTTGACCTGGGGTATGTCCTTCTACTTTGTATTGTCCCGTTTTTAAGTGTCATTTATCGATGCCTGTGATTTCCTGCACACAAGATCATAAAATAAATACGCCTCAAATATCTCCATGTTCTCACTTGAACATGAGTTACTAGGCCATGACCAGAACTGAACCGCATTTTTCTCCTACCTGCAGCTCGCTAGCTAAATGCACCTACATTCCAGTGAGTGACGGTACGTTCAAGAAAAGTCAAACACAGCGAGTTATTTATAGCCGTTAAAAGAAATAGCGGAAAATTAAAAGTTTCAATAATTAACAGCCGAAAACAGTTGCTTTGGAAACAATGTGCTTACTGCGTTCTAGTTTCACTGTGGATGCTTCCACGTTTAGTCAGTCACTTTAGCCCCAAACCGGAGGAAACACAAATCTCAGAATCGATTGCAAGTCACCTACCAATTGACAGTTACATTAGTTACATTCTGGAGTTGTGTTTATGTTAACTGGCGTTATTAGTACAATATTCACGAATCACTGAATTTTGATTCAAATGGTTGAATGGTAAACTATCTTGATCTCGTAACCTGAAGGTCCTGGGTTCGATCCATCGCGGTTAAGTCGTGGGTGTGCACTGATAAAGAGCCCCAAACTAAGACAAGATAGCTGCCTAGCACTCCTTGGTTTCTAATCTCCTCTACGTGATGCTGGTTTGTGACAAAACATACATGGAAATTATCGAAATACTCTCTCAATAACCTAATTTTTATGATATCAGTAAAAGGTATTAATCAGCGAATATGTATTTTTCTTTGACGTATATAATTCAGAAAAAGATTTCTATGAACTAGGGAATTTAATATTCACAGTCCGTATTCAACTTGCCTATTTGAATATAGGTAGCTTGAAATATAATTAGTCGGAAACAATGGAGGCTGGGTTCAAGTTCCAATGGGGTCATCATCAGTCATAGCGGGTCGCAGGTACATCCAGCGGACAAGTCTCAAATAAGAAGAAATGCGTATCCTAGTGGATTCCACCACTGGTTACTATCCATCAAATAACAGAATAGTTAGCTTCTGTGATACAATGACGGAATCCTATAAAGTGGCGTTACCCTTATTGAACAACTATCTCAAATCTGTCACCACAGTATTCAAAAACAGTGTACTTGAAACACTTTAATATACCACAGTTATAGCTAGAATCCATCTGCAGATAAGACAATGCAGTTACAATCTACGAAGTTACATAGTAGAATACCACCGCTAATTACAGAATAAACTTCCATAAATTGACCACTTAAGCCTTACGTGTAACAGTTACAGAATAATTTGAATATATTCAGAAAAAAAAAACAACAGCACATATTATCACTTTTCTATTATGCAAAGTAGAGTGATAACGATAAACTCGACAGCATACTTTGAAAAACAGTCGGAACACAAAGCGAGACAGGGCATTTCTACATATTGTAATAACAATATTTCAGATGCAAAGAAGAGAAATTACCGATTATATTCACATTTCTTAACATGAGTTCCTTCAAGGTAGCAGACGGAGTTTGCTGACAGTATCAGCAAGCAGGAAACTTAGGTTCAGGGCTTCCTACCAATCACCTCCAAGTATCTAATATCGCTTCAGAGTGCATTGCGATAGTGAACAACTTGGTGACAGCTTTGTGTCCACATCACCTACTTGACTGGTAGAATTCAGTCTGCATCAAAAGAGCGACTCGACACATGGCATTTTTTAACAGTTTAGTTTTGTGATAACTGTGATAACAGTGACTCAAGTGGTCCAGCTAGTCGGCTAGTAGAGGTTATACTGTACCATTGTCCATTTTGTGAGATAAAAACATCCAAATAGAGAAAGAACGAAGTTAGTTGTAACCTTATCTCTGGTTCAGTGAATCTAATACTTCAATGGTTGTTTTTAAGGTTGCTGTGCTGATAACTGCCTAAAGTATACAGGTTACAAACGCCAAAATTTATTAACTTGAATATTAAGCATAAATACAAAACATAAACAAGATACAGTTTAAATTACTTGATAAGGAATATCTGGAATGTTATTCTCAAGCGATTTTGTACATCTTCATATGCGTTTGGATCTAATGTTGTGAAGGAAATATTCTTATCCCCTGATGCAGCTTTGATTGGTTTGTTCTCTTTCTGTCCAAGAAAAGTTGTTGCCATTTCAATTGGTCCTTGGTTAACCATAGCACCAATGCATCCCTGGGATAATAATAATAATAATATGTCACTTGAAGTGAATGTCATTATGGTTAGGTTATACAGTTGAATAAATTTCAAAAATTAGGGTTGATCCGATTATTTTTGTATTAAAAAGAGGTCATTTTGTAACGAGAAAAGACAAGGGCCAGGCCACAGATAGTTTATGGAGAGAAAATCAAGAGATATTTATGAATTTTTATGTACATTAATATTCGTTATTGTTAGCAGAGAAGCAACGTCTTCTGATTGGTTGTTTTCCTGCTAAAGGTTATTCTGTCATCTGTTTGTTGCCGTTTCTTAGACAGTCCGGTGATATATCTGCGAATCGTATCCACCCACGCTAAGTCTGCTGTGATTGGTTGTTGAGTTCCTCAAGGTTAGGTTTTGTTCTTGTTTTTTCTCATGAATAAGAGTTAGGACGTAAACAGTGACGTAAATTGCTCTCCACCAATTTTGGCTGGCAGACAGCTCTCACCACAATTTATAATCTGCATCAACACTGCTGTAGTGATTCACAACATGACAAAGCATGAATCGAATCAGCTGCATGCCCATAAAAAGAATTTAAACAATGATAAATACGAAGTGTTAAATGAAACTACAATGTATTGACATAACTGAATCTCACTTTCAGTATAAGATATGTGATATAATATTATTCTCTCGGGTTACGAGTGGAACACAGGGCTTCAACAGAACATCTTCGTTTCATCCCGTTTTCTTCAGTCGTGTGCAGTTGGCTCTGCTATTGCCCATAAGATTTAATTCCATCTTCGCATCATTAGACGCTACACTCGCCATTTCCCATTCTGGTGCCGCTCGAGGACCTAGCACATAATGTCAATCATTATTCTCCTCAGTGTGTGTCCGATCCATCTCCAGGTTCTTTTGTATATCTACTGGTCAATACGTTCCTGGTTGGTTCGTTGAAATCCAGGAATTTCTTGTTGCTAATCCTTTCTGGCTGACTAGCCATCTAATCTTGAGTATGGAGTAATGGCAGCTGTTGATAAACGTCTGCAGCCTGTGATATTTCAAGTACAATAAATTCAAGTGGAAGTGCATAAAACTGTTATACATTTTAACTTCTTTGGATTTGGTACAATAGGTTAAGAAAGGCTAATCTTAACTAATTTGAATGTCTTTTGAAATGTAGGTTAGAAGAAGCATCAGTTTTTAAAAATTTCATACGGGGACTTGTTGAATTTCATAAGCTCGCAAAAAGTTCAATCGATGTCGACTTCTGCTTAGCATCATCTGTAAAACAGTGAGAGATGTATCTAACTTCTGAGCTATTTGCTTTAAGGACAATGAATAATCAAAAACAGGTAAGTTTAATAATAATTGAAAAAATCTAACAATTAATGACTTTTGGTCTAAATCAGAAAGCCAATAAGAAACTTTGACCCACAAAACATATTGGTAAATATTCAAGAGTTGGTTTGTAGGGATTTGATTGGTTACAGGATTTCATCATCAGCTGACATTGGCTAGAGAACCATTGGTAAACCAGCTGGGAGTACTGGACAGCTGTTTCGTCAGCCTAGTTTGGGACTCTTCAGAAGTACGCACCCACCGCCAGGGCTCGAACCCAGGATCTTCTGGTTACAAGGCGAGCTCGTAGATGAGATGCTCACTAGCGACTTTCCTTATTCAAGTAGGTAGTTACCTGGGGTTCTAGTGAAAAGTCATGACCAGTAGGGTGAAGCAGGTCGGGTGTGAGGACAAATACTCGCCGAAGACATTGGCTAGTGGTCGCGCTATATCGTGAATTGGCAGAAGTTAGAATTCATGGGCTGGCCATTGGGTCGGGTCCCAGTGGCTTAATGGTCTACGAGCTCGCCGGTCTTGTAACCAGAAGATCCTGGGTATGACTCCCGGTGGGTGCATACTGATGAGGAGTCCCGGACTAGGACGAAACAACTGTCCAGTACTCCCAGGTTTTCCAATGGTCCTCTAACCAATGTCAGCTCATTATGAAATATTGGTAAATACTTTAATTACAAGCACAGTGAATGGGACGGGGGAAATCTCATATCAAATAAGTATCACATATTACCTCAGTGTTTATACCTCTCTTCATTGATATACAAAACCAATACTTTATTGTGAGAATGGAATTTTAGGCGTGGTTATTTGGAAAAAAACAGATGTGCTGAGCAATTTACTGAGTAAATATATGACTGTCTTACAGACTATTATTACTTCGAAGTAATTTAAAATGAAGTAAAGTTAATACGTGTGCGTCGGTGGTGCAGCGGTTAGGACGCTAGCCGACCATGCAAATGGCCCGGGGTTCGATTCCCGGCCGACGCACTCCTTTACCTCGCGAAGCCAGTAGCAAGACTGGTAAAGAGGGAAGGTTGGGTATGGGGCTAGCAACCCCATCCTGTAAAAGTAATCACCATTTCTACAGAAAATTCAAGCCTCTAGCTTGAAGCCCTATGTTCCACTGGGAACGTAAAGGAATAAAAAAGTTCATAAACATAAAACTTACCTGTAATATCATTTGTAAGTATTTAACATCCGGTGGGTCTGTTGTTAATGCTCTATCTAATTGTTCAACTCGACGTGTTACATCTTCTAAAGCAACTTCAATCGGTGTTAGGGTATGCGATTCCGCAGATACAACTAATAAACGTGTTTTCATGTAAGGAAAACATCTTGCTGTAGTCAAGATGTATTTACGCTTGTATTGTGTACTCAAACTGCCATGAGTTTGTCCATCTATTGTGAAAGGTGTTGAATGAACGAAGCGCTCTGTAAGGAGATAAAATGGTGCAAGATAAAGTACGGTGATTAAAATGTAAACATTAGAATGAGCATATGCAATAAAGTCTATATAAATAAATATACCGCTATAAGCCTGATGTATACCTATTATAAGTAAAGACTTCAGCTTAAAAAAAAACTGGATACGATGTGTGAACAGCATCAATAACAGGAGTTATTGTAGTGGAATAGAGACTGCTCAGCAGTCCACTTCATCCTCCTTTATGACTGTGAGACCTGGCCATTGAAAGTGGATGACACGGAAAAGCCTGGCCAGCTGTCTTTGACCATAGGTGCCTGCGTTCTATCTCCCGTGGGAAGTGGTATCATAGGGTGAGCAATATTGAAGTGAGGCAACAGTCGAGTGCTAGATAAGTGGGAGGGGAAATCAATCGACGAAGCTGTGAAGTTACATCGACTGAGATGGTTAGGACATGTGTTACGCATGCCTAGCCATCCATCGCCTTCCTCGACGGGCAATGTTAGCTGACTGACATAGGGTCAGGTTGGAAAAGAGCCAGTGGTGGTCAAACCAAAACATGGCTTCATCAGTCAATGAAATTCACAACAGTTAGTTTAAGTCAGCCACGTAGGAAGGTGTAGACTTCCTGGTAGGGGTCCTCGGGAGGGTGAACACCAATGGCTAGAGACAATCGGTGATATGGCTCAAAGTGATCGTTCTCAATGGCTGGCTCAGATGCATCCGCTCCTTGTGACTTATAATACCCAATAGAACTATATTGTTCTTCGATATTACCATTCTTTTTACTGATATCTCTGTTTACTGTCTCTATTTTGCATTTAATTTTACTTTCTTTTCTTGCTTCGTGTGCTACATGAAGTGTGGCAACTAGAACTGCTGCATATCGGTGCAAAGTTCTATGTCAAAACCAGCCAGCAGCAGCTAATCAGCAATAGGTTCCTGGTTGGTTTTTTTCCCCGAGTTTCTTGTTTTTTAGCCTTTCTTGCCATCTGATCTTCAGTATAGAACCAGAGAAGGCAGCTGTTGATAAAAGTTCGAGAGCTATTCGAAATGGCTTTTTGTGATACATACACCAAGCCTTTGGACCATATAAAAACACTGACCTGACAGTAGTGTTGAAGGTTCGAATCTTGTCAGTTATGTTGAGTGCAGTGGATTACCAAACTGATTTCGGAATAACTAACGTCTGTCTTGCTTTTCCTACACTTGCTGGCTTTGACATTCTTCTCCGTGACACCTGCAGTTGAAACGATGCTACCCAGCTAGGTATATGGAAGAGGTGACTACTTTTATATTTCTCTCGTTGATGGTGATTTATGTTTGTTGTCATTGGTTAGGCATTTTCATCACCTGTCTTCCCTGTGTTCACCTAAAGTCCTGTCTACTCTGCTTCTTTCGCCAATTTGTGTGACATTAGACAAAAATCGTCCACGAAATTCACATCACTTGGAGTCTTCCTGTCTGCCTAAAGTACTCCTCTCCTCTCGTTCCTCACTGTCTGCCACACGATCCAGTCCACCACAATCCGGAATATCATCAACGATATTGGGCTGCTGTGTCTTACTCCTGTCTTCACTTCTAGGGTTTTTCCGAGGATAAACTTGTATAAACAGTTATTAGATAATCACTAATGTTTGAGAATACAACTGCTCATGTTCCAATCGATTAAAAATACAAAAGGAGACTATTGGGTTTTTAAAAAAAAATCCACTTACTCAATGCATAATTACAATGAAATTCAGTAGGACGTCTTCGAAGCTCAAAATCTTCTAAATACGGTTCGACAAATGTGATTTGAAGATAAGCCTAAATTATTATGAAAAAGAAGGGAAACACACTAAAAATAATACTGAACATGAAATCTGCACACTTTTTAAACTGAAATTAAAAATGATATCATCATTCTATTTCACAGGTTCTCATCAGCTGCAGACTACCTGAAATTACAATGGTTATATATGGATGATAATAACATACTTTAATGTTTGAGTAGCAGTAGAGAAGAGATAAAATTGACGCATCCAAAAAAGAATGAAAGCATTACAATTTTTAGTTTAAGTTATCATCATCAATTTATACACTTTCAAAGTTGAAAAGAGAGGGGAGGGGTAAGACAGAAAACAGAAAAATTGATTGACTTCTCTACGACATTTCGTAGAGATTTCTAAGTCCTTCAAAATATTAAATAGACAAAGGACAGCAAATTTACTACGGTTTGCAGAAGCGATCGCAATCAAACGATTGAAACCAGATTTGTGCATACAGAAAGAGAGTGTGATTAACCTCTCACTCCCTTGGAAACTGTATTTTGATTTTGATTACATTAATTAGTCATCTAATTCAGTGATCTCAACTCACTGAACAAATCTTAATCTCATAAACTGTAACCGCCTTTGTTTTTTGGAGTTGCTGTGCGAACCTACAAGCTGACACTGTTTCTGTTAATCAATTTTTCTGTTTTCTGTCTTACCCCTCCCCCTCTTTTCCACTTTGAAAGTGTATAAATTGATGATGATAACTTAAACTAAAAATTGTAATGCTTTTATTCTTTTTTGGATGCGTCAATTTTATCTCTTCTCTACTACTACTACTACTACTACTACTACTACTACTCAAACATTAAAGTATGTTATTATCACTTATATAACCATTGTAATTTCAGGTAGTCTGCAGCTGATGAGAACCTGTGGAATAGAATGATATCATTTTATACTGCAAATTTCGTCTTCCTTTCTTTATCGAAATTTATCAAGGGGACCAATTGTATGAATTTAAAAAGTCAACCCGTGTCAGATAAAAACAAATGCTAGAAGACATACACTATCCGTAATGCCGGAATCACAAAAATATCCTACAAAATATATAACAAAGAAAACTTAAATAAGAGACCAATTGAAAAGTACTTGTAACAACTTGATGGCATTATATTAACAACACTCAACAAACAACTGGTTTAGTCTTATATATGTTTTGAAATAATGGTGTTTGGTTTAATTGGTGGATGGTGACTAGCAGTAGAATCCAGGATGCGCATTTCGTCTTATTTGGGACTCGTTAGTTGAATGTACCTGCATTTCTCAGTGAGTGATGATGTTCCCACCGAGGCTCGAACCCAATGCCCATGGTTTCGAATGCCAAACGTTATCCACTAGACCATTTGGGCCACGAGAGTCACCTCTTGTGCAACGGGTCATATTAATTATTTAATTCAATTTTTTAGGTTTTCCCGTCGATTGATTGGACCGATGTGCTCGATCTCAGGTTGACATGTCGGCTTCTTGTGCGGATGCTTCAATGAGTCCCAAATAGGACGAAATGCGCATCCTGGATTACACTGCTAGTCGCCGTCCACCAATTAAATACAAATTAAATGCTCAGACATCGTCGAAGCATCTGCACAGGAAGCCGACATGTCAACCTGAGACCGAGCACTTCGGTCCAATCAATCGACGGGAAAATCCAAAATTCAATTTAAAAAAAGGTGTTTGACATTAGGAAAAAATCGTCCACGAAGTTCAAACCTCTTGGAGTCTTCCTGTCGGCTTAACATACTCCTCTCTTCTCGTTCCTCACTGTCTACCACACGATCCAGTCCACCACAACATGATGCAGGTATTGTCTCATGTAAAGTGTTATGCAAAATAAGTCCCTGTCACGATTATTAATGTCTCTTTTAATGACGGCATTCATGTCGATACTTATTTGCAGTCATGTAGATTCAGAGAATATGTATGTATATATATGATAACAGCTGGCGTAAGTTGTTGAATGCACAGTAGGTTAGTTTCATGTAGCCGCTAACGCGCTGATATTTTAGGCGTGTCTTTTTGTACACACTGCAGAAGTGAATTTCTGTTAAACTCAAATGTATTACTTTATTACTACCAAACTAACACTAACAAGATGTTAATGATTTTAATATTAAATTATAGAAGAATTATCCATACAAATAGTATTAATAAAATCCCCCATTAACATACTTTGTCAGCATCTAGTTGTTTCGGATCAACAACATTTGAATCTTTTATGATAATCACCTTGCCTTGACCGAATTTAGCTTCATAAAACGTCTAACAATTGAACAATGAAAAGTAAGACAAAAAAATAGGCATAATAGTAAATTAGATTAAGAGAGAGGTATATTAGCAGCAGTGTTTATGGCTCAGCTCAATAAATATCTTCTCTGTTAGCAGATAAAATGAGCCGTGCTACGTTCATGTTAGGCAAAGAACAAGGTTCAAGCGGCACAATATAGTCACAGCTTAATACCAGTACGGATATACTTGGTGTGATGTAGACTGGCAAATTGAAGTCATCGGCATGCTAAGAATTGATGGTTCAAAGCTACTGGTAACACAGTTCACAGTCATTCTCAATACTACAGATGTATACACCCTTTATCTACCTTCAGATTCTAAAAACTCTAGTGAATAGTCGTCTGATTATTCCTTTTAGCGTACATCTTTGTCTATTTTGAGTTTCGCTATATTTTTTCCTCTACCTTTATGTGTGCATTTTGTGAGAAAGTTCTAAGTCGATAGTTCAGGTCGATTCAAGATATGTGTAGGGAATTATCATTACTAGACAAATGACTGAAACGTTTAAAACCATATTAATTGTTACATTGAACGAGAAACAACATTAGATTATTAAACCTGAAAGTGAAAATAATGATATTATTTGAGAAAAACAGTCAAGACGACATGTTATGATATTCAGAAGAGTCAAAAGGTATCCAGCTATAAGAAGAGAGACACTTGAGCATTTGTCCAAAAGTATAGTCAGTAGGTAAGTTAGGCATTCAGAAAACATTTTTACACAGAAAGCTCCGTTGCCCCTGCAAAGCACTGGATCCAGAACTTTCAGATTACGAAGCTTAGCTCATTACCTAAAAGTCGCGGGTGGGAGCATTGTTGTCCCCCACTGAATGGTCCCATATTAGAACGAAACAGCTGTCCAGTGCTCCCTGGTTTTTAGTGACCCCTAATTGATGCTAGTTAGTGACGAAATCTACAGCGAAATTAATCCATATCCTTACGAATGCCCATAGTCTAAACAGTGATATATGTGTGTGTTTGAGTAGCACACTAAATTAAGAACTTATGATCAAAGTCTGCTCACACTGAGTTATGCTATTAATACATAAGAATTGAAATCAATATTAAACGGATAACCCAGTGAATGTCAAAGCCTGCAGCTTCTGAGTTGTATGTTGAATTTGACAGTGAATGGGCAGAGAATGTGATCCAGTGATTGACTCTCAATGCCTTTTTAAGTTATGTACAAAAAGAGAACGTGAACTGTCTCAAGAATATATCTTAATCTATTACCTCCTAAAATAATGTAAATGTTTAGTTAACTTCAATGTATTCCAGACTCATACTTACCTGAAGTCGATTAGTTATTTCAGCTAATTTTGTGTATGGAGCTTCTTTATATATAAAATCATTACCATTTAAATCATCAAATAAACTACCATGGAAACCAACTCGAAAATAACTATTGAACATTTTCTTGTTATTCTGCAGAAATAGAAAAATAAACAAACACGTAAATCTGTAAATTTACAGCATTCTGCTTGTTTCTATGATATTAATAAAGAATGCTGTGAATATTTCAAAGTATATAAAATGCACAGACTCAAAAACTATTTGTTTTCTCACTGTTCTTTGTTGGTATGTTGGCTCCTAATATGCACTTCTTTTCAGAGATGTCTTTAGGTTAGCGTGTAGTTATTTTATTCGATAGACACTAGCAATGGAATTCACCAAGATGCACACTTCTTTCAATTTGTGACTCACCATCACCTAGATGTGCCTGCAATCCGTGGTGAGTGGTGGTGTTTCCACTGAGATTTCATCTATGAACGCATTTTTCCAAACACCAAAGTATTATTCACTAGGCTACGAGGGCCACCTAGACCAATTGTTCAAGGCTCATTCTGGATTCCACCGCTAGTCACCATCAACGAAGACAGATTTAACAACTGCTCATATACTATTCATCAGACAGCCATATATATGACTAATTTTATTTCTAGTTACTGGTAGAATTTCATGGTATGTGTGGAGGTGAGGGATTTTAAAAGAGAAAACTAACGAAAGCAGAATTTACCTCAGTGGAGTCCATTCTATTGAAGTGAGCCGTTTAAACAACGCAGACAGCCAATAAACCCTTATTAGAAGCTTTTAAAAGAATAGTTCAAAACACGGGTTGATATCAGTTAGAGAATCGCTGGAAACCAGGGTGTAATGGAGAGCTGTTTCGTCCTAACTTCAGACTCTTCGCCAGTACACACTCATCACACCAACAAGGATCGAACCCAGGATCCTCAGGTCACAAGGCGTTGATCATTTAGCTACTGGGACAGAAACCACTGGCCCGGGAAATCTAACTTATGTCGATTCGCGATTTTTATCGCCACTGCTAATCAGTGTCATCGGCGAGTATTTGGCCTCACAATGAACTTGGTGGATTCCACTGGTCACGACTTCTTACTACAACTCCAGGAAACTTCAGTCTGTAACCAGGCACTGGTGGGTATTTAAAAAATTAGTCGCTCATCCCCTCAACTGAGTAACAATTAATTATTTGACTTAATATCTATTTTCTAAAACATCCAACAACCAGTATTAATGGATGAAATATTAATATGCCCATATCTGTTTGTGTGTGTGAACTTGAATTTCCGAAAACATTTGAACATTAGAGCTGAACAGTACATAGAAATAAGATTTGAAGCTTCTTGTTGTATGATTATACCCGTTTCAGTGCAGATTTAGTCAAAGACCGACATCAAATAGACAGTCACTGAAAACCTTGAAGCACTGGACAGCTGTTCTGTCCTAGTACCAGATCCTCTAACAGTGCGTAATCATGATCCTACCAGGAACTGGTTACAGAACTTCTCGGTTACGACTACAGCCTATTGACCCTAGAGTCACAGCACTAGAAACCAATGACGTGTATTACTTTGCAATGACTAATAAAAAATAGTCAAAAATGGTTCGCCCAATGTATCTTTATTGCTGTGTAGTATTTGAATAACTGACGTTTTTAACCGATGCAAACTGTGAACACTCCATCTAGAGCCTGTAGAAATCACTAATTTACCAACAATTAAAATCACATTTTTATTTACAAAATAGAGTTAAATTACTTGAGTTTTATTCAGTAGAGCATATGAATCTCTTATGCGTCCATGGATTTCTGCTAGACGTCCATAATCATTACTGGATTGCAGCAAGGCAACAAGACGTGAATATAAACAAGGCACTATTTCATAAAAACCAGCTTTTGCAAAAGATTCCGCTGTCCAAGATACAAGTGCCATAAAACCAGGTGTTGTAAAATGCCAGGATACATCTAGGGGCATAAGAGATGCAGACAAATCTTGAGGAATAACGGGTATAGAACAGCTGAAATTGTCATATACACCTGTAGTGGGGAATCCACATGCGCAGCTTTCTTCAAGAATATTTAAATTCTTAACTGCATCAGCAATATCTGAACAACCAGCTGTAGATAGTCCAAGTGGGCTAGAGCCTCTGTTGACAAGGTGTTCAGCCACAATAGCAGTACAATGCGCCAAACATTGTGAAGCTTCTGAGAATTGGGTAAGCTGTTAAGGAAAATAAAAGGCATATATTCGTGAAATTTAGGAGAATATAGCAACAAACTGTCTTGATAAATACAAAGCCCAACGTTTGACTTATGTCATGGCAATGTGATTGCCTATTACAATGCATAATTGCTCTCCACAGCCTTGTCCGAAGTCAATGTCATTTGACAATATCCTTAACTATCAAGTGTTTTGTGAATTCTCAAAAACACTAAGCATGAAATTGTAAATTTCAAGGCGTGTTAAAGTTTTCCTTCTTCAAACAGACTTGCAGTCAGTGAGAAACAGATAGCGATATATTTCAATGGAGATTTCGTCAGGAATCGACATCAATCAAAGATCATTGAAAACCGGGGAGCACTGTACAGCTATTTCGCCCTAGTTTCGAACTCTTCCAAATGTCAGACTGTTAATTTCAGTTTCAAAAGTAAACGAAAGTCAAATGAGGCTGTTGGTTCCTATGACCCTTGCAAAATTGATGATACTAATATAGAAACCAAGTCTGAAGTTAAGTATCTTGGATTAATTCTACCTTCTGACCTATCCTGGTCCTCCCATGTCTTAGCGATTTCTAAAAGAATATTTCGCTTGACTTTTTACATTAAGAAGTTAAGGCACTTAGGCATAACCCAACCACTCCTCTTACAGTTTGTCAACTCGTGTATTTTACCTATTCTTTTTTACTGTTCACCCTTATTCTTTCCTAGATTGCTTAAAAAAGACTATGTCATACTTCGTAGAACTCTGAAGACTGTCAGTAGGACGAGTGGTATCCCATTGGGCCATATCATGGAAATTGTCATTGATAGGCACTTGATGTCATGCAAAAAATTCGCTAAAGGAATTTTGTCAGAATCTGAGCACCCACTCTACCCGCAGCTCCAACCTTGTGTCTCCTCAGATAAAACAAGAAGTCTTTTCAGAAGAATTTATGCACGTACGTCTAAGTATAAAAATTCCACTATACCATATTTAGCACGTACTTTATGTGATGAAAATAGCGTCAAAAATGAACTAACTAACCTTCTTTGCACCACTAAATAAACCATTTCCTCCACCCTTAAAGCATCAAACTTTATTGTTATTGTATTTCTTATATTTATAATCCTCTCAATTTTTGTTTTTGTTTATTTTTTTTTCATAAGTGTGAACATAATTTAAGCTGTGTTATAACTGTTAATTTTGTATTTCCCCTCACTACACTATATCAACAGAACATTAGATCCAATAATCTATAACATGCTAAAGTTTCCAAACTAAATCGACAATACCGTTTGAAACAAACTCACTGTTATTATTATTATTATTATTATATTTAATAATCTCAATTCGTGCTTCGAATATTTTTGACTTTATGTCGTAAATGTGGACAAATTCCTCCGGTTAATTTTGTTTGAATTTTTAGTTTTATTTATATTTTGAGTAAATCAGATGCAATATTGTGACAAATGCTGAGAATTTCATTCTGTATTATAAGTACTGTTTTCGGAATAAAGTAGATTATTATTATTACTCAACAGTACGCATCTATGACCCTATAAAGGATCAGATTCGAATCCAGGTGAGGCCGTGGATATTCACTCCAGAATGGTTCCAAATAGGAACGAAACAGCTGTCCAGTACTCACTGGTTTTCAATAATGTTTAGAGGATACTAGTTCGTGACGCTGAGCCACACTTATTGGATGACAGCTGCAAGCCAGAGTAGTCGAAACGGGTTTCGAACCCATGTCACCGTTGTTGGGAATTTAGCGTATAGACTAGTAAGCCATAGCCGCCTACGTATTAGGGGATAAAAAATGAGTTAACTGATAATACAATATATCAAAGACTACCATTGGACATATTTATTTTCCCACTGATAAACTTGAAATATACCAGAAAACTGTTTTTAAAATATTTATGGATTGGAAAACAGAGTAGAATTGTCCATCTGGCCCAGTAAACCTGTAGCAGTTGCCATCAAGATGGGTTTGCAGTCGTTGAGAACAACAAATTCTCAAAAGGATCCCTATATGCACCATGTTGTATCAAACTAAAAGACTTTTTCTTCCTTTACGTTCCCCAGTGGAACATAGGGTTTCAAGCTAATAGCTTGAAGTTTCTGTAGCAGTGTTTATTTTACAGGATGGGGTTGCTAGCCTCATGCCCAACCTTTCCTCTTCACCAGCATTATTTCTGGCTTAGCGAGGTAAAGGAGTGCGTCGGCCGGGGATCGAACCCTGGACCATGTGCATTGTCGGCGAGCGTCCTAACCTCTATACCACCGACGCACATCAAACTAAAAGATTTTACCTCTAAACAATTCAGGTTTACCATGCTTCTCAAGCATAAGAATCAATTATTGCATTATTTTTTCAAAGATAATAACAATTTTTCAAAATATCCACTCTTCAAATTGAATACAGTTAACAAAGAGGAAACGTACTTCATAATGCTTCTCAGCTATCTGTAAAAGCCAATATAATCTTAACTCAGGTGATATACGACTTCGATGAGATATAGAATGCAATAAATCAATGGTGATAAGAGTGTCCTCATTGGAAATTTGTTTCCGATAATCATTTGTCTGTTGTTTTCTATGCAGATTAATAATTGCATCTTGTAATCTTAAGGCATCATTTAGTAGCTGTTTCAAATTATCTGCTAATTGACAAACTTGAGCATTGAAACTTGTATTTGGAATATTTGATATAAGTGGGATTGCTGGAACCACTGTTGTTGTTGTTGTTGGCGTCGTCGTTACCATAGAAACAGTATTATAACCATCATCAAAATTATTCAATGATGAAGGTGATGTTAAGCTTACAGATTCAATGTATTTCTCTGCATTAAATAAAGTTTCTTCATGATTATTGTTTAATAATCCCGTAGGTAGATTTAAATCATCATCTGATAATGTTAAATGTTTCAATTGACTAAGTGAGTCAGTTAAATATGTTTTAAATGCAGAAATCGATGAACTGGATAGATTTTCTTGGTAATTAGTATTATTTGAACATTCAGATAATATACTGTTTGATTTCTTCATTCCACTGACCAATTTGGTAAAAAATGAACTGAACGTTAAGTACAAATGTACTTTTACAAACGATAAACCCTTTTAGTGTAAAATTTAAAAAAAAATAAAATAAAATAAAAATAACTGAAATGTATGACAAGTAGAGATAGAAATTTTGTGAAATGTCAAATAACCAAATGCACATTAAGAAACATCATCCTGATGACAAATATCGAAAAGAAAAATGGTTTCAGTGAAGCGAATTTTCTTTCCGACGAAGTCATCAGCTAGCAAAATGGACAAGAAAGTTCCAGAACTATATCCGGTCGAGGGGCAAATTTAATAAAATTGCAAAGTGTAGTAAACAGGACGATCGGATTAAAACTGTACTTGACTGTGATATTATTATTGTTGTTATCGCTTGTTGTGACCCTTCTTGTTGTGAATTATTTTCCTGTGCTGGTGTTGTTCTGATTGTTTTATTCCTTGCTTTCCTGGTTTTAAGAGGAGCAACCCACAAGGTCGCTTCTCTCTAAACTAATATTTTATGTAACAATCCCCTTCTCAGGCGTGAGGCCAGCAACCTCACCCTGCAAACAAAGTTGCTACAGAAACTTCTGCACGATGAATCTCCTTGCGCCAAAAGAAAAAGTCTGTGTGGGGACATGGAATGTCCGCACCATGTACGAGATTGGCAAAGCTGCCCAGATTGCAAACGAAATGAAAAGATACGGAATTCAAGTACTGGGGATATGCGAAAGCAGATGGAACGGGAATGACTCACCAAATTGTCGACGGGTGAGTCAGTGATCTACTCCGGTCACCCAGAGGATAACCACATGCACACTGAGGGCGTGGCTATCATGATGTCACCAACGGCAACGAAGGCCCTGATGCAATGGGAGGCGATCTCGCCCAGGATAATGACCGCCAGATTCAACTCCAAAGGAAGGATTAAAACATAATAGGATCAGAATTGCTGAGAGATTGAAGTTTTGTGCAAGTATCGATTAACGAAACGTAGAATTAACAGAAATAAACAGGAAGTTTGGATAAGAAAGATAATAGGATAATCACCATTGAGAGAATTGACTGTTTATGATGGCCATGGTAGAGAAAAGGCGAGACGTATCTCTTTTGGTTGCACAGCATCGGCTTGATATTTTGGATCGTAAGTGCCTCAGCTATGACAAATGCCTTGATTTCACTAGACTTGAAAGGTTTAATCGGGTCTTGTGTATGACTACGAAAGCTGAATATCCTGAGTTTATCACATTTTCTTTTACTAAGCTATATACACACCTGCTTGCCCCTTTTGCTAGCCAGGCTGGATAGTGTTCCCAAGAGCACTTTACAAGCGGACAGCGTATGTACTCAGCTCCACAAGAGCAAGTGAACTGCTGTATGTGTGCTGAAGTGGGCAAATGTAACAGTTTGTCTTTCACATGCTAAGTGAATGGTTTATTGCAAGAAAATGTCACTCGTGGGTTGGTGATAAAGCATGTTTTACTGAAAGATGTCGAAAGTCGTTTATGGAGAATTTTTGCTTCAGAATCACTTTTAAACTCGAAATAAAACAGCAACATCTATTTGAGGGCAACTTGGACCTGCTCACAAGCTGTCTTTGCTGTAAGATTCTTGTCTACAAATCTGGATAGGAAACCATTTTGTATCAAGATTCCTTTGGGATTTTGCGGTTCTTCGTCAATAGACTCCTCGGTACATATTTTCCGAATCAGTGAGGAAAGAGAATATATGAAGTTTCTCTTTCTACTTAGACTGACTATTTCACGTAGATCTCTTCAGAGAGTTATCGTCATCTCTTCACAGTTGGACATCGAGGAAGTAGAAGATTGCATCAGTTTAAACTTCCAGAGTGAAGTCAATGTTTGGGTGGGCATTATAGATTAAAAAATTAACGGTACACATAGACTTTCAGTGTACAACAGAGAGCAGGGTATCAAGGATAGGAACTACGGTAAATTAAACTTCGACTAAGGTCCAGATATTATAATATTGTTATTCCATTGGGTACTGAATGGAACAAAAGACTACAGCAGCGCACCTCCATTTTACCCTGTTATCTGCAGTTGTTCTTAGCTGTCTTAACGATCATCCACAAGCTCTCATCACCTCCCCAACTTAATCGCATTACGTTCATGCCCAACTTGTCTCTTCCCATTAGGGTTCCACTAGACGGTCTCTCCAGCGTATCTCCAATCCATTCGCATTTTCTCCGACATATTTGCTGAGCAGTAGGTTGTTAGTTGATTCATTGTCAGAGTTCTTTTTGCTAATCGTTTCTGGCCATCTGATCTTCAGTTAGGAGCCAATGAAGTCAGCTATTGACGATAGTCTACAACAGGTTGTTGGAAATGCTTTTGGTAACTCTCTGAGTCTCCGAACCATATAGAAACACTGAAATGAAATTAGTATTGAAAATCACATTCTTGTTCTTTATGCTGAATGCAGAAGACTTCCACGCTGATTTCAGGCTAGTGAAGGTTTGTTTGCCTTCCCAATTCTGCTTTTAAAATCTTCATTTGTGCTGCCTGTAGTTGAAACGACGATACCGGATAAGTGAAATAAGTAACCTCCCTCAAATTTTTACCTTTGGTGGTGATTGGTGCTTGGTGTTGGTTAGGTGTCTTTATCATTATTACTATATTGTTATTATTGTTTCCTTTAATTCCTAGAGGAACATAGGGCTTCAGCCGTGCGTCTCCATTGCATTCGGTTCCTGCTTGAGTCTTCACCTGGCTCCAAGTCTGTCCACACGTTTTCATCTCCTCTTCACATGACCTCCTCCAAGCCACCTTCGCAATGACGACCAACTCGCCGCTTCCCTTTCGGGTTCCACTCGAGCATTGGCTTGTCTAGTGATGTCACTTGATGGTTTCCTCAGAGCATGAGCAATCCATCTCCATTTCTTCCTGCCTATTTCTTTCACAATCGGTTCCTGGTTGGTTCGCTCCCAGAGATCTCTGTTGCTGATCTTTTCTGACCGGCCATCTGATCTTGATTAGTATTGAGCGAAGACAACTGTTAATGAAGGTCTGTAGTTTGTTTGAGATGCTCTTTATGACGCGCCAAGTCTCTGATCCGTATAGTAGCACTGACTTCGCCCAGGTATCTTTATCACGTTTATCTTAATTATGTCTACTTGAAGTTCTGTCTTCTCTGCTTCTTCTGCCAAGGTCGTGGTTAATTTTTAATGAAAATAGACCTCTGTGTGTTAAGGGTCTAGAGACATGAGACTGAGATTACCATTTAAAAACGAAATCAAAAATCCAACTTTGCCGGTCAGATATTTTACCGATAGCAAAACAAGTTTCATAGTGGAAACTAGATTTTTCTCAGTTAGGAAGTTTAATTCGCATAATTGCACTTAGCCAGTCATAGAAAAGAATCCTGACAAAACGACACTATTATTACGTAATATTAGCAGTATAAACTCCAAATTTTATAAGAAAATCTTTTGTTAGTAAGGAATACGTAACGCAAGAACTTACATTGGTCAGTGTGTAATAGTTTTTCATAAGGAAGTACAATGTAGCCACTGCTTCGTCACGAACAGCTGAGTGTTTTATGGTACATAATGTTAACAAATGATGACAACAAACTGAACAGAACTCTGGATTATCTTCAAATAAAAAGCTGGGGAACTGGAAAAAAAAAGAAACATTCAGAGGCAAAGTGTTAGTGGGTCAAAACAAAATACCAAGAGAAGCAAATTTTACTAGACATATTATTATTATTGTTATTAAAACGTAAACTTGGTATATTATGGGCGCCAATTGATTCACTACACGAAATGTCATAGTTTGTACGAGGGCGAGGATATTGTCAAGACACACAAAGAGAATCAAGAGGTTATTTTAAGGGGCCATCCCCGGAGCTTTTGACTTGCATTCTGAACCGCAAGGCAGTGGAGCAGCGTCAGGAGCTAAATTCTCATGGTTACTGGTAACCATAACAAGTTCACGCACCATTCGATCCTTTCAGATTCTGGGGCTCATGTGCACGAAAGGGTTGGAATCAGGGTTTTCCAGTCCTCCTAGTTAAGCCTGTATGCCCATCAATCTGGTTATAAGCGCCAAAAGCTCTCACTAACCTTCTCACAGGCTAAATGAAGGTAGTGAATGTGACTCAATTGGAAGAAGCTATGAACGTGTGGTCACATACGAGCATTTGGTGAGGAAGACTGAAGTCTACCCACTGTCAGTTGTACCATGTCGTTTATGAAGGCCATTCTACATAACACGTAATGATACAGAGTTATTTACTTATTGATGAATGCCTAATTTTATAACACACTCTAAACTGATTATTTATTGTAAAATGTACCGGAAAAATTCATTTAACTTATAAGATTCTGGCTTTTTTCCCTTCTTGAATGTACTGAAGATATATTCAGTGTAAACGGGGAAGAATCAACTGCATAGATCTGTGATATTTTTCAGCTAACTTATTATTATCATATCGTTATTCCCTTGGGTTAGGATTAGAACACTTCACTCTGTCCTCTTCAGCCTGTTTTAGCTGGCTCCTGGACTGCCCATAAGCTCGCATTTTTTCCATATTACCCTTGGACGCCCAACTGGTTATTTCCTACTTGAGTTCCACTTGAGGAATAACCTGGTACGCGATGTCACTCACTGGACTTCTCAGAGTGTATCCAGAATATTTACACTTTCTTCAGCGTATTTTCTGATCGATAAGTTCTGTATTGGTTCGTTGCACACCCAGAATTTCTTATTGTCAATCTTTTCTGGCTATTTGATATTCAGTATGGAGTGAAGGCAGATGTCACTGTAGCCTATTGGAAATGCTTTTCGTGACTCACATGCTAAGTCTCTGTACTATATAGAAGAACTGACTGAACTGACTTACAAACCCGAATGTTGTTGTTTATTTTTACGATTTGATCACGGATTGATATCAGTTAGAGAACGATTCAAAACCTGCAGGGAGTAATGGACAGCTGTTTCATCCTAGTTTCTGGGAATCATCGGTAGTACGCATCCACTGGGGTTCTTCCAGTTACAAGGCAAGCTCATATACAAACCAACCCTTGAAAATTAATTTGATGCTCGTTAGTAACTTGCTACAGGATGGATTTTCCTGGAGTTCTAGTGAGAAGTCATGACCAGTGAGATCCATCCAGTCAAGTGTTAGGATGGATGACCCATCGATGATAGTGGTTGGTGGTCGCGCTAAATCACGAGTTGTTAGAAGTTAGAATTCATGGACTAGTCTTTGAATTGGGTACCAGTGGCTGAATGGTATACGAGCCAGCTTGCCTTGTAACCAGAAGGTCCCGGGTTCGAATCCCAGTGAGTGCGTACTGCTGGTGATTCTGAAACTAGGATGGAACCACTGTCCAGTACTCCCTGAAGGTTTTCAATGGTTCTCTCACTGATATCAAACCGTGATCAAATCCTTACAAACCAACTATAGAAAGTTGTTGTTTATGCTAAATACAACAGATGATTTATGATTACTTTCCAGGAAAACAAAAATAGCACTTTATAAATAATATTTAAAAAAAAGTAGATACTCAAATTGACTCACTCGAGAAATTACACGTCTTAAGCAGAGTAGAATACGCTGATAGCCCGTTACACTTTGACTAAGACTTAAAGCATATAGCATAACACGGATAATGCAGCCAATAAGACACTGATTTGATAAGGCACTGCTATTATTCGTATTGTTATTATTAGTTGTAGCATTCGACTTCTTATAAGGTAGGATACAATTGAATGAATAATTATAAAATGTAAACAAAGTTAAACCAGGTCGACCAAGCGCTGTATCCAACTGCCATAATCCCTAAAACAATCAGTAAAAGAAACGTTTTGTTTTTTATAAAGTCAGATATGCTGAAAAATTTAGACAAATAGCAGAATTGAGTTGTACTTTAAATAAAGAAAATTGCAAAACTTTGGACTCTGAGTCATGACAAAGTCAACATTAATAACCATGATCTTTGATACCATCAATGCTATTTCATAGTCTTTGGTTGATATGAAATACTAATTCTGTTGGCAAAATGTTAAAAAAAATGTAATGTAAAATGCTTCCTTCAGTGTAAAGTCTCTAACTTCTATTAACGAATAGTGGAATCCAAGATGCGATTTTTATTCTATTCTATTATTAAATACCTAGGTGTCATTCTATCTGCTGATCTTTCCTGGTCGTCTCATATCTTGACAATTTCTAAGAAAATATTCCGTCTTACCTTCTACATCAAGAAGTTAAGACATTCTGGTATAACCCAACCCCTACTCCTACAATTCGTTAATTCTCGCATCCTGCCTATTATTCTCTATTGTTCCCCCTTAGTTTTTCCTGGGCTACTGAAGAAAGACTATAACATATTACTCAGGATGTTAAAGGTTGTCAGCAGGGTAAGCAACGTGCCACTTAACCAGCTTGTTAATATTCTGGTTGACAGGCACATGGACCCATGTGAAAAATGGGTCAAATCCATTTCATCTAACTCACACCACCCTCTCCACTGACAACTCTCCCCTTGCATCTCATCAGGTAAAACCAGAAGCCTATATAGAAAACTATATGCTCGCGCCAGCAAGTACAAAAACTCAACCATACCCTACTTGGCTGGTGTTCTGTGTGATAAAGAAAGCATTAGTCGTGACACCTATAATTCATTAAATAGTCATTAGAACAACTGGACCTTGTCTTTCCAACTCATATAATTTATAGGTACAAAGTTTTCTTTCTTTTCCTTTTCTCTCTCTCTTTTTTCTTTTTTTTTTCCGTTGTGTGCTGCTTTTTTTCTTTCTTCCGCTTACGCCAGTAAATATGATACCAACTACTTTGGAAAAAATGTTCAACTTTATCTTTGCTACCGACATGCCAATATGTTGTTGTCATAATGAGCTGAGGTTTTTTTAGTCTATATATAATTTTATTCATTGATAATGTACTAACTGGATGCAATACTGTAGTAAAAATGCTGAGAATTCCATTCTGTATCACAAGTACTGTTTTCGAATAAAGTAAATTATTATTATTTTATTCTATTTGGAACTTATTCGTCAGCCAGAGACATTTAGCTGTCTAGAATATCTAAGTAACAATTCTCTAGGTATACGCCTATATAAGAAGCTTGCATTCATGTTATGAAAGTGACGAATAATGTAGTCAAGTGTTCTGACTGAGAGCATATAATGTCTAAGTGTTAGTTTGTGAAGATTTAACTGGTTTAAAGTTTGATCGAGGATTGATTTTAATTAGGGAACCATTGAAAACCAAGGATTACTGGAGAGATGTTTCATCCTTATTTGGGACTTTTCAGCGGTAGGCACCTGTGATCCTTTCGGAGAGAGAGCTTTACTGATGATCCAGCCACCATTTGACCTAGTAGAACTTCAGTGGTCATGACTTCTCACCGGAACTCCAAACAAGTTTGTTCTGTAGTTAGTCACTAGTGAGCATCAGAAAAATTTTCAGATGTTTGTGTGACAGTGACTGGGGGTGGCGCTAAACATCGCGACTTAGTAGAAATTAGAATTCATGGGAAAATGGATTCACTTCCAGTGGCGGAATGGTAACCGACCTCTCCTTGTAACCTGAAGGTCTTGGATTTGATCCCCGGTTGGGTTACGGGTGCACGGTGCTGAAAAGTCCCTAACTAGGACGAAACATCTGCCCAATAATCCTTGGTTTTCAATGGTTCTCTAATTAATATCAATCCGTCATCCAGCTTCACAGTATATATGGTCTAATATAGACGTTTAGGTAAAATATAAGTTAACAATTCCACAAATATTTCCATCTTTTTTATTTAAATATTTCGACAATAATTATTCATCCTGTTGCTGTCAGATTAAGACAAAAGCTATTAAACCAATTCTGAAGCAGTCGCAAATATTTTTAGCTCATGAAATGGATACTTAGTTACAGATTCAGGTTTGCCTTTGATTTCACTGCGATGTTAGTAACGTTCAACATAATTACAGAGCAGATGATCATGTTTGGCTTTTCATGAGAATTTATATGGGTTCTCGCTGTAGGTGATTAAATGATCGGAAAATCCCTTCTGAAGAACTATTCCCAGTATTGATATTTGTTTAAATATTTCGCCTAGTTGTGTAGTTACCACCTTTTTTCCCCCTTTACTTATATGTTTTATCATTCTAACATGTCCATATCTTCTTTTGATTTAATCTTTACTCTATTAGTCTTTGTTTGCTCTTGACTCCTATTCTTAATGTTCCATTTTACTATTAGGTGATGATAGACTGTTGTGGATAACGTGTTGTTTTATGCTTGCGATTTTGTTTGAATTAACTCAAGGTTATGCCATGCGAACTGTTTGACCTCAGACTGTCAGCCAGAAATGCGTATATTCCGTGATTTGAAAAAGAGCGAGGACCGTTCGACGGTAAAGGAACTGAACAAGTTTCTACGTTTGTCCGTCAAGCTTGTTGAAGCGAATGCGAAGTTTTCCTCCTGTAAAGCTGTCTGGATAAGCATGAATACCCGAAAGTATTTTTGATTAGCTAATTTTAAGTCTGCAGTAAATATTTTGTACGCAAGAAATTCTTGAAATGTACAACTGCCTAACGGCACTGCTAAAGAAATTTTTGTTTTTTTGGATATATTATTAATGACTGATAGTAACAAAGACTTTATCGCGTATAACTTTCTTTTTGCTAACATCGGACAGTGGGTCACTCGCGGAAGTTTGGTCAGCTGTACAGAAGAACGTGTTGACTGGTTCCCTGCATTCAGAGCAGAATAATTGGGTTGACTTCACTTAATCTGAAGGTAAAAAGAGCATTCTCTGCTGCCAAATTGCTCTTTGTCTTCAAAACCGCACCTCTCTTGCGTTCCGGAGTAAAAAAACGGCCTAATTTCGCCTCTTCCATGTGTATCTACCAATTTAACTACTCCTATCGAGCCAGTTACATAGGCCGTAAAATTAGACGTGTTTCTCGTCGAATATCCGAACATCACCCTGCCGCCTGGTTAAGCAAAGGACAAACAAAATCTATTCGAAGCGCTATTCTATCTCATCTTGTGGATACAGAACACAAGATTGACGTTAACCATGCTTTCAGGGTCATTTACCGCACACCTACGAATCTTAATTTTGCCTTAAGAGTTCGACTACCAAATATTGTTGAGGTTGGCTGTTGGGATCCATATTAACAAGCCTAATTTGTGCATTCAAAAGAAGTTAGTTCAATTATTATCCTAAGCTTGGCCATCTTTAATGAACTGTAATTCCACTGATCTTACTTTACAAATCGATTTTATTTAAAAGACACTAATATTGTTACGAACTATTAATCTAGAAAATCCTATGTATATAAACTTTCATAGATATAATTATAGAGCCGGAAGAGGAAATTATCGAAAAGGATATTCTTCGCTCAATTATTTTGTGTTTTATAAATGTTTGAAGGTGATTAGTTGTTTCAAACCCCCTAGGACCTCCTTCACCCAAGTAATTGAGTAAAGTATCGTACAAAAATATCTGTACGGATTATGTGAGTTGTTTTCTTACTTCCCTGCAGTTGCACTGAAGATGATGACAAGTGTGTCATAAAAAACTTTACTACCAAAAGAAGAACACTCTCTTTAATTTTCAAACAATCACTTATGTTCACCTGGAGTCAGCAAAGACAGGACTCCAGGTGAACAAAGACAAGACGACGGTTATGAAAATAACCAACCAACAACAACAACAGCAGCAGCAACATCTAGCGCCAATCACCATCAACGAGAGGGATTTGAAAGAGGTTAATTCATTCACTTATCTAGAGAGCATTGTCTCAACTACAGGAGGAACGGACGAGGATGACAAATCGAGAATCGGGAAGGCGAAAAACACATTCATCAACCTGAAACCAATCTGGAAATCTTCGTCACTCAACATCAACAACAACAAAATTCGGATTTTCAATACAAACGTCAAGTCAGTTCTTCTATACGGATGGATCAGAAACTTGGCGAATCACAAAGAATATTTCCAGCAGGTTGCAGACATTTATCAACAACAACTGTCTCCGCTCTATACTGAAAATCAAATGGCCGGAAAGAATCACAAACAAGAAGCTAGGGAAAAAACAAAACAGGAGCCAATCGCTCAACAAATATGCCGGAGAAAGTGGAGATGGATTGGACACTCGCTGAGGAGGCCGCTGGGTGACATTGCGCGTCAGGCCAACGCTCGAGTGGAACCCGAAAGGGAAGCAGCGAGTAGGACGTTCAAGGGTGACATGGAGGAGATCGTGTGAAGAAGAGTTGAAACAGTATGGACTAACATGAATGCCGGTGAAAAGTACAGCAGAAGACAGAAGCAAGTGGAGACGTGTAGTTGAAGCCCTATGTTCCACTAGGAACACAAGGGAACAATAATAATAATACTTATGTTGAAAACTATAAAAAACTGTTACGTATAGCAATAATAAACCTACTTCAATAGAAGAATCCAATAGATTGCAAATGACCATGACAATATCATTGAATATAAGCGACTTTCGTATAGCAGAAGGATTTTGATGTAGGCCAGGGCTGTCTGTTCCATTTGAATATGATCCTAAAGAAAAACTATTGGATCGAGTGAAATTATTCTTCAGCTTGAGGATACTTGGTCTAGAATAGGAACGTTGACTTGAATGATAAATACTTGGACTGATATTAGCGTAATCTAGTTTGTCAGGGAGAATAGGCGATTCGGAAGATGAGAATTTCGCACCGATCATTTGATCACGTCGAAAACGTTTGTTAACATGATTGTTTGGTGAATTATGGTCTATAAGAGGGAAACAGAAAATTAAGAATTACTGCTTAAAACGATTGACTTCAAAAAAAGGAGAGAATGCTAAAAATATCAATAAAATCTAAATGTTTAAGAACAAAACTTTAGAAAAAAAACATTAATTGATAATCAAACCAAAAATATGTTAACTAATTTCATGATTGATGAAATATTACAATGAGATAAGACCATGTGACTACAACTGCACCAATAAAGGATCACTCGAAAAGCAGTATCATTTTAAAGCGAAGGGTTAATTAGGTTTTTAAATTCTCTTGAAGTCTTTAAATGAGACTTGCGAATGAAACAAGTGAAAAGTTATTCTAAAATGTTTATGCAGTAGTACACAAATTCAAAGCGTCGAAAAACTGAGATTTCCACTGTATCCTGGCGGGACAGACGCATGATGGAATGATCGCTGTCATATTTTATCCTCCAATGCGTAAATCCCAATCCTGTATTAACTAAATTTTATTTAATTCCATATTAGTTTGTTTATTAGATATATCACACAGTCAGTGAAACAGTATTATTCACTGGATGACGTTTCCAACAGAATTTATTGTTCATAATCATATCTTCAGTTATGGTAACACAACTTCGAAACTTGAGTTTTATAGTTTTCTTTGGCCTCTCTTATTTGTAGTGTTTGGGATAGTAGAATTTTCCAGATATCTGGTTGGACAGGTGTTGAATCATTCCTAATACATGTATTTGCAGATGATTCGATAAAAAAAGCTTCTGTTATCAATCTCTCCCTCCACCCTGCTGTGACATTAGATTTTAAAACTGTCACCTTATCCCATCATTCTATTGTATGGTTGTGTGCAATTGTATGTAGTGAGTGCTATAGCTGAACTCTTCTCTAGATTTCTTATCTTATTTGGATCAACCAATCTAGATTTTGCTAAGTTTTTATGTTCAGCTAGTTTGACTGCCCCTGTTCTACTACTTTCACCTATGTATTTGACCTGACAATCGTTCCAGGAGGGTATTAGATAAACTAAATTGTTTTGTTTTGAAGGCTCCACTGTCAGGATCCTTTAACTGACAAAGCTTGTTTCTAATTCAGTTTGTGGGTTTGAATTCCACTTTTATTCCTGCCTTAGTAAGAATTCTGCGTAAGGCTTCCGAGGTTCCTTCCTTGTATGAAATTACTACTGGTGGTTTAGATTCCCTATTGTTGGTGTTGTCTTGCGCATATTTGACATGCATGTCGTCATTAATATTACTATTATTATTACCATCGCTATCACTACTATCATTATTTATTTTATTTTTACATTTCCTTACATATTTCCTGACTAATTTATCTAATCAACTGCAAATACATGTATTAGGAATGATTCAACACCTGTCCAACCAGATATCTGGAAAATTCTACTATCCCAAACACTACAAATAAGAGAGGCCAAAGAAAACTATAAAACTCAAGTTTCGAAGTTGTGTTACCATAACTGAAGATATGATTATGAACAATAAATTTTGTTCGAAACGATGTCTTCCAGTAAATACCAATACTAACATTCGTTTGGATGTATCAACTAATTTCGTAATTACTACAGTTTTCCTCTGACCTATATATAGACGTTTTAACATTTGACAATCTTGTTAACTAAATCCCTATTATATGTCATTGTGTATGGTCGACTATAAATTTTTAATGCTCCAACCTGTTTTTGAGTGATGGTAAACCGTGTGAATGTTTTGATTTCTACTTTGTTTGTACAGTTTCAAGGTCATGTTGTGGAGTGACTGCCTGACCTTGAACTATCTACCTGGAAAAGTATTCTATGCTGCATAATCCTTGCAGACAGAGTTTTGAGGCTTTCTTGTTGAGAATATTCTTACTGATTATCAGATATTTAACCTTTGTGTTTGATTAGTTAATTTTGGTGTACAGTACTTATTCGCGCCTGCGAAACTTCTGGACTGCCTAGCTGCCGGACGGCATGGATGAAGTAATTTTGTATTTGTGTGACTCATGGAGGTTTAGAAAGCTACACATAAGAACCCATCGATTAGGTTTCTGATTTCAGACCAAAATGCTTGAGTTTTGGTCATTACAATTACTATACGAAAGGGAAATTTAGAAGACTACTACCTCACCTAAAAAGTATTTCAGCCGGTATCACAGTTACAAGTTATTTGAAATTTACAATGTACGAAAATGATACATAACAAAAATATTCATTCAGACATCTATAAAACACAAAATAATTCAGCGAAGAATATCCTTTTCGATAATTTCCTCTTCTTGCTCTACAATTATATATATATATATGTTTATATACACAGAATGTTCGAAAATAGCAGTCAATAACAATATTAGTGTTTTTTAAATAATATCGATTTGTAAAGTAAGATCAATGGAATTACAGTTCATTAAAGATGGCCACGCTGAGGATAATGTCTGAACTAACTTCTTTTGGATGCATAAATTAGGCTTGTTAATATGGATCCCAACAGCCAGCCTCAACAATATTTAGTAGTCGAACTCTTAAGGCGAAGTTAAGATTCGTAGATATACAGTAAATGACCCTGAAAGCATGGTTAACGTCAATCTTGTGTTCTGTATGCACAAAATGGGATAGAATAGCGCTCTCAATAGATTTTGTTTATCCTTTGCTTAACCACGCAGGGTGATGTTCGGAAATTCGACGAGAAACACGCCTAATTGTACGGCCGATGCAACTAAGTGGCTCCACAGGAGCAGTTAAATTGGTAGATACACATGGAGGAGGCGAAATTAGGCAGTTTGTCTTTTACTCCCGAACGCAGAAGTGGAGTGGTTTTGAAGATACAGCGTAATTGGTCGCTGAGAATGCTCTTTTTACCGCATTTCTAAGACGTTGTGTTAGTATCTCTCTGATGTTATCCCCGAGGAACTGAATTTTTAAGAATAAGGCCATTTTAGGAACTGTTGGTACCTTGAGCTGGCTTGATTTTAGATTCATATTCTTATCAATAAACTTTCCTAGATAAGCGTTTTCACTCAGCAACCGCTTAATACTATTAAGTTTCTCATCAAAACATTCATCCGAGCAGATTGCTCTTGCTCTGTGAACCAAGCACTTTATCAGATTGCGTGTTTATTTTAAGGGCACGAAGCTGAGAAAATGAGTATGCTGACAGTCAGTTGATGTAAGTTTTCTATATACACTTCTTTTCTGGTCATAAGGACGTCTAAAAATGAAATACTAGAGTCTTTTTGTTTCTCAATAGTAAAATTTCTATTGCAGGATGAACCTCGTTAAATTTATTCAGGATGCTCTTTGCTTCCTTCTCATTTTTCATAGTCAAAAATGTATCATCCATGTACCGACAGGAGAATTCGAGTTCATTATTAACATCCTTCAAAGGGATAAAGCATAAAGCAGGGATGGATATCTGAGTCAACACATACACATTAGATTACAGTTTAGTAAGTCTCTCTTAGTGACTTCTTTGTGAGTTAAGCTGTGTCCCTCAACATGGTGATAAAAGTTATCTTACACCAACGTTTTACTTGAAATTATTTCACTTTGTCTGAATAATCATCAAGCGTTTGTGTAGACGATAGACGGAATGGTTATCTATTGCTGATCATTGATTCGAATTAAAGTACAACTCAGATTTTCATTTTATAAACACTCATCATCTTCTCAAGCATAGAACATTTCATCAAAGGCTAATATAGTTAGACTTAAAATTCTTTAAGGTATATATCTATAACTTTGAATATAACAAAATACCAAATTAAGCACCTACCATTTGACAGTTTCGCTTGTGAACTAGTTGTGTGAGATTCATTCTCACAGCCATCAATATTATTCTCACAGTCTGCATGTTCTTCAGAATCAACAGGCGAACAGTTCATATTCAAGAGAGAATCACTCTCTTTACTTGACTAAAAAGAATATAAGATATCAGATTAAAACAATCGAATAATGTAACTAATTTATGTAGGATGTTTTAGTACTATATTTAAACAAATAATTTACAATGAATATTATTAAAACAAACAGCCCCCTTTATAGTGCCAAAAGGTTTTAGTTTTTCTCCATTTGTTTATTATTATTGTTATAGTCCTCTTCGGTTCTCAGTAGAGAATGGGGCTTCAGCAGCACATCTCTATTTCTTCCTGTCCTCTACAGTCCTTTAAAGTTGACTTCACAACTTCACATCAGCTTTCGTCTACTCTACACACGATCTCCTTCATTTTACCCTCACACCCACGCTCAACTTACCGTTTTCCATTCGGGTTCCACCTGTTGGTCTGCACTACTCATGATGTCACTGAACAGTCTCCTCAACGTAGGTACAATCCATATCCATACCTTTCGGGATACTAACTGGGAGACAGGTTAGAAAGTTGGAGGCAATCGGCAGGAAGCATTGCTCGACTTAGGTTTCGTGCTAGTTGGCACTCACTAGTCAACAAGGCGTATCTGCAGCCTTGAAAGAACCCATGTGCCTTCTGAGATTCGAACCCGTGTCAATCAGTGCTGCTTGTAGTCACAGATGTTACCACTGAGCTATTCGGGCTCGCGATTGTCCTCCTGTAGGACAGTAGTGGATAATTTGAGTGGGAAACAGGTTCTTGGTTGGTAGATTTCCAGAGTTCCTTGTCGCTTTTGCTTTCTGTACATGAACTTGGGGTGGATTAAAACTTAGAGAGGTTAACTGCTTAGTGGACTTTATACGCAACTTGCTCCTTATCAGCAAAGTCATTAAATTTATTCACTGGAAAAGTTAGCCTCCGGTTGAACATTTAGTAATATAAAAAAGGTTCAACTGATAATATATTATTGTATACTTCATAACAATAATCTTTGGGTTTTTAGTTTTGTACTAAATCTTCATTAGGGTATACGAAAGGCCGTAAATATTTGTCTCTGATACAATGGAAATTTATAGCAAATGAAGGTGACTGTAGATGACTGCCATTAGATAGTGTAAATAACGTGTCTGTTGGAACTAGAAATAAGCTTAACCGAAAGAGATAACCCGGTTTCTTATCAAGTGTGATCAGAATCGTGGTGCAACATACGCGCATAATGCTACGTCTTTGTGTCTTATCGACCATTTTATCAACGTCAAAATAAAATGTCAGTATATACTTTCAAACGTTTGATTAAAAATATGATACTGTTTATTATAGCATCCAATGGAGCTAAGCTTATATCAGTATGACTTCGTGGAAGAGACAATTGAATTCAAGAAATTGTTAGATTGGGCTACTTAGTTGGTTGGTTCCTTTTCTTTGATATAGATTGGATGACATACAATGGAATCCTTTGACTTGATTTTTAAGATCTATAGTAAACAGTATTCAACATCTGTACAAAATATCTCTCTATTGAAAAAAGCCTCTTAGGTGTTTTGAAATAATAGAAAAGATTTGTAGCTCAGGTGAATGATTTTGATGTGGTTGCACTGAAAATGCTGTCTAGATAGACAATGAAAGATTCGCGATTAAACCATCAAGCTCATAGAATGCAATCACATCAAAGGCATATACGAAGTATTGATCATAAATGCTCGCGATACAAATATTAATGCTGGCACTTATTTCAATAACGAAGTAGCCCTTAGTCGACTCAATGACAGTGAGCAGAAAAACAGTCGAAATGAAAAGCAAATTTATCTACAAATAATTAGCTATCAAGTTCATGAAAGCACTCATAGGCTTCTTGTATTTTCTTTTATTTGAGCTCATTTTGATGTATTCATTTGATTTCATGATGCAGTAGTGTGAATTGTCCACAATTGCCAGTGAATTCAGCCTATGTGCTATAATAATAAGTGTTTTGTAATTGTTTATTGAATTCTTCAAAGTCAATCCTTCTGATTTTGTTCAGTTTGATTCCTTGTGGATCTAAAGTGTTAACTTCTACGTTGAATTTAAAGCCTTTATCCACCCAACTGCCGCTGAGCAATCTACTTGATCACTTGGTTTGCAGTGACGATGATTAATTGTACTACTTTGGTAACCATAGGTAATCCATTTTCGATAAACAGTGACAAAAAGCGAGGAAAAATAATTGTTATTCACACATATGAGCTCATTCAAAGGCACTGTTTGCCGAAATTATGTTTCAACTGCCTTGATTAGAAAAGAGTATAATCTATAGAACCCCTTGAAATAACTACGAGATGAAGTATATGAATCGAATCAACCGAACATTGTCGATTCGATTATGAAAGCAACTGACAAATTTAGCTGAATATTCGACATGATGGAGATGATTTGTAGCTCAGGTGGATGATTTTGATGTGGTTGTGTTCTCTGAGCTAACTGGATAGTTAATTTGCGAAGCTTTCATCACCCTACTAGGTGACATCTTCAGCGCATACTTCAATTTATTGAAGTGAGCTTTCAGATTCCTCCACGAGTTTATTAGTCACCTCTCCTGGTGACCTTGGACGTGATTGGTTGTTTTTGTGCGTTTTCACACCTTCTAGGCTACTTGTATTGGAACTGATTGTTTCTTTGACCCTTAGTGTGTGAAGTTTCTTTCTTATCAGTTGATAAATTTTGTCAATCTCGATGTGTCTATTGATTGATGATTCACTGGAATGCCAAGCTTCTAAAAACTCTCAAGCATTTTTGTTGTTTTCTCTGTCTAATATTTGAACATTGTCCCAATCGAATTGATGTCTGTGGTTGTCTGTATGTAGTGATATGAGGGAGTGGATGTCATGTCTTTTGACAGCTAGATTATGATCGTGGATACGAAGACGAAAGAGACGTCCACTTTGGCCAAAGTGGACGTCAAAGTTCAAGTCAAAGAAATAATCAGTTCCAATACAAGTAGCCTAGAAGGTGTGAAAACGCACAAAAACAACCAATCACGTCCAAGGTCACCAGGAGAGGTGACTAATAAACTCGTGGAGGAATCTAAAAGCTCACTTCAATAAACTGAAGTATGCGCTGAAGATGTCACCTAGTAGGGTGATGAAAGCTTCGCAAATTAACTATCCAGTTAGCTTAGAGAACTCAACCACATCAAAATTAGCTGAATATTGTTTGATATACCCCAGTGGGATGAGAAAAATAGCAAAAAAGCATTCGTTTATTTACATTTATGAGCTAAGACGCGATCACACAGCAAATTGATACATTACAAATAATAACCTAACGAGTGATTTGGTGGGATTAGACAGAGAGATCAATTACCGAATCTTTATTAATCCTATCAACACTATGTACGTGCAATTATGGTGACGTAACGCTAGTATATCTAATTATTATTTTATCGTATTCCTTTACGTTTTGAGTGAAACAACATAGAGCTTCAAGCTTCAGCTTTTAAGTTTCGGTAGCAGCGGATATTTTTGATATTTTTACGGAGTGGGGTTGCTAGCCTGACGCCCAACCTTGCCACCTCAGAGAGGTTAAGAAGTGCGTCGACTGGGGATTGAACCCAAGACCACATCCATGGATGGTGAGCTGAACCCCCGCCGCTATTATAAACAGTCAAAAATTCATAAAGAAATCAAAGAATCAGAAAAAATAGAATTATTTGAATCAGATAGAATAGTTATGCAAGTGTTCTGGTTGTATAACTCCCAACAAAATGTTGTGCTTGGAATGTCATCAATAAAAAAATAATCCTGCGTTACTGTTTATCCCATAAAATAAATTTTTCCATCATAGAAATTGTACTTTTTTTAAAATGTTTAAGGTTTATTCTTTTACTTTTAGAACTACAAACAGTTCCATTTATTTTAGACAGTGTAGTTATTTAAAAGAGGAAGAGAAGAGTTGACGATTTATGTTTCATTCTCTGGGCTTTCATAATGAATTTAAGTTTCTGTCGAAAGAAGCGCCATTTTTTGAGTTGACGACACACTCTGATTATGAATGATCGAGTGTCTTATCATGTGAGCATGATAAATGAAAATTTACCACACGAGTGCATTCCTCACGTATAGTGCCTAAATTCATTAGTATCTCGTATTTCAGTAAATAGTTATAAAAAAACATTCCACGAATCGAGGACAAACATGATAAATTTGCGAAACTTAAAAAAATAGGACCCCCTCAACAAAAAACTTCAACTCCATGTAGTTTAAATACTCAAATATTTAAACCTACCTTTATCTGAAAAGTATCCAGAATAAGATATATCAAAAGAAATAATTGATTTCGCTCTTTAACACTAGCCTGATGTAGCCATTCATGATAAAGTGAGTCGGGGGTATGTCTAAGAATCCAAACAGTAATAATGAAGAGTCTTTTCATTGTAGTCGACTTGATAGATTTAACAGAGTCAAGTTGATTACGCAGTACACAGTCGAAATCTGTATTCTCTGAACACTGAGTGAAACGAGGATTCGGTGTTTCTTTTGCGACTGAACTTATACCTGGACCAACATCTAAGAATTTTGTCGTTTTTGTATTCCTCCTAGTCTGAAATTGATCAAATATAAAAGCAAATTGTGAAAAAATACTGGGAGTAACAACATTAAGTTAGAACCCTTTTTTAACATTCATAAACAATAGAATGTCACATTTGCTTTTAGGTGATTTACATTTCACGCTGATTTATTGCGTCAGACTGGTCTCTGATGACATGTTGGCACATAGTAAGGACGCTTGAAAAATGTCTAAGGCTTTATATGTGGAGTTATTTTGGTGGCTTTTGAATTGATAGGTACGAGGTATGAGTCTCAGCTGGAAAACCATCAAGTACGTCCAGATGACGAGTTTCAAACTGGACGAAATGCGCATTGCGAATTCCAGTGGTAGTGACCATCAACCAAAATATTAGATTTATTACTGAACAGATAATACGTAATAAAGAATATAATCTCACGGTGGCAGAGACATATTGGGATAGATCAAGAAGCCATCTGCGTTTGTAGTCAACTAGCGTTTATGCAGGCAATTAAAGTATGAAAATAACATAAATATTTGTGACAGATATGTTTCACTATAATCCTGATTGTATCATCTAACGGCTCAAGTCAATACATAATAAGCAAATTTATTAAAACCACCTATTACCACTTTTTTAATCTTTTAAAAGATGTGAATAATAATAAGACAGGTTAACTCCTGTTAGACAGAAATCCTAAAGATGTAAAGAAAAATACCTTGTGTAACAAAATCAGCTAATTTGTTATACATTGTTCTTATTGCTTTGAATTCCAAGCAGAGCATACTGCCTCAAGATTAAGCTTTGAGGTGTTCTACGGAGTGAAATCGCTAGCCTTGCATCCAACTTCCCGTCTTCTTATATCGCGTACTACCTATTAGACGAGGTTTTGGAATATATCAGCCAAGAATCGAAGCTATGGACCACGCGCGTGTTTGGCGGTCATTCTTCCACTGAAACACATAAGACTAAAGATGTGACTATTGTTTTTTATTCCTTCACGTTCCCAGTGGAACATAGGGCTTCAAGCTAGAGGCTTGAATTTTCTGTAGCAGTGTTTATTTTTACAGGATGGGGTTGCTAGCTTCATTCCCAACCTTCACTCTCTACCAGTCTTATTGCTGGCTTAGCAAGGTAAAGGAGTTCGTCGGACGGAGATCGAACCTCGGACCATGTGCATGGTCGGCGAGAGTCCTAACCTCTGTGCCACCAACGCATCATGAATACTTATAGTGGATTTTTATTGAACCGAACAGTTTTATTCTCCTACCTCAACATCTTTCGACCCCTGACTGTTGTATTCATTTGTTCTGTATTAAGAATGTATTGTTGGGTCAAGTGCAACAGTTTACCAAATAAAACCTAAACACCAAACCAGATCAGATGAAAATGAGATTCAACCTACTGCCACTACAACCAACAAATATCAATAAAGCATGATTCAACGACTTCACCAAGTTTCTCTCATCTCCAGCTGAATACTCTACATTGTTATTATTATTATTGTTTCCTTGGGTTCCGAGCAGAACATGGGACTCCGACAAAACATCTCCACTTTTTTTCTATTTTCTGCTATCCTCTTTAGCTGGGCCTAAGATTGCTCATAATCTCTTATCTCCTCCTCACACGATCTCCTCCAAGTCACCCTCACACCGACGACCCACTCGTCGCTTACCATTTGGATTCCACTTGAGCGATGGCCTGGCGCGCGATGTCATTAGAATACTATACATATATTGGTATGTTTACTAATAGAAATACATAGGATATGTGACTGATAGTGAATCCGTCATGCAAAACGACAGGTGCAAATGTTTCAGGGACTAAGTTCAGATAAATGAAGGGGAAAGGGAAGATTTTTCCTGGAATTTGATGAATTCATTATATCCTGTTTTATTAACACTCGTTTCTTGTTTTATGTTGTTAAAGCAACTGAATATGTGTATATAACTTGGCTACTATACTAGTATGTAATTTCATATTTATATGTTAACTGGTTATATCACACACTATAGCAGCATTACTTAGGAAAAAAACAACATTTAAGAAATTAGTATCGATTAATTAGATCAACCGCAGAAATCACTGAGATATATCTTATACAAAATGAAGGATTCATTGGCTAGAAGAAAACGAGATAGGTGTGGCTTACACGAAGAACAGATAACAGTGTGAGTGACTATACCATGATCAGCAAATACTTTGAAAGATAAAGACCTTATGAGAATAAGCTAGACACCGAAGGATATTGAATATAATAAGTCACAATAAAAGTGGAACAGACTAGCAGAGAATTCAAAAAGAAGAATATGGGGATAATAAAAAAATTTCAGCTTAAAATTATAAGATTTTCGAAACTACGGTGGCTTAAATAGATCACAGCCGATGTTAATGTGTCCATTGATATAGTATAAACAGAACTGAGAAGGAGTTAGATGGCAACGCCTTAACTAGAGATCAACCAGTTCAGAACAACACGATGAATCATACATCCATTTCATCAAAATCACGTTACTTCTATTCAATTTGACATTAGCAGAGTGAAAAAGTATGGCACATGACAGAAAAAACCATCCTCACACATTTGATAACGCAAACTCATGTGAACTGACGCATATTATTATTTCAGCTACTGTGACCAGCTACTCGTCTGCTTAAAAGTGAATTAGTGCGTGAAGTGAGCCAGATATATATTTATAGATAATAATTTGTAATCCCATAATGAGGTAAGTTTATTTCAAATATCATACAGTGATGGTGCAGTATTAAAAACAACTGGATGACGTTTCGAGCATAATCACATGATATGATTATGAGTAATAATTTATGCTCAAAACGTCATCCATTTTGTTAGTACCACACTATCACTGTGTGTGATATTTGAAATAAACTTAACTTACATGGAATTATATTCTACCACGGTGCTCAAGTTCTACACTTACATTAAAAAGATAATAATATGGCTTTCACATTCTAAAACAACCCCTTGCTTTTTTATGTTGCTTGCATGTAGCTTGAGGCTATAAAGTAAAGGGTTATTGATTTAATTTTTCAAATCTTGTTTACGTGTTGGTAAAATGCATCAAGAAAAAATGAAATTCATGCAGTACTTGTAATGTTCTGGTACAATTTGATGGATGAGTAAAAATGAGTCATTATAAATTAATAAAAACAAATTCTAGGGTGTTTAGAAAATCCAAACAACTTAGTGGTTCTTTCACAAAATTGTTGAGATTTTTATTACATTTTTTCCTTATATGAAACATTTACCATGTTATAGGAAGAGAATGCGAGCAAACAACATTTTCAAGCTTTACTCTTTTGTAAATTATTCATCAAGGATTTTGATTGTATCTGTTTGCAAAGCTATAAAAATTCGAAACCATGTATCGAGGATTCTCCACTCTTTCAAGTAGTGAAATGAAGTTTCCATTTTAGCAAAATGATTATGATTATAGGTGAAGTCCATAACAGTGTAATTTGCAATTGTGTATTTGTGTTTAGGCGGCCTGTTTGAATCAATGGGCTACGAAATATTGCTTTCCAACAAAATGCTTAATTTCATCTGGATTTATGATTGTTTTAATCTTGCAGTTATATCAAATGACCTAGACATGAACTTGCGCGCTGATTTAACTTGCTTCCAAGTAAACGCTGTGCGATTCTTCAACGAAATGAAGATATACTTCAGATTATTACTTTACATGTAAATTCTGTATGAAGCAAATGGTATTTTCGAACTAAACACGGTAACTCTAAACTATAGCAGCTCAAACCGAAACTACCTAGCAAACGGATAAATGACCTTGAGCAACCAATCAGGTGACTCTGTGTTAACCAGACGTAATTATGGATGCTCTACATCTTTTGCATTACAAATTCGCTCCAGATATTGTTTTTGATTACTGTTTGGAGAACGGACTGATAGGAAGGTCGAAAAATTGTTAAGGTGAAGGTGTCATGCATATACAAAGATACACTAGCTGCATTGATGGGTTTGTATATAGGTGCAGTGAGTGCCGAAGCAGAAAATCAGTTCGAGAAGGTATGTCGTTCTTTTTTAGTTTACAGATTCCTTAGGTACTTTTTTCGCAGTCTAAATTACCTTTAACGAAAATTTTAATGATGTGTCATTTCTGGGTACTGAAAAGACCAGTAACAGCAACTGCTTATGAAACAGGAAATTCGGAAGTATCTGTAGTGCAATGGTACCAGTACTGCAGAGACCTATCATCGTGGAAAATGAACACGCTCACTCAAGTACTTGGCGGAGTTGGCGTCATCGTTCACGTTGATGAGACGGTGTTAATCAAATGGAAATATAATCGAGGCAGATTAAGTGCAAATCAGCAATGGATAATGGGGATATATGACACCAGCCTCGAGAAAGGATACACTGAGGCGATCCCTAATCGCAGATGTACAATTGCCTATTATCCAGCGCTTAGTGCTGCCTGGGACGACTATTCATACAGATGAATGGAGTAGTTACAGTCAGTTATCAAATCTGGGCTATATTCATCAAGTCGTCAACCATACAAATGGTTTCATCAATCCTTTTGATGGAACTCACACTAATTCCATCGAAAGTTTTTGCAGTCACCTCAAAAAAGGATCACATTGGTGAATGGATCGAGAAATGCAATGATATACAGTTATCTCGATGAGTTTATGTACAGGACTTGGTTTAACATAAGTATCAAGACTCCTATGAGAAATTGGGAGATTTTTTCGGAACATATACGAGAACGTTATCCTTTGTAACTATTTTTTAACATTGCATTACTTTTATATCAACGATTTATTAAAATTATGCGCCGTTTCTTTTGAGCCTTCTGACTGGTCAAAGTTGTCCTTGTCAAGGTCATTTGTCCGTTCGCTAAGTACTTTCGGTTTGGGCTGCTATAGTTTAGAGTTACCCTAAACACGCTGAAAATTTTGTACCATATGTTAACATATTGTCTGAAATAAAGCTTCACTATTATTATTGACATTTCTTCTGATCACTGAATAAATTTAAGCCAAAATATGCTATGGGCTCACCACTAGGCCCTTTGCTTGCGGATTTCTTTATGTCGAAACTCGAAAACACTTGTCTAAAGAATATGATTGACAACTTTGAACTCTACAAGAGATTCGTCGACGACACCTCCATCATCTGCAACAACGAAGAGAATTTAGAAGATATCCTGAAGTTCTTCAACAACTGCAACCCTGCAATTCAGTTCACACTAGAGAAAGAGTCTAACTCAAAGATATCTTTTCCTGACGTTCAACTAACGAGACGCCAACAAGACGGAACAATAAAAAGATCCATCTACAGAAAGCCAACGTGGAACGGACAGCTCATTAACTTCCACAGTTGGGTACCTCTATATACTAAACGAAACTTAATCCGTTCACTAAGCCACAGAATACGTGGAATCTGCAGCATGGATGCCATAGAAGATGAAATGAACACTCTTAAGAAAATCCTAGTTGAAAATGGCTATCCAGAAAGATTTATCACAAAATCAATGAAACCCAGACCAGAGAAGCTGCCTACACCCAGTGCTCCAAAAAGACTTCTCCATATGAACCTACAGTTCAATGGAGACCAATCTACAGAAATACTGAGAAATCGGCTCTCCCGCTCGTTGAAGAAAGCCTTCGTCGCAGCTGAATTACAACTGACGTTCTCCGCGAGACCAGTGATTCGTATGTCCGTGAAGGATAAACTACCACTGTTGGCCTCATCTATGTGCATCTACCAATTCACCTGCTCCTATGGAGCCAGGTATATCGGCCGTACTCAGCGTTCGCTATCCAAACGCGTCAACGAACATTTGCCGTCATGGTTTTATAAAGGAGAAAACTGATGCCCCCGCAGCTCGATCCTTGAATATTTGATCGACTCTGGACACCAAGTCAAACCAGAAATAAACTTCAAAGTTATCTACAGAATACAAGGTAATCTTGCTAAAAGTGTACGGATCAAACTTCTCCACATCGCAGAAGCAATGGCAATTCATCTGCTAAATCCTGAACTCTGCATACAAAAGAAATTCGTTCATTCATTGAATCTACAATGGACGTAGTCTTTCTTAATTTCAGTCTTACTAATTGTATTATTTTGTCTTTTGCATTTTATTATTCCACATCTTCATTTGTATTATTCTCTACCCCACCCTTTTGTAATCTCTACCCTCATTAACAATGTTACTAACTTTACCCACGTCCAATTTCTAGTCAACTATGTTACGTCATCCGATTAACTTACTTATTTTCAACTGTATTATTCTCTAACCTCACCCTTATTTATTTAAACCACCACTCATTAACACTGTTGCCAACCTGACCTACTCTGAATTCTACTCAACCGTATTACGTCACCCAATTCACTTAATCAATTCTATTTTATTTTCCATCTTAACGTTTGTCTCCAAGCCAAAAAAATACTTATAATACATAATTATCTAAACTTTACAATTCTAATTTACACACACACAAACAAAATTGTATAAATATGCGATTTTACAGCTCAGTGAATGAATTCGCCGAAAAGAGTCTCTTCGCTGAACGCCTTCTTTTCTTTTATATGACTGAATGGGGATTTTCAAGTTACTTAAACGTCGCAAAATATGTCTGTTTTAATGGTAGTTACCAGCTACATGCATACAATCAAATGTCCCAATAAATATTATAAGTGGACTTTGAGAATACAACTTGATTTTTAAACTAGTAAAACCAAAAAGTATCAATCAAAACAACTACGAATGAGCCTGGATAATGAACGTATACACTGAAAGTACAATGACGAAGTGAACGATGTAACAAAAACAACAACCAAAAACTCAAACGTACACGTCTCATTCTTCCTGAAGACAGTAAATTTGTTCCCAGATCATTTGTCAAGTTCGCGGGTGGTTTATCAGACGATGTTTCGTCAGTGGATTGTTGTCTAGGCTTGACTAAATTCCCGTTATTACATTTCCGCGACTGAGATCGATTTATCTGCCATGTTTTCACAAGATTCGGTAAAAAATCACATACAACATTGAGTATTGGTGTGTAGAAATAAGCTAATTGCGACACACTCGTGATAGACTGGGATGAAGACGTGTTCTGAGGCGTTTCTTGTTCTAGGCTTAATTCATTATTGATTAATACATACCAAAGTAGATCGACTGCACGATCTTGTAGGTCAGGAACGCTGTCAAATGAAAATATAATGTCATATTCAATTTTCTGGAAATAATTTTTTTAGATGAAAGAAAAGTAACTTAACATTAAATAACTTTATTTTGGTAGCATACAACACTTGTTTAATAAAGGACGATTCAGGGACACTTCCCTTCCCGAATAGCTCAGTGGTAACGTCTCTGACTGCAGCTCTGGGTGACGCAGGTTCGAATCTCAGAAGGGACGTGAGTTCCTTCAAGGTTGCAGATACGCCTTGATAACTGGTGAGTGCCAACTAGCACGAAACGTAGGTCAAGCAAGGCTTCCTGTGGCCGATTGCCTCCAACCATCTTATATCATTACAAACAATGTACACCGTGATGGCGAGCTACCTAGAATGGTGGCCACATTGCAAATACCTGACTGATAGAATTCAGACTGCACCAAAGAGACGACTAGACGCATCACACTAGTTACTAGTGTCAAATCAAAAAACAATTCCCTTCTCTCAAATATATCAGTGTAGTTATAAACGTTTACACACCAGCTTTCTGTTTAATTACTTCGTATTCTCAAGTTTCATTTTGTAGGGATTAGATTGGTTTCAATTTTGATCACGGATAGATATCAGTTTGATGACGATTGAAAACCATCAGGAGTCGAACTTAGGACGATAATGAGGCGAGCTCGTTGACCTTTTTAGCCACTGAGACGAAATCCAATAGCACCATGAATTCTAACTTCTTCTTCTATTTTGCGATTTTAAGCGATACCACCAGCCACTTTTTTCAGCGAGTATTTGTCTGCCCACCCAACCTGGTCGACTCCAGTGGTCAGGAACTTGCATTCGTTAATTTTAGCGTGAATCAATGCATAATAACAGCTATTGTCCTTCTCTAGGTTAGCTATTTTATTAAGTACTATCACTCTAAGCTTAGTCATAATTCCATATATAGTGATAAATCAAGTGATTCTGATTGGCTACTTTGATCCATGTATTTGATTCGACAGAAAAATAAGACCATTAGCGCTGAAGAAGGGTTTCTCTGAAGTGAAATTCACACCTCCATATATTTTTTCCTTCACGTTCCCCAGCGGAATATAGGGCTTCAAGCTAGAGGCTTGAAGTTTCTGTAGCAGTGGTGGTTATTTTTACAGGATGGGGTTGCTAGCCTCACACCCAACCTTTCCCCTTTACCAGCATTATTTCGGGCTTAGAGAGGTGAAGGAGTGCGTCTGTGGCCGGGGATCGAACCCCGGACCATGTGCATGGTCGGCAAGCGTCCTAACCGCTATACCACCGACACCTCCATATTGCTGAAACAAAAGTAATGCTTGAAATAACTCGATTTGATGTTGCTATAAGATTGGAAACATTTATTTCCCGATGCGAACAAGCAACGAAGGTTAGAAAAATAACAAACTCATCAAATTTTGCTGAAACTCCTCAGCTGAATACTCTACATACAGCATTCAACATACTATGAGAAATATTTTAAGAAAATATGTGTAACTAACAAAAAGACCACAATAAATCACTTATAGCAAAACGAAAGTTGAGAATGATTCACAAGTCAGGTTCAGATAGACAGAGTGGAAGGAGTTTGAGAGACTGAAAACTAAGATTATAGTGGATTAAAGCTTAGTTGAGTCACTATAATAGCCAAAAATGGTGATTACCAGACAAAGAACTTGAAAATATCAGGATAAATAATAGTAGTAATATTAGTTAAAGAAGTTGAGATAGTTTCAATTAAGGTAAGTGAAAAGTACAGCAGAAGACAGAAGCAAGTGGAGACGTGCAGTTGAAGCCCTATGTTCTACTAGGAACCCAAGGGAACAATAATAATAATAATAAGATAATATTAATAAATGAAATAAGTACTGATAATCAACAAAGAAGAAGATACTATTATGCTTGATTCAAACGTACCACCAATTGCTTCTGTATACAATGACCGCATCTACAGAACCTAACTGTACAATCTCCTGAGGCTGAAAGCATCATTCTTTTCTGCTGTCTACTGACAACAGTGAATGACTTGATAATAGTAATATGAAATCCATAGTTTACAAGATGCTTATCACAAAACCTTTTGGTATCTCGTCTTCAGCTTTTGCCAACCACTTGGACAATCAATCAGTAATGCAAGTAGAAATACTAGTTTTGCAGTGTAAGAAGTTTTTATAGCTACATAAAGTCCTCGTTTGAGTATTCAGCTGAGGAGTTCTGCTGAAATTTTATGAGTTCATTACATCCGGCCTTACTAACATTTATTGCTAGCCCCTATCATAGAATCAAAAACTTCTTTTCATATCCTTCATCACAATCTCTAAGTTTGCCTGCGTGAGATCACTGCGCATATATTAGATTAAAACCCTAATATACACCAGTCCTTGTACATTGTCGAGAATACTTACCGGATCTCTTATTGCTACAGAAGTCTGTACTGTATTAAGAAAGTCGAACAAGGCATGTAAATCAACAATATCAGGCATTCCACCTCTGTCCCAGATCATTTAGGTCTGTCTGACCCAATTGACACTTCCCCCACTTCAACCTTCAAATTTTTTAATTTGATATTTGTTGCTACCATTAGGATTTGCACTTGTGACCGTCAGCTAGAATAATTGCAGTGATACCGTGATGTATCAGTGCTTATGTGCGTCGGTGACACGTCGGTAGAATGTTTACCTACCTCACTTGCGATCCGGGGTTCGATCCCAGGCCGATGCATTAATTTACCTCGCTAAGCTAGTAATAAGACTGGTAAAGAGGAGAGGTTGGGCATGAGGCTAGTCAATCCATCCCGTAAAAACAAACACCACTGCTACCGAAACTTCAAGTCTCTAGCTTGAAGCCGCCTTATGTTCTACTGGGAACGCAAAGGAATAAAATACTCCCGGCTTTTGGAGTAGATTCTCATAATAATGAAAATTACTCTTGCATAAGTGATTCCAGAGGGATGAACTGTCACAATCATGATTTGAATCCAGAAATCTACGCACTACTGTTTCTGTATTTATTTTGGAACCATATTTTTAGAGTAAACACGTCTTAAGTAACATTGAATCAATAATAATAATGGATTACAGTTTAAAAGCGACTGTAAGCGATGATACATAGCAGTATAACACCAAATTGAATAACGGATCAATTAAGGAGAGTAACTTATAGGTTCTGCAGCAGACCAGGGTAGTAATAGTGTCTGGATCTGTTTCTTTTGCACTTACAGCTCCGGCAGATTGCAGAGGTCTCTGCTATTTGGAGTGTTCGGTACCTAGAGGCTTTTGTAATTTATCTGTTACTCAGTATATGATAGGAAAAGATTCTTCAATTTTATCTTTACGACCTGTTTGAACAGGTTGGTTTAATATCTAAATCATCATGGTTCCACTACACCTTTATTTATCCACACTAGTAGGCTTTCCCGAGCACAAAAAACTAACCTCTTAGAAGTGTGGTGAGAGCTGTCTGCTAGCCAAAACTGGTAGACAGCAATTTACGTCAATGTTTGTGTCCCAAATCTTGGTCATGAGAAAAAAGAACAAGAACAAAGACTAACTCAACAACCAATCACAGCAAACTTTGCGTGGGCGGATACGATTCGCATATATTTGATCTGACCTTCAAGGAAACGGCCACAAAGGGTTGACAGAATAACTTTCAGCGGGAAAACAGCCAATCAGAAGACGCTGTTTCTCTGCTAATAATAACGAATAATAATGTACTTAAAAATATGTAAATATCTCTTGATTTCCTCAATAAATGAGCTATTGCATGGCCCTTGTCTTCTGTCGTTACAGAAGAACTTTCAGAGTAACTGGCTCTACAGGAACAATTGAGTTCCTAACTGATGTAACGGCACTAAATTAGAGGACAAATAAACTTAATCACTCCCCCCCCCAAATGAACGACTCAACACCGTACTCACTGATAAAAATCATGAATATTATTCATAATAATTTACATTAGCGGTTGGAGCAAACACAACTCAGACTTACTCAGATTTTAAAGCTGTTATCAGTTCATATATGATTAGTGAAATAAAAAAGTGTTTATTCAAACTTGTACTTTTCCCGTCTATATTGTTTCCAAACACCTGTGAATACTGTTTGTCACCAGGATGATGACAGTCTTCAGTACCATAGAAATCAGGTTCAATTGTAGCCAATGGAATATGTTTTGACTTTGCTTCTTGCCTTAAATGATGATCATTATTAAAAATTGATAATTTGTGATAATGTTGCAGTAGTTGATCACAGTTCATTGGTAATGGGGATTCACTATGCAACTGATAAAAAGCTTCATGGGAACAAATAATTTGTAATAAATCTAATTTAAAGTACTTCAACAACTTTTCACTAAGACATGGATTCAGCTCCTTTTCTATCAGAAGTTGGTCGATCTAATTCAAACAACAAGAAACAATAGGGTGGTGTATTAATCATTGAATGAAAAGGATTTTAAATATATATCAGTTGAACGAAATATGAGATATTCAGCGGGGAAACATTATTTCTCTTTAGTGCCTTACCAAATCAACAAATTATAAGGTGATATATAATCAAGAAGTAGTTATACGAAGACGTGGTAAAGCAAAGCTTTTACTACTTAACGCCATTTAGAGGGTTCCTCGAGCATCCCGGGAAGACAGGTCTCCAATCCTCGACACTTAGACGTGCGTTTATCAACTTGAGTGTTTTTGTGGAAGCATATACGCGGGTCATACGTAAAGGTGACTGACTACTCGCATGACAGAAGATTTGCTCAAGCATTTGAAAAGAGGTGGTCAATATACTGAAGGGTTTATTAAAAAAAAGCTGACATGATATTGATGCTGTGAAGTCATTCATTTTTGTTAGTAGAAAGGTGGACAGAAAGATGCTTGCATTTGTGGAGGCTTCTATAACTTGAGTTTATAAACCCGGTTTCTGTGTACAGAGGGAAATTTACTATGGTAACATCTTTTACTTATTAACTGTTACTTTTGTTAATATTTTATGCCATCATTTATTATTATTTTTCACACATTTAAAATAATCTTTTGTCAGTACCGTTATCTTAACTCATTTCACTATTATTATTCAGTTTGCAGTCCCTGGCATTTCCAATTTCTTTCTCTGATAAAAATAATTATCAAGTATTGGTTTCGTAAGAATATTTGTTTGATTGCATGGAGGATTTCATCATGAGCTGACATCAGTTAGAGAACCACTGAGAAACCTGGGAGTACTGGACAGCTGTTTCCTCCTAGTTTGGGACACTTCAGCAGTACGCAACCACCGCCAGGGTTCGAACCCTAGACCTCCTGGTTACAAGGCGAGCTCCTAGACCACTGAGCCTCTGAGACCCGATCCAATGGTCCTTGAATTCTAACTTCTGCCAATTCACGACACAGCGCGACCATTTCGCAATGTCATCTTCGATGAGTTACTGCCTCATCTTCAACCTGCTGTACCCTACTGGTCACGGCTTCCCACTAGAACCCTAGGTTATTTGCCTGAATAGTGCTAGCCGCTAGTGAGCATCAGATTATTTTTCAAGCATTGGTTTTGTAGAGATTTTTGTTTGATTGCATGGAGGATTTCATCATGAGCCCTATTCAGGCTAATAACCTAGGGTTCTAGTGGGAAGCCGTGACCAGTAGGGTACAGCAGGTTGAAGATGAGGCAGTAACTCATCGAAGATGACATTGCGAAATGGTCGCGCTGTGTCGTGAATTGGCAGAAGTTAGAATTCAAGGACCATTGGATCGGGTCTCAGAGGCTCAGTGGTCTAGGAGCTCGACTTGTAACCAGGAGGTCTAGGGTTCGAACCCTGGCGGTGGTTGCGTACTGCTGAAGTGTCCCAAACTAGGAGGAAACAGCTGTCCAGTACTCCCAGGTTTCTCAGTGGTTCTCTAACTGATGTCAGCTCATGCAGAGTATTTTACTGTAATTTCATAAATACATTAAATTCTGTTTAATTAACATTTGTTATTTGTTTAAAACTCGTATGGGGAAACAAATTTTTCCAATTACAAACCGGAAGAATAGCAATGATTTTCCTGATTGCAGTAGAGTGGATAATGAGACAGACAGCGGGCAGCGAGGAAACAAGCGTAAAATGGACCCACACAAAAAAGGACTTGGAGGATCTGGACTTCGCCGATGATATATGTCTGATTTTCTACAAACTCGAAGATATGCAAGTGAAAAGCAACAAGCTGGCAAAAGAAGCATCCAGAGAAGATAGGACTTCAGGTGAACATAGAGAAAATAGAGATGGTGATGATTCCTGCCCAACAGCGACATTAACTACAGACAGCAATCAGCATACTTGGGAGGAGTCTGAGAGAAGCAACCTCCTTTACGTATATACCTGGAGAGCATCGTTTCAACTACAGGCGGACGGAAGTGATAAGGATATCAGCAAGCTTTCATTACTCTCAATTCTGTGCGGAGGAGATCAACAACACACAGCATGAAAGATAACATCCGGATTTTCAACTGCAATGTGAAGTCAGTCAGTGCTACTATAAGGACCAGCGCGTCACGAAGGGTATTTCGAACGGACCACAGACCTTTATCGTCAGCTGTCTTCGCTCAATACCACTCAATATTAGATGACCGACCAGAAAGGATCAGCAAAAGAGATCTCTGGAGACAAACCAACCCAGCAGGAACCGATTGTGCAACAAATTTGCAGGGACAAAATGGAGGTAGATTGGTAATACTCTGAGAAAACCATCAAGTGACTGACATCACACGACAGGCCATTGCTCGAGTGGAGCCCAAATAGGAAGCGGCGAGTTGGTCTTCAGTGCGAGGGTGACATGGAGTAGGTCATGTGAAGAGGAGATGAAAGCATGTAGGTAGACGTGGAGCCAGGTGAAGACGTTGGCGGAGAACCAAACGCAATATAGACATATGACTGAAGCCCCATGTTCTTTTAGGAACAAAAGGCGACAATAATAATAACAGAATAGCAATACTCGTAGTAGAACAATTAGAATTTTCAAAAAATTGTCATCAGAGGTTTATACGCTAGCGAGTTCAGATATATGAATGCAGAATCACCAAACTTGGATATAAAACTTTGAAGAAAAAATTAAATTCATTGGCTAGCTATTAAAAGACTACTGATGTAATAGGATGTGATGAGAGGCGTCTTAAATGAAGTCAAGTGTTGCATCTGTCTAAGTGCATGTCCTACGTAAACAAAGGCAAATACAAACTGTGCTTAGAGACGAAAAGATACAGACGAATTTACTTGTGTAGTCAAATAAATATGCGCGTAGTGAAATAACGAGTTAGATAGCAAATAGAGTAATCCTGATAACATTTTTCTCTATGAAACTCATGTATTTAACCTTTGGTAAATAAAACAGGCGTCGGTGGTGTAGCGGTTAGGACGCTCGCCAACCATGCTCATGGTCCGGGGTTCGATCCTTGAACGACGCACTCCATTACCTCGCTGAGCCAGAAATAATGCTGGTGAAGAGGAAAGGTTGGGCATGAGGCTAGCAACCCCATCCTGTTAAATAAACACTGCTACAGAAACTTCAAGCCACTAGCTTGAAGCCCTATGTTCCACTAGGGAACGTGAAGGAAAAAAAATAAAACAGTACAACATGTAAAATGCCGAGTGTGTATAAGTTTCCCAAATCTAAAGGGAGATATGAGTTCCTTCAAGATTGCAAAAATGCCTTACTCACGATTGTAACCCACCAAGTCTGGTGGTCACATTACAACCTAAACTCGACTGATACAATCCAGTCTTCATCAAAGGAATAAAAGACTAGAAACATGGCACTAGTGGCACTACCTGGTGTTGAATCTTATTATTCATTACAGTCCCTACAGGAGGTCAATGGTTCAGTGGTGATGTCTCTAACTGTAGCACTGTGTGATGCGGGTTCGAATCTCAGAGGAGACATCAGTCCCTTAAAGTTTGAGGAAACGCCTTTCTGATGAGTGTCAATTGCCAAGAAATTCAAGTCCAAGGTTTCCTGTTGATTGCCTTCAACCATCTAGCCATTAATCAACAGGTTTGTTCCCCTACTTTATTTCTGCCAAAAGATTTTTATTTTTTGAAAATCTCATCGCAAAGTACTTACTTTAGTCCAGTAGTTGGCTGTTTCAGAAATAATGAACTCCAAAGGCAAAAATGAAATAAGATCATGCAAGAAAAAAGAAAATATTCTATTGGTTGATCGATAAGGTTCCCATTGTTTCAGATCTGTAGAAGAATAAAGTATAAAAAGTAGTTACTAATATTATGAATGCGCAGTTATATTTAATACAGCTACTAAAATGATATATAGAATGGATTACCAAAAATAGACTGGAAAATGTTAACAAATAAATGATGAGCAAAGTATCAAATTACTTAGACATCTGATATACTCTTCCTTCAGTTTTAATCGTAGGTGAAATCGATATTGATCAAATTTCAATGTCTGCTTAAACTGCTTTCAACTGATGTTTAAGTCATTTACTATAAGAATATCAGTTGTTTTAATTTTCAATGTCAGAGTAGAATTTGGCCAATGTGGTAGAGTATAATTCTATATCAGTTAACTTTATTTGATTTAACACAATGATACAGTATTAATAGATGGATGGATGACGTTTCAAGAACAATATATTACTCATAATCATATCAGTGTATTCACACGGTTTCATAATTTGCTATACATATATTTCTCCTCTCCTGCTTGTTGTTTATTGTGATTTTCCACATATCCGATGGCCTGCTTAAATTACAGAGCTACCAGAGTTTCCATCTATCAAAATGCTTAAACTTATCTGCACTTCTTATTGTTTTAATCGTGTAATTATGTTAAATGATCAACATATGAACTCGCGCGAACATATTTAATTAGTTTCCCACTATGCGCTATGCAATTTTTGAAGGAACCGAAGAAAAAATTGGTTTTCTCTTCTTATGCAACAACATTACGGCAAATAATGTACTTCGTATCACGTGTAAATTCTGTATGAAGAGAAAATATTTTGGAAATAAATACGCTGAAAGTTTCTGCAGTATAATTCAATTATTTAGATTTTCCCATCGATTGATTGGACCAAAGTGCTCAGTCCTAGGTTGACATGTTGGCATCTTGTGCAGATGCTTAGACGATGACTGAACATGTAATTAGAAGTTAATTGGTGGATGGTGACTATCAGTGGAATCCAGCCAGGATGCGCATTTCGTCCTATTTGGGACTCGTCACTGGATGTACCTCATTCCCCAGTGAGTGATGATGTTCCCACTGAGGCTCAAATCCGGTGCCCATAGTTTCAAACGCCAAAGTGTTATCCACTAGACCACTTGGACCACGAGAGCCACCTCTTGTCCGACGGGTCATATTAATTATTGAATTCAATTTTTTAGAGTACTTCGGTCCAATCAATCAACGGGAAAATCTAAAAAATTGAATTAAATAATTAATATGACCCGTCAGACAAGAGGTGGCTCTCGTGGCCCAAATGGGTCCAGTGGATAACGCTTTGGCGTTTGAAACTATGGGCACTGGGTTCGAGCCTCGGTGGGAACATCATCATCGACTCACTGCGGAATGCCGGTACACCCAGATGACGAGTCCCGAAAAGGACGAAATGCTTATCCTACACTCCTCTGCTAGCCACTATCTACCAATTAACTTCTGCAATATATGTTCACATATTGTCTGAAATAAAGCTTTACTACTGTTATCATAGGAATTGTATCATTTTGATTCCACGTGTTTGGTGTTGATTCAATGAACACAAATTAGGTGAATAAACTCTCCGTCCATCTAACTACATTACTTTTCAATACTTTAATCTTGTTCCACTCTATTGTTTGGTGACATGCAAGTGAATGCAATATAATGGCCAAGCTATTTTCTAGATTATTTAACTTGGAAGAGTCAGTCATTCTTGGTCAGGCTAAATCTACATCATTGACCTCACAGTCATATTTGGTAAATTATATTATTTTTTCTTAGTTGGATTTACCGGTTTCTTAAGTCTCTTAGTTACTTGGTTGGTTCAAATGTCGCCTTAATTCCACCACTGGGGAAACTGGTAATCCCACAGCAACTCCCTCAGTTTCCTGGTGTATTTTACCTTGGAATTTAAACTCTGTAGAAGTTAAACATGCCTGCACTCTTAGTATGATGTCTTCTAGTGACGCTTTAGTTCTAAGTTGAAGTTCTTTGTCAGAAATGAGTTCGTTTTTGATTGCTTCTATAGCCATATTTGTCAGTATTCATATATGTAAACTAATAAAGTCGGAACTGACCATTCACCATCTAATTTTAAATTATTTCATCTATATTTTCTAGTTCACATAAGATTTAGTGGAAATTTCTAAAATCATCTAGGAGTCCGGATAAATAATACTGTTTCACTCACTGTGTGATACATCTAATAAACAAACTAATATGGAATTACTTACTACCACAGTGGCCAAGTTTTACACATATATTCTTTTTTCTTTTTCTTTTACATTCTAGCTTAGCTAACTCATCTCGTTCATTTTTTAACCTAAAAGCGAATTAGATTCTACCTACCACTGAGTTTATATGTGTGAAGAACTGAGGCATATGTTCAAATGTTAACAGAGTAAATATGTCGTCCACATATTTTCATCGTAATCTAGGAGCAGGCTTAAACTTCCACAACTATCCATAAATATGTCTACTAATATTAGTGATATTGATAATCAAAACATCATTCAGTTATTAATGTTGTATCTGACTAAGACAAGGCACAGTTTTACTTTAAATACTCTTGATATAGTGGTTTGAATCAATAAATTTTGATATGAACTATCATATTTTCATTGTTGAAGAACTTCAGTACAAATAAACTTTGCCTTGCAGTCAATCGACCATAATCCTATCTGACTTATCAGGCCTAACTTGATGTAAATTTTTGACAGTCTTCTTAAAATGAAGTAGATCGTAAATAGTGATTTAGACAATCTATTTTTAAAATTAAAAAAAACTACGATTTAATCATACTCTTAAATTCCTGCTGTGTTTAAAAACTTTTACGGGCACTTCTTATAATTTATTTGAAATGCATGTGCAAAACTATCTTAGATATAATTTAACGCCTTGAATATTAATGACAGTTTTCAAGTATTAGTTTTGTAGAGAATTTGTTTGACTGCATGGAGGATTTCATCATGAGCTGACATTAGTTAGACAACCATTGGAAAACCTGAGAGTACTGGACAGCTGCTTCGCCCTAGTTTGGGACTCTTCACAGTACGCACTCACCAGGATTCAAACCCAGGACCTTCTGGTAACAAGCCAAGCTCGTAGAACATTGAGCCACTGGGACCCGATCCAATGGTCCTTGAATTCTAACTTCTGCCAATTCACGACAAAGCGCGACCATTTCGCTGGATCGGCTCTCAGTTGCTCAATGGTCTACAAGCTCGCCTTGTAACCAGAAGGTCCTGGGTTTAAATCCCGGTGGGTGCGTACTGTGAAGAGTCCCAAACTAGGACGAAACAGCTGTCCAGTACTCCCAGGTTTTCCAGTGGTTGTCTAACTGATGTCAGCTCATGATGAAATCCTTCAGGTATTATTGACAGAACGAAGCATTCTTCAGTGAACTGTCTTGAAACTGATATTTTTACGACATAGATCAGATTAGTGCCTGAATAAATGTAATGATCAGGTTTTTGTGAGACAGTACCTCTCACAGAATGACTGATGATTTCTAATTTTATTTAACATATCGGTAAGAATGCCAATAATCAGTGATGGATTCGCTAGAAAAAAGAAATAGACAATCCCTGTTGTTAGAAAAATACACTTGAAAAGAATATCTGAATATCCTATATTCAATTTGTTTTAATCTAGTAAAATATGACCTCTAATAGTATTATTTATTTTGGCGAGTTATTCAAACGTTTATAACCTTCTGATTGGCTAGTTTCTACTAGACTTGAGGAAAAGCATTATCCCCTATGATAGCTTATGCCAGTACATAAGATAACTGTTCTTGGGTTGTGTCCTTGGTTCAGAAAAGGTACTTCTGAACTTTTTATAATTGCCATTCAACCAAATGTCGTAAATTTCTCGAAGGAGACAAAAAATAGATATCATAATGGATTGATTTGCGCTACAGGTCAGGCTGAACTGTGTCACATGATCTACTGTCAACTAATATTTTATTTGAAGGTCTTGGACGAACAGAAAAAATCATACATTAAACTGCGCTGAGAATTCTGTGCATTATATAAACACTATTCAGAATACAGCTGTTATTATTACTATTAATACTGATATAGAAAGCCCAAAAGTAGCTGAAAAGTTCAAGGAAACAGTTGCTGGACCTCAATGTACGTACATGATCAGTCTACCTAAATTACACCGATTTTCAACCTGTTCTGACTACAGAAACAAACTGACGTCTGTAATCCATCTCATAACTGCCTCAATTGATAAGCCTTCACAACCTCATTCGTTAACTCTCCCTCCCGGCCTAACGCTATGCTCCCGAACCGATCGTACTATACCACCGGACAGAAAAGAATTAGCGTAAACACCTATGGTCAAAAACTTCTGATCTTCTTATATCTCTCACTTCCAATGGTCACATCTGACAGCCATAGAGTAGGATACAAGGAATTTTTGCACAGAATACACCTCATTTGATAGATAGTCAGTGGTAAAGATGTCTCAAGTATAGCCATAGCCGAGCGGACTTTTTGTATCCATGTTGAGATTTCATGAAAATTATGCATACAGTAATTTACTAGTGCAAAAGATTTATTGAACATCTTATAACACTGTTTGCAAATGCAAATTACACTAACATAAAATTAGAAAAGTGATTTTACAAGTATATCACATTTTCTCAAGGCATGTAAGCAGCTATTAAAAATATGATCACATGTAAAAAGTGTGGGTCGACACGTTAGCTCAATTTCAGTAGAAAAAAGGTGACGTCAAAGAGAGGGGAAGAGAGAGAGAAAAATGAAAATTAGAAGAAAAAAACAACACAAAACATACCTTCTGACTTTTCACAGTGTTGACCGCATACATAACGAATCATGTATTCTGTTAAGCATGTATTAAAAGTACTCAAATCTTCTAGAAAACAAGGATTTTCACCAAGAGATAAAATCAGTTTTGGTTCATCTGTTTTCACTGTCAAATACCAGTCTTGTGCCAGTAAATGAATCTAAAATAAAACAAAGAATTTACAAAAAAATATATAAATAATGAGAACGCTAGTAAACTGATTTTTACCTTAAACGTATGATGAAGATGGATTTGTTGTACAGAGACTGAAGATGTTCAAAGGAAAAGTAATCTGATAGGATAATAGGAAATTTTTTAAATTTTTACTGTGCTTTGAGGGTTCTGCAGCGATTGGGTTGATTCTTCGGGGTAGGGTTCCTAGCCCAACGCCTGATTGCCCCGCTTTTTCTCGGCTTAGGACTGATTAGTGAATTAGTGAACTATTTAAACTACAGGAGGCTCATAGACTTGGTGTGCCACCCAAACGCTTTCCGAAAAGCTTCAGACTTTTATCAACAGCTGTCTTCGCACCATACTGAAGATCATATGATCACAGAAAGGATCAACGACAATCTATCGCCCAAGAAATATGCTGAAGAAAACAGAGATGAATAGGACACAGGCTGAGGAAACCCTTCACCAGACTGTAGTGTAAGAAATTATAAAAATAGCATGTGTTTACATAATAAAATTGCTTATTATATTTGTGTTGATTCTAACACCCCAAGGAGCGAGGATTTCGGGACCAGATCAAATTATGTTTCAATCTGTCAATCCTATTCAGACAGCTTATTATTCCTTAAGGTTCCCAGTGGAACATAGGCCTTTAACAGCAAATCACTGTTTCATCCTGTTCTCTGTAGCCCTCTTTAGCTGGCTTCACGTTTTAGATTTCATTCAGCACGAAGTGTTTCTGATACGGGATGTTCTTTGTGATTTCCAAAATTTTTCCGAATGATTTCAGTTTGTCAAAATCAGTTTTTTGGGCTGATTCAATAGAGTGTAGACCTGTGACTGACAATTTCCCAGGCTCTTCTAGTTCCATTGGATTTCTCAGTGGTCGAATAGAGACTCTACTTCATGCTGAAGAACCATGATTAAGTTACTACAGTACGTGGGCTGAGATTTTCTAGATTCTGTTTTCATATTAATTCAATAAAGCTTTAAACATTAAGCAGCGAAAAGTCATTAAAAACAAAACCATTTGGATTCTTTTATTCATTAAGTAATACAAAATTTCTATAATAATGAATATGATATACAAATTCACAAAATATTTAAATTCATGGAAACTTCAGTGTAAAACACGAACAGAAAGCGTAAGTGACAAGAAGAGAGTGTGATTCATTTGTAAAACAAATTATAAAAGATAAACCTGGAAATTTCGTTGTCAGTGACGATATTTGCACGATAATGTAAAAGCTGCTCGTATAAATGTTCGTCATTTCTGGTCGGTGCATAGGTGACTTAGCGGTAGAATGCTTGCCAACCATGCATGTGGTCCTTGGCCAACGCGCTCCTTTAACTCACTAAGCTAGTAATAAGACTGGTAAAGAGGGAAGGATTGGCATGAGGCTAGCAACCCCATCCCGTAAAAGTAAACACCATTGCTACCGAAACTTCAAAGCTCTAGCTTGAAGCTCTATGTTCTACGGGGAACGTGAAGGAATAAAAAAGTTTTTGGTCGGAGACAGTCTACATAGATCAACAAGGCGTACTTAAAACTTTGAGAGAAATGATACCCCCTTAAAAATAAAATCACTGTTACCCATTGCTGCATTCATAAACATCACTGGCTCACTTCGGTGATCACTTTTCTGACTATCGACATTAAGATTTCGAAAATGTGAAACCATACTTTGTAACCAGAGCTTTTCGTTTCTTTTAGTACATAATGGATTTTTAAATGATTAAATTTATCTCTTGTAGTAAACCAGAAATAGTGTTGCAAACCAATGTTACTTAAACAAACGTTTAAGCCGTTTCTAAGTATATTTATTTAACTATTTATCCAAGTAAATATTTAAGCTGATTTTTGAGGTAACGCAACCATCTGTATGTAATATAGAAACATAATCTTTTTAAAAAAGTAAATTGTCACGCGAGATTGTATAGATTATATTCAAATCATAACTTGAACTGAAGAAAACCTTCTTCATGGCTGAACTCCGACTAACCTTCTCTACGAAACAAGTGATTCGCTTGAGTATGACAGATAAGCTACTGCTGTTGGCTGGCCCTATCAGTGTGCATCTACCAATTCACCTGCTCCTGGGGAGGGAGGTATGTCGGCTGTACCCAGCATTTGCTATCCAAACGTATCATGGTTTTATAAAGGAGAAAATATGTCCCAACGAAGCTCTATCCTGGAACACTTGATAGAATCTGGACACCAAGAAAACCCACAAAGTAACTTCATAGTTATCAACAGAATAAGTGGGAATCTCGCTAACAGAGTAAGAATCAAACTTCTTCAAACCACAGAAGCAATTGCAATTCACATGTTATGACCTGAACTCTGCATACACAAGAGGAAATTAGTTCAGTCATTAAATCTACAATGAACCCAGTCTATCTTAACGCCAAATACGTAATTTTCGTTTTATCTTTTTTTTGCTTGTTTGTATCTTAATTTTATGATATTTTGTTCATCCACCCCTTATTAAATCTCTACTCCTTATTACCACTGAAGTTAACTTGACTTTCGTTCAGTTTTAATTTTAGTTGAATTCTACTCGACCCCATCAATTAGATTATGTCACTTAACTTGCTCATTTAATCTTACTTTATTTTCCAACCCATAAACGAAGTTTATTATCTAAAATTGACAATTCTAATAATTTTATCTTAGTTGGTAACAGACTAACGCTTTCTGCATTACGTAGTTTGCTATCTGAAATTCACAATTCTAATGATGAATCTTTGCAATTGTTTATCTTTTTGCTAAGACAATTTACTATCGAATATGCGATTGTACAATCTCAGAGTGATATCAAAGAATAGATTAACTCTTCACTGAAAACCTTTTCTTTTATATGAAGCGTTTATAACAACACTATGATTTCTTTCATTGTGTTGAATTGTTTCTTGGACCTTTCATGAACAATAACATGTTTTTCGCCACAGAATTTAGCCTAATTACTGAAATCTTCTATAGTTTTCTCCTAAAGCATCTCTGTGAATGACATCCAGACACACAGAAATCAATAAAGCTTATATATAGGGTGAGCATATATACATATATATATTTTGCATTTGGACGGTTGACTATAGTGTTACACACCCTGATATGTTTCAATTGCCTCATGACATCTCTTTGTCTCTTCACATACTGGCAGCATTTTAGAAAAGATATTACTGAAACTTCAGGAAACACCGATATAAAGACTATTACAAGAAACCTAGGTGTTAAAGATGGCAATGTTGTAAGTAGTCTCCTGTCTTCAAGTGTCATCATAGTAATAAAACTAAGCAAAAACAATTTATCATAACTACGTAGAGTGTTATCACTTATCACAGCAATGTAGTTAACTAAACATCAGACTATTATTGATGTATGTACAGATTTTTGACCAATTAATAAAGTCATCCTTGAAATAACATGTTCACTGAAAATAGGTGGCAAGTAAATGATTGACCATTGCAAGTAATGAATGATACTTTGTCACAATTACTATACATGAATGGATGCATGAACGTGGAAGTGCAGACAGTGATCTAACGTTGACTTTGAGGATTCAGTTATGAGCTGACATCAGTTAGAGAACCAGTGGAAAACCTGGACAACTGTTTCGTCCTAGTTTGTGACTTTTCATCATTACGCACCCACCGAGGTTCTAAGTTTTAAAATTAGTCGGAGAAAACAAAGAGATTAATACAGCCAACTTTGGCAATGGTTAAAATGTAACTTCTTACATAGAAATAATAATAATTAATTCACTATTATCACTCTCATATGCTCCTTTTGTATATTTTCACACTTTCTTCACACTTGGTAAATTGACACTCAACTACCACCTTTCTTCTCACTTAATAAAAATTTTAACCTTATCAAATTTCTGACTCATTCTTCCATTTTGCCACTGAGCACTGAGTTATTTACAACTTTTATTTTTACTTCTAAAGCCACTTCTGAGTAATTATATCAATTATGTCAACCCGCCTTCACCTATTACTCAAGAGACCAGACCAGACCAGACCACCTGTGCGTCGGTGGCACAGTGGTTAGGACTCTCGCCGACCATGCACATGGTCCGGGGTTCGATCCCCTGCCGGCGCACACCCGATATCTATGGTCGGCCTGAATTTGGACTACCGATATCCATGCTGAAAATTCCATACTTGTACTGAAAATACGGTGTGGAATCAAGCTGTAAATCAAAATAAAATAAATAAATATACATTTTTAGTAAATATAAATACGGCTGTACAGCCTCTGAAGATGATTTCGTCGATAAATAAAATTTTCTTCGCTAAATTGTCTTTTATTTTCTTTATGACTCAATGGGTATTTTTGGTGATTTACACAGAAAGTAGTGATTACACAAACAAAAAAGACTATCACTTCTTTACTATGTGCATAAGTTTCAGGTATTCAAAATGTTTGTGTGTCATAGAATTATTAAGATAAGGCTGTTACTAGACAAGACTGAAGTCTGAATAACGTTTACAAAAGGAAGCAAAATGTATATCTTTCAAAGGAAAAACAGCTTGTTAGAATAACCATTGAAGGCAAAAGTGTATCAGTAAAAAGTAAAACAATTGGAGGCTGTCTCTTCGTTGTATAGAAGCTTACTGTTCCACAAATGTCTGTACCAAAACTTCTGATTTATAAATGAAACCCACATAGTGAACATCTAAACAAATTGAAACTGATAAATGGCCTGAAAGATATACCATCTTATAATTTATACTAAGACCTACGTGTATCTTAGGAATTATCGGGTTTCAAATTGTAAATTAAAACTAAATGCAAGGTTACAACACATGTTAAATTCTGTAACAGTTCATTTAAAAATTTACCACACAATTGAACGACATCATGTAGTTTTTGTTATGCAGCTTACTCCTAAATTAAACGGTGAATTAAATACCACTTGAAATTATGTAAGTCAGTATATTTCAAGGATTAATTCCTAAACAGGAAACCTCCCATGATGTGTCTCGCAGTGGAAACCAGGACGTACACTTCATCCTATTCGGATCTCGTCATCTGCATGAACGTGTTGTCTCAGGTGATTGGTGGTGCCAGATTCTCAGTTAGAACAACACTCAATAGGGATTGCAAGTGCACCCAGTTGACGAGCCCCAAAATGGACAAAATGAACATTTTGGATTATACAGCTAGTCACTATCCACCAGATAACATCATGTTAGTCCTAAGACATCATCGAAGCATCCATACTCCACGCCAACATATCAACAGAGGCAGAACATTTCGGTCCAGTAGATCAATGGTAAAAATGAAAATTCACTTAAAGAGAGAAAAATAAATGGCTGAAATATTTTTAAATTTATCTTTATTCCTTCATGTTCCCAGTGGAACATAGGTCTTCGAACTTTTTAGCTTTGAAGCTTTCAGTAGCAGTCGTGTTTATTTTTACAGGATTGGGTTGCTAGCCTCACGCCTAACCTTACCACCTTGTCCAGCTAAGAAAAGTAAAGGTATACGCCAACCAGGACTTGAGTCGCAAACCACGTGCATGGTCGGCCAACGCTCTACCACCGAACCAACGACGCACACCATAGTTGAAAGCTGTTTATCATTTACACAAGTGAATCTGAGTATTTCTACGTTCACCTGAAATTTTTCATCCCATCAAACGGATAATTTGACTGAAGATTCACAGACAAACGTATTTAGACTAAAACAGATAAAACTTCACCGTATTCGATTTAAAGGGTTCAAGAGACTATCACTGTTGGTCTAATGAATACGTATACCGGATCGAAACACAATAATATCAATTGACGATCTACTTTATAAATTTCAAATGTTCGTGTTGGTGCGATCTGATGCATTTCATGATTGACCAACAAAGTGTCTTCAGTTAGAGAACCACTGAAAATCAGAGAGCTGTTTCGTCCTATTTTGGGTCTCTTCATCCGAACAAAACCACGACATCGACAGGCATTGAAAGCTGAATTATCAGGTTACAAGGCAAGCTCGCTGACTATTCAGCCAGTAGAATGCAATCCAATGATATGAGAATTTTAATATTATAATTCCGCGGATATTAAGCGATTTTCGCCTTTCCAATACAGTCAACAACATTCAAAGTCTATTGAAACTAAAATCTTGTGCTTCTATTTCTGAATAGTGAATATAAACATGGTAATTACTTACTATTCTGGTAAGAATGAGAACTAATTTGTACGTTATACTGAAATAAAGTAATAACTGGCTTCTGATCAACACATTACTGCCTGAATTACCTCACTAGGTACTCAGAAATGACACTTATTTTGATAAAAGGACAGTAGCAAGCGAGATAGGTTGAAATCTTTTTTTGTTGTTTGATTTCTTTTGCATTCCAAGTGGAACATAGGGTTGTAGGCTGGAAGCCTTAAAGTCTCAGTGGCCCTGGTGTTGTTTTAATGCAATGGGGGTGCTACTGTTACACCTACCCTTCCCTATATCTAAGACCTATCATCGATAGGAAATGAAACCCCAGTGGATGGTTGATGAACATTCTACCGCAGTTTTAGATCTATTGCAGACAAAATGTAAACAATATCATCAACATTGAACGCTCTTCTAATTATCACTTCAAATGAACACTACAACTTCAACAAGAATATTTATGGAGCATATGATTAAATGAAAATATTAAAACATTTTTACTTACGAATAACTCCAGAAGAAACCATAATGAAGGAAAAAATGTTTGACTACTTTGACAATCGATTAATTTTGTTCTACACAAATAAATTTTCACAAGTTCTGTTAAAATTATCTATAAAAAAAGAGGGAGTTACAAATGAAGGAAAAACAACACTGACATTAGTACCAAAAACAGAAACATACTCCAGTGCGTATAATACAAAGTAAGGCAATTAAGAAAAAAGAGAAGGTTGGATGGAGGATTTCATCATGAGCTGACATCAGTTAGGAAACCACTGGAAAACCTGGGAGTACTGGACAGCTGTTTCGTCCTAGTTTGGGACTCTTCACAGTACGCACCCACAGCTGTCCAGTACTCCCAGGTTTTCCTGTGGTTTTCCAACTGATGTCAGCTCATGATGAAACCCTCCATCCGACCAAACCAAATCCCTACAAAATAGAAGATTAACATGTCAGTGACTGGAGTAAATAAGAAAACGTGCATTCTGAAATAGAAATGAGCATCGCAATCGCTCTTCATACAGTTCATAAATCTCTTTCACAGACACTGATCAGCTTTCATATACCATAATTTATTTCCCTATTTCCTTTATCTATATACTTTTCAGGCTATATCTCAAATAATAAACTGCATTAATCTTTGGAACCAAGTTTGATAGCCCACTAAATATAACGCATGTTTCACATTCGAAGTAATAGTATGGTGAGAGCTAGCTGCAAGCCAATTTACGTCAATGTTACGTCCCGAATTTGGGTTATGAGAAAAAACGGTAACAAAGCTTAACCTTGAGGAACTCAACAACCGATCACAGTAGACTTAACGTGTGCAAATATGATTCGCGGATATATGGGTAACTTTCTAAGAAACGGTCACAAGCAGTACAGAATAACCCCCAACAGGAAAACAACCAATCAAAAGACGTTGCTTTTCCTCTGACAATAATGTACATAAAAATCTATTAATATCTCTTGATTTTCTCAATCAAGGATCTATTGCCTGGCTCTTATATTCTGTCGTTTCAATAGGAGTCTTTGTAGTGAACTCAATTATGAAGGTAAATGTAAATAAATATAAAGAAGTTAAATGTTATTTCACATTTATCAGTCTCAGCCCTGTTTGGTAGAAAACAGCCGTAGTAAGGTGCCTCTTCAGTTGAATCCAACAAGTATACACTAAAGACACATTTCATGAGGAATAAAGAAAGTGACACGAACTCTGGTTGATAACAATTATCCAGACAAGTTCATTAGGAGATATAAAATAGTAAGTGGAACACCAAGACCCATTCTTCAACTGGCCAATAAGAAGGACGTATATGATCAAGCTAACCTATGTGGGTGACCATGGCAGCTGGATAACTCAACAACGGTTGAACGTTATGGTTAAAAGAATTTTTATGCAGCTAAGATCATGATAATTAAGAATGTGTAGCCAATATAACCATCTAATCCCTCTGAACATGTGAAAAATGATGTCACATCCCATTGTATTTACCAATTTGAATGTACGTGTGGCCACATATACGTAGGGAGGGCTCACCAATCTCTGCGAGTAAGGGTTTCAGAACATATTCCGAAGTGGCTTCAGAAGCAAATAGAACCCCCAGAACCCATTAATGGTGAGAACACGAGACCTAGTTCCTCTATTGCGAAACGTATTATAGAGACAGGACATAAAAATGATGTTCACACGTTTTTTTAAACGTATCTATAAAACGTGTTTGGGGCGTATCCTAAAGTTTGTGGAAGCCCTAGCTGGCAATTAGGAAGTTTAAAGCACCTTTATGCGTTCAAAGCAACAATTTTTCATCACACTAAACCTTCCTTGGAAGACTTTGTATTGATACCAGCCAGGGTAGATGTACTATTACCTCTGTTATTTGGTTTAGTGACCTTTGTTGTTATTTTGATCTTCAATAGGTCTTTTTAACTTGACCTAAATTTATTTTCTCACCTCTTAACTCTTTATTAATTTCATATGTATATATTCCTATGACACATCCATGTGTGATCAGATTGTTCGAAATGTGTTGCGCAAATACGCACTACACGATTCAGACAAAATACATCATCTTATTTCTTCGCCTAGAAAATTATCTTAGCAGGTGTGAATAGTATTTGTGTTAAATCGATGAATAAGCCAATGTGAAATTGTGAATGCTTTTGCATAAACACCTTTCCAATCGTTCATTTTTCAATTACTTGTAAAATAAAACTGAGTTAATTTCCTGACGAATTATTTATGAAGTCTGATTTTAGATAGAATAAAATTCATCAATAATTTCTCATTCGCACAGTTAACCACAATTTCTACAAGGAAACCCAAAATACTTAGATAATATTATATGGTCCACTTGATAATTAATATAAGTGGTTTTCTACAGTTTGGTTTGTAAGGGTTAGTTATGTTTTTACGAGTTGATCACGGATTGATGTCAGTTAGAGAACCATTGAAAACCAGGGAGTACTGGACAGCTGTTTCATCATATTTTAGGAGTCATCGGCACTACGCACCCACTGGGATTCGAACCCAGGACCTTCCGGTTACAAGGTAAGCTGGTTAGGGTTGCGCTAAATCACGAATTGGTAGAAGTTAGAATTATTGGGCTGGCCACTGAATTGAATCCCAGTGGCTGAATGGTATACGAGCTTGCCTTGTGACCAAAAGGTCTTCGGTTCGAATCCCAGTGGGTGCATACTGCCGATGACTCCTAAAATATGATGAAACAGCTGTCCAGTACTCCCTGGTTTTCAATGGTTCTCTAACTGACATCAATCCGTGATCAACTCGTAAAAACACAATATAAGTAGGCAGGTAGCTATAATTAACCTATCTTTTTTGTAAATTAATTTTTAACTCCACCTACAGTATGTATGAATCCATCCGTGATAAAACTTGAAACACATTAAATCCATACAAACTAATCCTTAGAAGTTATTCTTATGCTCACTAGTGATTGATTGAAGGACGAAGTTTCCTGAAGTCCTAGTGAGAAATCATGACTAGTGGGATTCAAAAGGTCTTCGGTTGGTAGTGGCGCTGTAAATTATGAACTCACAGAAGTTAGAATTCGTGAGCTGGCCATTGGATTCCGTCCCAGTGACTTATTAGTCAATAAGCTTACCTTGGAACCTGATGGTTATGGGTTCGATTCCCATTAGTGTCATGAGTACGTAGTGCTACAGAGTCCTGAACTAGGACGAAACAACTTTCCATTTCTCTCTGGCTTTTATTGTTTCTCCTACTGAGGTCTGCTGGCGAGCAGACTTGAAATCAATTAGATTCCTGCAAATCAATACTTAAAAATGCATAACAAAGACTCAGTGAATTCCAGGTGTATTAGAAAATGAGGCTGTTCACAGTAAAGCTGTGAATCATGCAAGAAAAATCAAATTTAGACATTGAAGGTGCAAGCGGAAGCACATTTTGTAAATTGAGCTGGAGATGATAAGCCTCACCTTCAACAATCTTATTACCCAAAGGCAGTCATTCATTAAGTAAAAATTAGCTGAATACATTTCACATAATAAATTATTACTATTCAACATGACAATTATTAGATACTTTCAAGATTCAGATTGTTGGGATCTCATTGGGTTCAAGTATGATCATAGATTGATTTTAGTTAGGGTACCATTGAAAGCCAGAGGCCACTGGACATCTGTTTCGTCTAGTTTAGGACTTTTCATCAGTACGCACGCATAACCCTACCAGAGATCGAAACTAGGACTTTGAGGCTAGAAGGACAACCTCGTTGACCATTCAGACACTCGGGTCGGAATTCAATGACCCATGAATTTTAACTTTGGTCCCGTAGAAGGTTGAAACAGTTGTGCAGTCCACCCTGGTTTTCAATGGTTCTCTAAATGATATCAATACATGACCAAACTTGATACAAATCTATGTATAACTCGAAGCGAATATTAGCAAAAAGATATTTCCATTATGTCATGTTTTTATCTGGTAGTCGGCATAATCTTCAGAAGATAAAAGTGAATACAAAAATGTAATACGTACATTAACTAGAAGATTTTTGTCAATTTCCTCAACATTTATCAAATTTGAAACCAAAGGTAATCCAAACAATGGATGTCCAGAAAAATAATGACGTAACGCTGTAAAATAAACAGAAAATCACTGCAGCTATAATAGAACAAGTCAATTTTCATTGCACAAAGTAAAAGAATACAAGTTAGGGAATTTTCATTAAACATTCGAATGATATTTTGCTTAATATATATTATAATTATAATTATACAAACTTTAGTTAAGTGAAGAGGCATTTTATGCAGTCTGATGGCGTAAACTCTGATGTACTGTGATGTTGGTTACTTAAAATTAGAAATAAGTATTATATACAATAACTACAGGAGGGACGGACGAGGATGTCAAATCGACAATCGGGAAGGAGGGAAACACATTCATGAACCTGAAACCAATCTGGAAATCTTCTTCACTCAGCATCAACAACAAAATTCGGATTTTCAATACAAACGTCAAGTCAGTCAGTTCTTGTAAACGGATGGATCAGAAACTTGGCGGGTCACAAAGAATATTTCCAACAGCCGGTTGCAAACCTTTATCAACAACTGTCTTCGCTCTATGCTGAAGATCAGATGGCCGGAAAGAATCACCAACAAGAAGCTATGGGAACAAACGAAACAAGAACCAGTCGTCCAACAAATATGCAGGAGAAAGTGGAGATGGATTGGACACTCGCCGAGCAGGGCACTGGGTGACATCGCGCGTCAGGTCAATGCTCGAGTGAAACCCGAAAGGGAAGCGACGAGTGGGACGTCCAAGGGTGACATGGAGGAGATCGTGTGAAGAGGAGTTGAAACAGTTTGGACTAACATGGATGCAAGTGAAAAGTACAGCAGAAGACAAAAACAAGTGGAGGTGTGCAGTTGAAACCCTATGTTCCACTAGGAACCCAAGGGAACAATAAAATAATATGATTATATACAGTAACATTTTCAGAGAAGCTGTGACAACTCATCTGTGCGGAGGAAAGCTAACGAAGAAGAAACAAGAAATTACATTTTTCAGAAACGATAATAAAGATAAAAGAGTGTCTAACGCAGAACTCATCCTTTTTTTCCATCTCTGTGCATTCGAAGTGGATTGCTATCCTCACGTCCAACCATTCCTCTTTTCCGGGTTGACTGCCAGTTAGTGAAGTAGGTGAAATTCAGGAGTGTGCCAGCGGAATGACACTATCGATAAATAGTGAAATCATTTCAGTGTTTATCATTTCCTTCCTTAATACTCACTCATTGCAATCTGTCCGAATAAAAATTAGCTCTGACCTTTCTATTCTTGTTCACATTTTACTCTAAGAAGTTTAATGCTAGTAGGAGAAAGTTTAAATAGATGAATACAATTTAGCAACAGAATACATAAACATTTTCTCAGCTAAATTAATTAGTAACACTGTTCATGAAACCAACCTGAATCTGGAAGAAATTTCATGCAATAAATATTTTCTTTTATGATTACAGCTTGATTCCAGACCGTATCTTTTTGGTGCAGATATTCAATTTTCAGCATGTGATATCGGTAACCCAAATTTCACAGGCCGACCATTGATATCAGGTGTGCGTCGGCAGCAGAACGAACCCTGGACCATGTGCATGGTCGGCGAGAGTCTTAACCACTGTGCCATCGATGCAAGAACATAAAGCCTTTCAATCTATTTGAAGAGAATACTAAAATCCTATAAATTATTACCCACTTGAACAATGAATACTCAAGTGTTCATTGAGTACAACAACATTTATTCCCGTAAAGAAATTTTTTATTACCTACAGTAATTATTTAGATAGTGTACAATATACACTGACATTTAGTAGGCTTGAGTACAAACAAAAATACCACCAAAGCGTGGACAACAAAGACAGTGAAACCCGATTTCAAATTAGTCGGTGGCACAGTGGTTAGGACTCTCGCCGGCCATGCACATGGTCCGGGGTTCGATCCCCTGTCGACGCACACCCGATATCTATGGTCGGCCTGCAAAATTTGGGCTACCGATATCCATGCTGAAAATTCCATACTTGTACTGAAAATACGGTGTGGCATCAAGCTGTAATCAAAATAAAAAAATAAAAATAATACAGGCTCAATTGCCTTGCAATTAAAATTGTTCTCTGAGCTGGTTGGTTTAGTCGCGAAGCTTTCATCGTCCTTCCGGACAACATCTTCAGCGCCATATTTAGCACAAAGTGAAATGATTTAAATTTCTTCATGCGTGATGTAATTGCGTCTCCTGGCTACTATCTTCACATATGTATTGACCACTTTCTATTGACTAGGATTTTAAACTTTTTGGTCACCTGATTTACTTTTTATTAATTGGTATATTTCATCTATATTAACGTGTTTGTTAATCGCATTTTCGCTTGAGTACCAGGCTTCTAGGAATTCTCTGGCACTTTTCGTGTTTCCTCTGTTTAAGATTTTGACATGATCCCAATCAAACTGATGACCATAGTTGTCTGCATGCATTGATACTAACGAATACATATCATGTCTTTTCACGGCTGATTTATGTTCTTGGATTCTGATTCGAAGGGGACGCTCACTTTGGCCGATGTAATGCTTGTTGCAGTTCATACAATTTATTTTGTTGATGGTATTAATTTTATCCTCTTTTTCTGTTGGATCTTTTGGTTTGCATAGTATCGAATTAAGCGATTTTACTGGTTTGTGTGCTATATCTATATCTAACGGTTTCAGTATTCTGGCTGTTATTTCAACAGAAAAAGAGGATAAAATTAATACCATCTACAAAATAAATTGTATGAACTGTAACAAGCATTACATCGGCCAAAGTGAGCGTCCCCTTCGAATCAGAATCCAAGAACATAAATCAGCCGTGAAAAGACATGATATGTATTCGTTAGTATCAATGCATGCAGACAACTATGGTCATCAGTTTGATTGGGATCATGTCAAAATCTTAAACAGAGGAAACACGAAAAGTGCCAGAGAATTCCTAGAAGCCTGGTACTCAAGCGAAAATGCGATTAACAAACACGTTAATATAGATGAAATATACCAATTAATAAAAAGTAAATCAGGTGACCAAAAAGTTTAAAATCCTAGTCAATAGAAAGTGGTCAATACATATGTAAAGATAGTAGCCAGGAGACGCAATTACATCACGCATGAAGAAATTTAAATCATTTCACTTTGTGCTAAATATGGCGCTGAAGATGTTGTCCGGAAGGACGATGAAAGCTTCGCGACTAAACCAACCAGCTCAGAGAACAATTTTGATTGCAAATTATCCTCCTGAGCTACAAATCTTCTCTATTATTTCAATTGCCTTAACGAACAGTAACATATTCGAACTAAACATCACAGATTATAGTACTCACAATCCCTCAGCAGAATTAGAACACTAACTTTGGCAGAACCTTTGAATGCGTATAAGCGACTAACATTTTATCGCACAATAAAAAAGGTAGTACCATTATCATCGACTATCAGTTAAACGTGTTAAGCTTCAGCTTAATTCTTTCTTTTAAATCACTACTATTCAATTCTTATGATATAATTTATTACTCTTTCCTACAATTGCTCCAAAATTTGTATCAAACAGATTTTTTTTGCGAAGCCGACAATATTGTTAATATATATTTCTGGTTAGAAAATACAAACAGATTATTACATATAAATACACTGTTCAACTTTATCATTTTCTAATATGTGTGCACATACAAATATATATATTTATGTAAGGATGAAGTAGGAATGGTTTATGATTGTTTTATGAACAATTTTCAGTCTGTTTGTCCCACATCAATACGAATTAGTTCTTTGCACTAAACTACGTCAGAATATAATCGTCAACACTAACTTTCAAACACAATGACAAATACACTTTCTTTTGAAGTAATTTATAAACGTGAAATTACCACTGATGTTCTAAAATATCGACCAAACACATTGAATGAGAGAAAATTGACTTTGGTAAACTGCTTCTTCAAGCAAAAAGTGAAGGATTAGTTTCGGTGATAACGTTGTCTCTGTGCACCTTTAAGTCTAACTGCTATTGTGGGGCCATTAACGTAAAATGGCACTTTGAGGGCATTTTGTTCATGCCTGAGTATGAATAGGTATTGATATAGTTGGGTAAAGAAGCAACTGAATTCGTAATTAGTGCAGTTGGTAGATAATAGACATTAATGATCTATGGCGTTCCCGGAGCTCGACTAAGTCTCCCATCGGTAGCTCAGGCATTATCACTCGAAGAATAGAAGAGCTGCTATTTGTATCCAAAAGAAATATTTCCAGTCACTTGGCCTACAGTAGGGTTATCAAATCCCTCAGTAATACTTTAATCCCTATCCCATTACTTTTCTTTCTCCCCTTGTTTCATCGACAAACCTTTATTCCAGACACCTTAGGATTACATAATCCCTCTTCTTGTTATTTACTATCAGCTTTATGTAATATTTGTCACATTTGTAATTATATCCAAGTAATCCTCTTCTTGCAAGTAATTTAACTACTTCAATACGTGATAATTGTTCACTAATCGTACCAACACATCATAACTATTATTTTGCTATTATTTGTCACCTCTTTGACTCACTTTCAACCAGAGTATCCTATGTGTTTGCTTATTTCTTCTCTTAGATTACTGACTACAATTCAAGCCTAGAAACCTATGCTTTTGTCGATTGCAAATTCATAAACATGTCAGTGAATTATTTAATCTCATTTTAACTTATGTTCTGCCTGACCATACCTCTTAGATGCATTTAAACGATCACCAGAATCAACTATTATTTCATATTGTACTCATATAATATTAATTCATCTTTACTGGCTATTGCATATTAACTTTCGTAGGTATGTAACTGTAGAGGCTGAAGAAGAATTTATTGAAAATATTTGCTTGTTTTAATTATTTTACTTTCTTCAAGTCAAGTCTACAATATGATGTGAAAATTATTCACACACGCACTCAGGAAGTGTGAAAACTAATTAAGCGTTCTGTATGAAATTACGAATTGTAATCAATTCATTTTTTGCTACAAAAGGCAAAGAAGCTTTCGTAGGAATGATTAAATTCTCAAAAATTTTGAGATAAAGAAATTCAAAGTGATGATAATATTAAAATGAATTCAAGTATTGGTTTGTAGGGATTTGATTGACTGGTTACAGGATTTCATCACGAGCTATAACCTTATAATCGGAAGGTCCTGCTTTCGAACCCCGGTGGATGCCTACTGATGAAGACCCCTAAACTAGGACGAAACAGCTGTCTAACCAATGCCAGCTCATAGTGAAATCCTGTAACCAATTAAAATGAAATTTCTGAACAATCAGTTAATTCAAAGGATAGAGCATCATGCATATGGACTCCGATTGTATAAGTTGCCCAAATCCTTTATCAACTTCATTCAAGAGCTATATAATAATACCATATGTTGAGTGATTCACAACGGAAAGCTCAGCATAGCCTCTGAATTGAAGACAGGAGTACGACAATGTTGGGTACTATCATCGATCATATTCCTGATTGTTGTGGACTGGATCATGCAGCAAATGGTGGTGATCGATGAGAAAAATCTAGAAGGTCTGGACTTTGCAGGTGATTTCCATATAGTGTCACACCAACTCGGAGATCTACATGCGGAAACCCGCAAATCATGGAAGAAGACGGCGAAGGCAGGACTTCAAGAGAATATGGAGTTGAGAAGGGTGATGAAGACAACTAACCACCTACAACGAGTATCAGTTTCTATCAACGGGAAGGATATAAGAAACACCACCTCTCCTACTTACCTAGCGTCGTTTTTAACTACGAGCGGCACAGATGAGGTGGCAAAGGCGGGACTATAGAAAGCATAACAGACCTTTATTTATCTGAAATCAGAGTGGAAGTCTGCCGTAATCAGCATGAGGAATAAAATTTGTATTTTCAATGCTAATGTGAAGTCAGTGCTTTTGTATGTGACAAGTTGTTGAAGGTTATTGATGCATACATTATTTTACTGCACTCTTTAACTTCCATTCGAGATAAATTCACATAATATTTTCGGCTTCTTTTTGGTTGTATATGAGGCATTAAGCATTAATCTCAGGTACTTAAATCAGTTTCAATTAAACGCTATTTCAGAAAAAAACAGACTCACCTGATTTAGTAGGTAAAAACTGTGATCCATTAAGATAGGAAACTAGAAGTTGATTACGTCCGTGCTTGTCATTCAAGTGAGCGAAACTGAGTGAAATTCGATTTAAAAATGCGATAAGTAGTTCCAGTGCAATTACACCAGGTTGATTAATTTGAATATTTTCGCTTAAGTGAGCATTATTCATTTTAATTAGAAATGTCTTAATGATACAGCTGAATAGAAGTCGAAGAAAGCCATCAAGGAGAGGAGCAAAATATGCGATCAATTGATGAAGACTTGTTTTATTGATGTTAGTGAAAAGTTGCCTAGAAAATTAGAATTGACATTTAAGAAAAGTATTTCGGTTTTTATTTTGTGCATTTTAACCATAATTTTAAATTTCTTATTTTTTAGAAATAAAAACAAAACAATCTGATTGTTCTACTTCTTAACAAAATGACAACACTGTAGTCGACCTTCACCATCACCTGGAGAATGATTCGATAGACACGAAAAACAATTTTACTCCTAAGGGTCTCATAGACGTCAACATAATCTGGAAAATTGTTCTCTCTTTGTTGATAAATGACAGTTGTATGCCATAAAGCCTATAGATACAGAATTAAAGTTTATCTTTTGGCATAAGCAATATCAGAAAAGTTGGAAACATTTATCTACTTGCTATATTATAGATAGTAAGAGATGCGCCATTCCCCAACAATATATAAGGGAAATAAGGATGGAATGAGTGAGGTGCATCATTAAGAGAGGAAGCAAGAAAGTATTCATGTCAAGATCACTCAATATTCATTAATTCATGTTACTTTAAGAAAGGAAAGAGAGAAGGAAATTGAAGCATGTTCACCACTGATTTCCATCTTTGGTCAAATGTGATAGCGTTTCCAGGGAACGATTTGAACTATATTATCACGAATCACAACCAGGAATTCGTAATGCATCAACTAATACTAACCTAACACATATATGCCTCATCTTACGACGCCACATCAAAAGCTGACCACCTATCCGCTTTATCCATCCAGTCTCAGTATAAACGAACACCGAGTGGTATAAGACATTCGCACCACATGATCAAGCTACTGAAGCCGGTGTTTAAAGATGATAACACTTTATGGGAAATGACATCCGCGGATTCCAAAACACGCTGCTACGCCTTAGAATTACTCACACGATAATGCCATCAGACGCAAACAGAGGTAACCACATAAGCCGTATCGCCGCACATCCTCAGCTCGGAGAGGTCAGGTTTCGCAGGTGTAGAGCATGACTGCAAGCACTGAAGTAGTGTAATTTCGACCTTTGAAAGCCAGGTTGGCGTTGCGACAATGCCAGAGTTGGCTTAATTTGGCGTATGCCACCTTAGCTATCACCATACGGCTTCAGTTTTCATCTGTCACACCACCAACACTCACATAACTACCTAGATTCACGAACTTGAAACTAACTCCAGCAAGTTTACCTTTAAGGGTGAGTGCAGATAGGGGCTCCTGTCAAGTTTGCAATAGTACTTTGCACTTAGACGGCTCAAAGCACATACCATACTTACAGATACTGATCGCCAAATGATTAAGTGCGATTTGGCCAACCTGCATGTTATGACACTATCAGAAACATACAAGAAGATGTTTCAAGTACGAAAGATGAAGATTACAAGTACTAATGGACTGCAAATGAGAAAAAAAACACCAAACCTTCCTTAAACCACATTTTCGATGTAAAAATAAATTTACAGTCATAAATAATTAATGACCTACCTAACAGCTGCTTTATTTGTGAAACTTTCAATAGTACAATTGATTCGACTTTGATGACACGCTGATAGAAGGCATTCTAAGGAAGCGTCTTGCATATAAACACTTGAAACAACAGTAGTAGAAACACTGAACAGTTCACGATGAGCATCAACCCATTTACAAGCATCCATGCAAAACTGTGTTGAGAAATAAAGTTGAAAAAATAACCGTTGTCAAATTATGATTATAGCGGATACGAACGTTTCTAAAGAGTATGATGATGTAATTTTGGTAAAGTATCTACCCTCAAAATGTATTTACATGCTATGTAAGTCTTGTGTGTATTAGGCATCTTTACTACTATATTAATCCACATTGTGATGTATACTTATAATACACTTATTTCTGTAAAAAGCGGACAAATGCTAGACATTCAGTTTTTGAAAAGTGAATGAATACGTCACATAACTTCACCTGACAATAGTTTTTTTAGTCTTAGTTTTCAGCAATGCTATACCGATGGCGTGAGTTCTGCTGACGAGAATTCGTAATTGGCACAGATTATGTGAAACGTTCTGCCAAAATGTCTGCATAGAGTAGAGAAGGATTCACTTGAAGACAATGGGGAATACTGAAAGTCGTGAATTTGTGTAGAAAAAATGAGATAAAGGGGGAGGGGGAAGCAAAAGACGTAAGCGTAGTGAGAAGTGAAACATGAATAATATGTGTAAATCAAAGTTTCGATGTACGTAATTCTGCTAAAACAACAAATTTGCCCCAGATATCCCTAAGCTCTTCAGTACACAAATAGTATATAACAAAATAAAGGGTGAAGCACTAGGCATACACATAGTTGATAAAATAAGCATAACGATACATTCAACGTAACTTTGGGGTGGCAGTACACTCCCCATCCCCATTCTTATTCTTGCTTTCATCGAAAGAAGACACATCGGCTGGCTGACTGGTTTTCCTTAGACTTTCAACAGCCCAGTGTGTCATTTCGTCTCTCTGATTCCAGAGGAGAATAAGTTTGATTTTATAGTTTTTGTATTTTTAATATTTTTTTTATTGTGCGTTGAAGTTTCTGTAGCAGTTTAATTGGTTTTGTCAGGCTCGTGTTGGGCCGCTAACCCTACGCGCAACCCTCTCCCTTCATCCGAGCTTCGAACCGGCTAGAAAACTAGCAAGATAGTAAACTAGGTGAGGTTAAATTTAAAGAATTAACAGTAATTAGTGCTTGCATTCTTTGCTATTAGATGGTTGGAGGCAATCGGCAGAAAGCCCTGGACCTGGGTTTCATGACAGTTAGCACTCTCCAGCAAGGCGTACCTGCAAGCTTGAAGGAACTCATGTTCCTTCTGAGTTTGAACCCACGTCACTCAAAGCTGCAGTCAGAGACGTTACCACTGAGCCATTCTGGCTTGGCAACGAGTCGGTCGTCCTAGAGTGTCATAGAGGAGAACGTGCAAGAAGGAAATGAGAGATTATGGACAAAAAATGGAGATGTGTTGTTGAAAGTAATTTTGTATTTTTTGCTGATCGATTATACTGGATCAAACTGTTCAATCTCTGATAACATTTCGGCTACCTCTACAGACATTTCGACGTTATCTGTAGATTAATACGACGGCATTTGTTCAGACTTGTCGTAAATACGATTAAATGTGAATCCCGGATTCCACGTCTAGTCACCATCTACCAACTAATATCACGCTACTCCTCAGACATCGTCAAGGAATCCTTACAAAGGGACCGGAACGCCAACAGAGATCGGATATTTCAGCCTAATATAACCAATCACCAGGAAATATAAAATTAACTTTAATGTATGTTGAATATATTATCAGGCATATTCTATCTTTTTCAAGTATTGGTTTTGTAGGGATTTAGTTTGATTGAATGGAGGGTACAGCAGGTTGAAGATGAGGCAGTAACTCATCGAAGAAGAAAGACATTGCGAAATGGTCGCGCTATGTCGTGAATTGGCAGAAGTTAGTATTCGTGGGCCATCGGACTGGGTCCTAGTGGCTCAATGGTCTACGAGCTGACTTCGTAATCAGAAGGTCCTGGGTTCGAACCCCGGTGGGTGCGTACTGATGAAGAGTCCCAAACTAGAACGAAACAGCTGTCCAGTACTTCCAGGTTTTCCAGTGGTTCTCTAACCAATGTCAGCTCATGGTGAAACCCTCCATCCAATATTCTATCTTATTAACTCTACCTGGAAAAATTAAGTACAGTGAAACTGTGATCTATATAAACTATGTATGGTTCGCTTTTCACTAAGCATGTACATTTTGCCTTTTCCTCTTTATTTCATGTTTTCTGTTCAGAATCACAATTTTCTCCACTCTTCCTATTTTCAACTTCATTCTTTGTTTCTCCTTTCAGCTTTTTTTGCAGAACATATTACACGCAATCAGGGCCAGTGGACTGGATTATGCGTCAGGCAGTGGGAAACGAGAAGACAGGGATATCCTGGACCGACGTGAAGAACCCAGAAGACCTGAATTTCGCGGATGACTTATGTCTGATGTCACTTACAAGCGAAAACCAAAAAACTGGTTGAAGAAGAAGCAAAAACAGGACTCCAGGTGAATATAGACAAGACGCAGGTTATGAAAATAAACAACCAACAACAACAAATACAGCAGCAACATCCACCGCCAATCACCATCAACGGGAGGGATTCGAAAGAGGTTACTTCATTCACTTATCTAGGGAGCATTCTCTCAACTACAGGAGGAACGGACGAGGTTGTCAAATCGAGAATCGGAAAGGCGAGAAACACATTTATCAACCTGATACCAATCTGGAAATCTTCGTCACTCAGCCTGCATCAACAACAAAATTCGGATTTTCAATACAAACGTCAATCAGGTCAGTTCTTCTATACGGATCAGAAACTTGGCGGCGGGTCACAAAGAATATTTCCAACAGCCTGTTGCAAAGCTTTATCAACAACTGTCTTCGCTGGCTCTATACTGAAGATGAGATGTCCGGAAAGAATCACCAACAAGAAACTATGGGAACAAACAAAAGAAGTATCAATCGCTCAGCAAATATGCAGGAGAAAGTGGAGATGCATTGGACACTCGCTGAGGAGGCCACTGGGTGACATCGCGCGTCAGGACAACGCTCGAGTGGAACCTGAAAGGGAATCGGCGAGTGGGACGTCAGTGCAAGGGTGATTTGGAAGAGATCGTGTGAAGAAGAGTTGAATCAGTATGGATTAACATGGATGCAGGTGAAAAATACAGAAGAAGACAGAAGCAAGTGGAGACGTGCAGTTGAAGCCCTATGTTCCACTAGGAACCCAAGGGAACACTAATAATAATAGGGCCAGTTACAAATTCTCATCAACAGACCACACGACACCAATAGAGCATTGCTGCATATAGAATGACAAAAGAACTGATATGACGTCTTGATTCATTTTTTTCAACAAAAAAAAGAACAACTGAACATCTAGCATGTGTTTGTTTTTTTCACAGAGATAAGTGTGTGCTCTAAATATTATACTTCACAACATGATTTAATAGTGGAGTGGTAAAGATGCTCAGTACACACATACACGTTTTAAATAATGCACACACCAACAAAAACTTCCATCATGTATCAAATAATTAACATAACATAACATATTGTTTTACTATTTTAATGCACAAAGATAACTTGACACTCTCCTAAACAAGATTAAAATGTTAATTTTTAAAAACACAAGGAGAGTTTAATTTTCAAAAATACCACTGGTTACCATTACTTCTTTATCTTTAAATGCATCACTTGTGTAAGTGATAATGTTTATACAAATGAACAAAATGGCATCTTTTTTGTATATTTATTGACAAAAAAAATGTTAAAAGGCTAATATGATTTATAGTATTTGGTGCCAAACCCTTGGATTAAGGTTAGGGTGTATAAGATGAACTACTAAAACCGATCAATACACTGCCTTTTTAAAAAATATATATATAAAATGGTGACCAAATGACAATCTATGCAGCTGTCTACCTTTTAAGTGTATCGATCGAAGCATTTGAATCAGATGTGTATATTTATCATGTGTTCATTGAGTTACCTTTGCTTGCTTAGTGGGATATAGGACTTCACACGTTTTAGGTTATGAAGTTTCCCTAGCGGTAGTATTGTCTTTTACGAAGAGAGGTTTATAGGCTCAATTTCAAGCCTTCCTCTTTATCGAGCTTACCTCCAGTTAAGCAAGGTCTAAGAGTGTGTCAGCCTACTACCGAACCCCGGACCACATGTCTGGTTGGTATTCTACAACTAAACGACCGACGTGTGTGATATGACATAATGGACTGGAAAATCAAAATTTAAGTCCCGTAATTTTGGATACCTATCAACCAGGCCTGGCTTTTGCCTTGAAGAAATTCATACACCTTCTTTCAGAGAATTTCCAGTAAGCAACTCATACCAGAGTCGGCCTTCTATAATTACAAGTTTATGTTAAATTTAACGCCGTTTCAAGTAGTTCCATTCTAACCAACGCTAAAAGGATTTTTAAATGAATTATTGACCGCTACATGGCTGTATATGGGAGTTTTAAAAAAAGGTTCCTTTCTTGCTGAACAGACGTATATTAGAGTGAAGTACCTCACATAATACGCAATAAATTCTGCTTTCCTGTTCTCAGAAAAGCATTCTAAATAAAAATGGTATTGAAATGAAAACAAAATTGATACCAACACTCTATTTCACCAACAAAAAACTTTCAAAAAAATAAAAACGTTGAGAAACACTTAATGAAAAATAATGACCGTTAAAATAAGCAGAAATCGGATCGAGAAGGTTGTACACTTATCTGCCCCCCGGCTGTTTAAACTTTTAAACATCTTTCCAATTTCATGTATGCAAGGCTTTAAACTTTGAGCCTCTCAAGTCATTTTACTAGTTCGATTTCTTTACAAGTTCAAACATCAACTTTAAATTACTTATAAGAAAAAAGAAGAAAAATTGAAGTGAACACTCTTCGCGTTTGGCGTCAGTTTAAAACCGACTCACTTAATTATGTGAATTATGCATAGGTAATGGTTACATTATTGGTATGTTACACTACACCAACTTTATTAAACGTAATATGCCTAATTACCTAATCAGTTAGTACACCAACTGAATTGTAAGTACTTATAACAAAATGCAAATAAAAAAGAACCAGTCATCTAGGAATGTGTTCTAATGACCACTGCATTTAAATAGAACAAAATATTAAGGTTACTTACATAAAATAATTCAGAACTTATCTAGCTGGTGTGACTGAACTGTGAATTTTGAATATTTTCATCTTAAAAGCAAAATAAAGACAAGCAAAATGGCGCCCAAGACTGGTACCATGGGTACCCGTTAAAACAAAACTTAAAACACTAAAGCATCCATAGGTGGATTAGACGTTTATTTAATTATTATTGTTATTATCATTAGTAAGTTGATTCACTTTGATCTATTTATTTTAGCCCTTAGTTCAGAATTAATGTCCTGGAAGGCTCACTTTACATCCATGACAAAATAACGGTTAAATGAGTGACTATTTGTTAATACTACGGAATTCATCAAAATCATATTTTAGAAAATTTAGTGAAACAGTGAATAGTCAGTGTGGAATTAATTACCTTTTCAGTAATTGATTTGATATTGGGTTTTACCATTGCCAAAGCTGGAGATGGTTTCTCCAGACTGACTAACAAATTGACATCATTATTTTTCAAGCATCCTTGTTCTAACAGAGGTAGCCACTGATGAATCAAAATAAGCAAATGAACAAAATAAGTAACGAAGGTGAAAATATCAACTAAAATTCAACAAAGGAGTCTAAAAATATTTGTACAAAAGAACAATTCTTCCTCAATATGAGACATATTCAGCTGATATTAGAGAGCAGTTAAAGAATATCCAATATTCAAAATCAACGAAAACCATTTTTCAAGTATCGGTGTACACGGATTTCATTTGGCTACAGGTTCGATTACAAGCTGAGATTAGTTAGAGAACCAGTGAAAACCACGGAGATTGTTCAACAGTGTTCACCAATGATTCCAGCTGTGTTGAGTGAGGTCTGCAAAGTCAGATGTCAGGGCAGAAACTCGTCGATGACACTGGCTGGCAGTGGTGAGGTATGCCGCGAATTATGCAGAAGTTAGATTTCACAGGTTTCAGAGGCAAAATGTTTAACGAGCTGATGCCATATTCTGTAGCTCCTGGATTAGGCCTCTGAAAGAATCTCTGGTTTTCAATGGTCCTCCAAATGATACTAGATAGCGTACTGTAGATTATTCTTTTATTAATATTCGCCATCCTAAGTTCAAATGAATTCTCGTGTTTCAGTATCTCCGTTACAGCTGGTCCACTAGTTGTAACCATGTACTTAACTTTGTACTCATTACATAGAATTTAGTAAAATAAATATGAATCAGTCTGATCCTTGAGCCCAAAAAGACTTTCCCTGGTGAATGTGTTCGTTTAAACGACACCATCATTTTGGTATTGTTTAAAATCTCACCTGAGGTTTCCCATATTCATGATTAATAAGACACTTCTATAGAGGCTTTGAGAACCTATTTAACATAATAGTGACTTGATTACTATTCGTATACTTAAGTTGTACTCCACTGATATGAAAAATTTACTATCAGTTAGTATACTTTCTATTTAAGTCTCAGTAGTCAGATGAATTGTATTCACTTACTCTTACAATCTCATAGGTAGATGTCATTGATATCCTCCTTTGTCTAAATACTAATTATTTTGCATAAAATAATAACTCTTTGTGCTTCCACAATTTGAATGCATATTTCTTTTATTTAAAAAAGATGCCTGAAGGCCTTGATTCTAGCATACGAAATTAGAACATACACTGTAACAAATCAGACTGTGTTTTACGCACAAAAAAACGGAATCTGATACATAGACATGCATAGATCAAACGCCTATAAGTAAATAAAATAGTTATTCAACTATCGTGTTTCCAATGATAATTATTTAAATTCGACCTCACAGGTATATAGAAAGGTGAATACTTAGTCATGTCTATCTTTTTTTATCGATAAAATATTCATCCCTTTCAACTTCACCAGAGTAGAATATCCTTGTGAATTATCATGACTTGTTTTCATTATGAAAACTTATAAGAATAAGTACTCATCTAAGGATAAAACCATAATCTATAAGTTTATTTCATTGTACTTTGATTTTATTGGTAGTTATGCTTTTTGTAATTAATAGTGTTCTCTGAGCTGGTTGGTTTAGTTACGGAGCTTTTGTCGTCCTTCTGGACAACATCTTCAGCGCAATATTTAGCATAAAGTAAAATGATTTAAATTTCTTCATGAGTGATGATATAATTGCGTCTCCCGGTAACCATCTTTACATGTATGTATTGACCATTTTCTAACGACTTGGATTTTAAACTTTCTGGTCACATGATTTACTTTTTATTAGTTGGTATATTTCGTCTATTATATTAACGTGTTTGTTAATTGCATTTTCGTTTGAGTACCAGGCTTCTAGGAATTCTCTGCCACTTTTCGTGTTTCCTCTGTCTAAGATTTCGACATTATCCCAATCAAATTGATGACCATAATTGTCTATATGCATTGATACTAAAGTATACATATCGTGTCTTTTCACAGCTGATTGGTGTTCTTGGATTCTAATTTGAAGGGGATGCCCACTTTGGCCGATGTAATGCCTGTTGCAGTCCATACAATTTATTTTGTAAATGGTATTAATTTTATCTCTTTTTTCTGTTGGATCTTTCGGTTTGCATAATATCGAATTAAGTGATTCGACTGGCTTTTGTGCTATATCTATTTCAAACGGTTTCAGTATTCGAGCTGTTATTTCAGAGATATTCCTCATGTATGGTAGAATGAATTTTCTTGTGGTCTTTGATGATGGTTTCTTGTTGGTGTTTTGATTCAACTTTAAACACTTTTTGATGACATTTTGTGGATAACCACTCTTTTGAAGACCGTTTGTAGGTATTTTTCTTCCATTCTTTTCAACTCTGGAGTGCTACAATGTGTTTGAACTCTTTTAAACAATGTCTGCACACAGTTTCGTTTCTGAGTAACTGGATTATTGCTAGTATAGTTGAGTATTTGATCTATGTGCTTTCATTTTCTATATACTTGTGTTTCTAAATTTCCTGTGTTGGTTCTCCTGATTAAGACATCTAAAAATGGGATTTTGTTATCTAATTCTTCTTCTCTTATGAATTTGATGTCTTCAAATATGTTGTTTATTAATTTGTGGGTATATTCCAAATCATTTCTTTTAATTATTACAAATGTATCATCAACGTAACGTACCCAGATTTTTGGTTTAATTATAGATAGAGCTATTAATTCTAATCTTTGCATAACGGCTTCAGCTATTGATCCTGATATGGGCGACCCCATGCTTTTATGCTTTTTATATCTCTGTTATTGACGTCGCCTCATTCCTGTAGCACAATAAACAGAGGGACTTAGTGATGACAACCTACCCCTCCGCCTACCTATATTACTTTTTAAAACGTCTGTACGTCTGTCTCACCCTATTGTGTGATTGTCTGTTATTGCATACATTACAACTGCTAAGTATTTCTCTAAGCTTATTCATCTTCGCGGGGATCAATCATTCTAAAATAAGAAATAGTGAAATTATATAAATGAAGTTTGAAAGTTATGTGAGTGCCTTGATATGATTATATGAGCAGTAAATTGTGCTCTAAAGATTATCAGTGTTAACTGTGTGCTTTTATCAAAATAAATTCATTCTATGATGAAGTTATACTGTAATACAATGCTTAGGTTCTGTTCATATATAAACGCCACAAAATCTATTACTACTGCATATGGCATTTCATTTATACGCGAAGATCTAATACTTAACCGAATGAATAAATGATGCAGTAAAACAAATAGACGAACTTTCTTATTGTTAAAACGAAAAACAAAAAAAATGTATATATGTAAACAGATGGTATATCGAATGGGTGAATATCACCTACAGAATAGCCGATCACAGTTTCCAAGGTTGCAGTTGATTCAACCTTTTTCGATTGACAAATAATATGATAGAATGTAAATAATAAATAATGCGTTTGTTCCAAGTGTGCAGGCAACTGAATTTTTATTTCATCATAAAATTCTGGAGATCTGAGATGATTTGAAAGAAGAGAAGAAAAAAGGAAGTAAAATAAGGGCATGATTTAACAAAGCAAAATGTCAAGTAGAGTAGATTCGTACAGATTAAAATTTTGATATGCATAAAAGTTGATCAGGATGTGAATTAGTAGATCTTATGAGACCAAAAAAAAGTTGAAGTTATAATGAAATTGTTTTGAACAAAGAAAAACCAGTTTTCACTGAACTGTGTAGTCTCTTTTCATCCTTCACGTTCCCCAGTGGAACACAGGGTTTCAAGCTTGTGCCTTGAAGTTTCTGCAGCAGTATTTATTTTACAGGATAGGGTTGCTAGTCTCATGCCCAACCTTTTCTCTTCACCAGCATTATTTCTGGCTTAGCGGGGTAAAGGAGTGCGTCGGCCGGGGTTCGAACCCTGGACAATGTGCACGATCGGCAAGCGTCCTTACCACTATGCCAACGACGCACGAACTGTGTAGTCTGACGTGAGTTATTCAATGGAGGTAAGTAACATTTCCCTGAAGGTGATTCAGTTAATTCAGCCTTGGACCTGAAACATGAGAATCATATATAATTACCTTCATCCAAAGTACATTATATACACTTCAAGATTATCTATTCATTGCTTATAATATAAGTATAAAACTTGGGCACTGTGGTAGAGTATAACTCCATAATGGATAAGATTTTATTTTGATAAATCACACAGTGTTATACAATAATATTAACTGATGACCACGTTTCGAGCACAAACTGTTGCTCATAAACACATCAAGTTACTCACACAATATTTTCCTTCATTTATATACATGTGTGGAATCGACTAGATATTTGAATAAAAATCACTATGGGATAACGTACATTCAGAAATAATAATATGAGTGTTATTGATCAATTACAATCAGATGGGAAATAAGACGAGTGCTTTTATAGTCAAAATAAGTAACTTGTTAGAATGCTTTGATGTACATGAATTGAAATGGAATTTTAAGATTATTTATTATCCTCCTCTGATTTGACTGACTGGTGGTAATAATATCTTCCGTATCTCTGGTATTTGCATTGAGTCATTTCTGTTGCATGTGTTGTGTTGGGTGTAGACTCAATGAACCAGGCAGGATTCAGTAATCAATCTCTCTTGCTCTCCACCTACATAGATCACTTCTTAGAATCTTAACCCTCTCCCACCCTATTGTGTGGTTACGTGTTAATGCACGCAGTGCAATTGGTGAGCTTTTTTCTAAATTACTTATCTTCTCGGGGTCAACCACTGTTACACACATATTATTATTTCTGAGTGTACGTTATCCCATATTGATTTTTATTCAAATATCTAGTCAATCCCACACATGTATATAAATGAAGGAAAGTGTTGTGTGAGTAAACTGATATGATTATGAGTGGCAATAGTTTGTGCTCGAAACGTAGTCATCAGTCAGTATTATTGTATAACACTATGTGAGACTTTATCAAAATAAAATCTTATCCATAATGAAGTCATTGCTTATAAGATGTCTCATTTACATTTATCTGTACTTCTGAAGTTAAGAGTTAGTTCAATCACTGAACCCACAATGGACCTAATAAGTCTTCGCACCTCATATGTAATATTTATTGTTTTTTTCAAATTATTTTTCTGCCTTCCTATTACTACAATTCTATTCCTTAGGACACGGATCTTAACTTGACTATCTTTCAGTATTGATTTCAGCTCTACTCAGTCCGGTCAATTACATTTCGTGAAGTAATTTACTTGTTTTTTTTTAAATTTTATTTCAGTTTCCACCAGATTAATGCTTTCTCCATTGCAAAGTTGTTATCTAAAACTTGAAATATTATTATTGTTTCCTTTAATTCCTAGAGGAACATAGGGCTTCAGCCTTGCATCTCCATTGCTCCAAGTCTGCCCACATGCTTTCATCTCCTCTTCACATGACCTCCTCCAAGTCACCCCGCCCTCGCACTGACGACCAACTCGCCGCTTCCCTTTCGGGTTCCACTCGAGCGATGGCTTGTCTAGTGATGTCACTTGATGGTTTGTTTTCTCAGAGTATGGCCAATCCATCTCCATTTCTTCCTGCCTATTCGTTTCACAATCGGTTCCTGCTGTGTTGGTTCGCTCCCAGAGATCTCTGTTGCTGATCTTTTCTGACCGGCCATCTGATCTTGAGTATTGAGCGAAGACAACTGTTAATGAAGGTCTGTAGTTTGTTTGAGATGCTCTTTATGACGCGCAGTGCAAGTCTCTGATCCGTATAAAGAGTAACACTGACTTCACATTGGAGTTGAAAATCCGGATCTTATTTTTGAAATGGCATACTTTCGAAGACATTCTTTTTGTTGCTGTGTAATTTACTATATTATATGGGCAGTTATACAGCTTGAGAGTGATATCACTGGAAAGAGTAACTCTTCGTTGAATGCATCTTCTTTTATATGACCTTATGTGGATTGTTTTAAGTTACGTGTACCTATGCTTCCATGATTGTTGGCATTGTCTCTACATACAGCATATATGGTATTAGCATACACTTATCCCTTTGTTAGATGATAGAAGGTCATCGGTAGGAAATCTTCAACCTAGGCTAAGTGCTTGTTGGCACTCATCGGAAAGGCGTGTTTCCATTCTCGAAGCGGCTCATGCCCCTATGATATTCGAACCTAGATCAGTCAATACATTAGTTAGACATGTTACGAATGAGCTATTTGGGAACGTGGTCAACCTCCTGCCGGACTGCAATCGACACTTTAATTGGTCACTGGGTAGTAACTAGTGTCGTATATCTAGTCCTTCGTTCAGTACAGACCGAAATCTATCGGTCAGATTCCGTCAAGATTCCAGATACGCCCCGTTAGCTAGTGCTAACAATCAGGAAGCCTCCCGAGTGCTTTCAACCATCCCTTAGTATGGTGACTATATAGTAAACTTGATTAACAGAATTCAGTCTGCAGTCAACTCAAGGGCTAGACGAATGACATTGATTACTACGCTCCCCCTCCCACTTCGATGATTAATCAAAGTGACTAATCTTTTTTATTTTCCACTAGAAAAACAAATTACATTGAGTTTTGTTATCTTATTCACATTTTGAATATATGAATCTAATTTTTTCAAGATTAGTAAATTTCTTACTTCTTTTTATGGCTACACGCGGTAGGTAACAAACAGTTGATGACTCTGACTCTACACAAAGACAGGTACATCTACCCTCTGGTGTTCTTTTTTTCTTAAAAAGCTGTATCAAAAGTGAAGTTGTTCACTGACAAGAAGAAATATATCTTATTACTATGAAATAAACTTGTTTTTTAAGGCTTGTAATAGTAATGCATAAACAATGTCTAACTAACTGTCTTTTTTTGTATTGTTCTATAACAATTTTACAGATACTTAATGAGAAACCAATTCACTAAGAGGTTTTTCCCTTCTAAGAATAATTACAGACTATAACAGGAAGAGTTTTTTCTAGAAAATTGAATAAAATCTGCAAATTATATAAATTAAGATAAACGAAATTTCGTTTCGAAAAGTGATAATCTTATGGTTTTGACCACAGTGATCAATCAATCACCTCCCATCGAGATACTCACTGGAATACAGTCTTTAGCTGAACAACTAAGTTAATGTGATACTTCAATATCTCACTGCGGAGTTCTCAATCATCATGTTGTTTGCCATATCCACCTTGATCACACATGAATTTCGCCTTCTTATCATGTTAGCTTTTTGATGACTTCCTGGTATTTGAATTAAAATTCAGAATTTAACTAAGTGTTGAATATTTGTCTGTCGACCAACTGTTATGGAGCTAGATGCCTGGGACGTCCATTGAGAAACATTTCCTGTAGCTTCTGAGAGCATCTTAGGTTATGGTTCAGCAAAGCAGAATCACAGCCAATATATCCTTCAATATTAATAACGAATTCAGGCGAAACCTGAGAATAGGGTGTTCAACTGCATTTGTTATGCATAACAGGAGTAATACATAATATGAAGCCAATAGTTAATGTATAAAAACAGTTCCCATGGTGCCTTTTGTTATTTTGATCCAAATTTACCAAAACCATTACGAAATTTTCAAGTATTGGCTTCGTAGGGATTTTGTTTGATTGATTGGATGATTTCAGCATAAGCTGACATCAATTAGAGAACCAGTGAAAAACCATCATGAAGTGCTGAACAGCTGTTTCACCCTTGTATGGAACTCTTCGGCAGTACGCACCCACTGCCAGGGTTTGAACCCGAGACCTTCTGGTTACAAGGTGAGCTCGTAGACCATTAATTCACTGTGACCCATGGATTCTAACCTCCGCAAATTCACGACACAGCGCTACCACTTCTCAGTGTCTTCTTCGATGAGTAACTGTCCTCCCCTTTGACCTGCTGTACCCTTCGGGTCACGGCTTCCCATCAGAACCCCGGTGAGTGGCTACTGATGAGGAGTCCCAAACTGGGACGAGAAAGCTGTCCAGTATTCCTAGGTTTTCGAATGGTTCTCTGACTGATGTCAGCTCATGATGAAATCCTCAACCGTTACAAAATTCACAAAATCACCGAAAATACCCATTGAGTCATGAAGAAAATAAAAGACAGATTCAGCGAAGAAAATTTTCTTTATCGACGAAATCATCTTCAGAGGCTGTACAATCGTATTTATACTTACAAAAAATATATAGTGGTCTATTATTGAGTAATAGGGGGTGACATAATTGATATAATTACTCAGAAGTGGCTTTAGAAGTGAAAATTAAAAGTTGAAAATTACGTGGTACTCAACGGCAAAAAGATAGAAATTTGATAAGGTTAAAATTTCTATTAAGTGAGAATAAAGGTATTTGAGTGTCAATTTAACAAGTGTGAAGAGGGTGTGAAAATATACAAAAGGAGCATATGAGAGTGATAATAGTGAATTAATTATTAAAGCAAAAGCTAACTAAAAGTGAAATTAGAATGAAAAGAAAAAATCAAAATATATTTTATTTACAAGGAACGATTAGTGAAGAGGTTAAGACCAAGGTAGAATAAGAGACTGGACAAACTTTTTCTGTATACAGAGTTCAGGGTTGTATTGATGAATTGCTAGAGCCTCCGCCATACACAAAAGCCGAAACCTGACGCCCTTTGTACCATTTGGCTTCACTTTGTAGATGATCTTGAAAGACGATTCTGGTGGAGCTACGTGGCCTGAGTTCACCAAATGCTCGAGAATTGAGCTAGTAATTGTCTTACATTGTCCCTTTGCTAACCATGCCGGATAATGCTCAGAGATGCGTTTGGAAAGCGTGCGCTTTGTGCGGCCAATATAACTAGCTCCACACGAGCAAGTGAATTTATAAACACACATTGAGGTGGCCCAAAGCGGCAATTTATGCTTCACACACCCGCTGATCATTTGTCGGCTGTAGAAGTTGATACGTAGCTCAGCCACAAAACTTTATATTTTTCTTATTTTATTTGATATTTCCAAATATTCTTCGATAAGATGAACATTATATATATGTATATATATCCAATTACTCATATTCCCAATGCTCTAGTCATTTATATTATTCTAATTCGTTTGTGACTTACTAATCACCTCTACTTATATTATTATTATTACTATTATTGCACTTCAGTTGCACCCAATTTGTTACTTTCTGAATGTATAAATCAGGCTTATTCCCACATTAAATGCACCATAACTAACCCATAAGTAAAAATTTTTTTAAAAACATTTTGAATATCACTGATTTAACTTACCTGTTATGATACAGTACTGCGGTAAATGCATCACTGATAAATTTTGGAGAATTACTCTTGCCATATATAGCCTGTTATGAGTGAAACAAAAATAAATTCACCATTTAAATTGATGTATCACAGGAAAATATTACAGTTTGTTTTTTCACACAGTTTATGATGCAATGCGTGTGATAAAAATATTAACAACAGTGCAACGTAAAAGGGATACATATATGTGCTTTATATTGAATAAGCTTTTAATAGATTCGGTCGTATGTAAACAGGTAGACAGTTTCGTAGGTTTCTAAGATATAATCACCCAAACCTTTAACTTCATAGTGGCTCAATGGCTAATGATCTGGCTTCGTACTCTGAAGGCCTTTAATTCATTACCTGGTGGGTTCATGAGAACCTACTGCAAAACTAGGACGAAACAGTTATCCAGTACTCCCTGATTCTCAAAGTGGTTCCAATCCATGGCGAAAACTTATCATTTCAAATAAAAAGCTGAAGATAAAATGAATTAGAAGCTGGATTTAAGAAAAGCAAATCATGTGCTAATCAGATTGCGACTATACGCGTCATCATCATCGTCGAACAAAGCATAGAAAGGTAGTCAAACCTCTACCTCAACTTCATAGACTTCGTAAAGGCCTTCGACAGAGGGAGTTGCTGGAGGAGTAATTTGGAAACTGCTTCAACACTACAGCGTGCAGTACCCAAATCTTTATCAACCTCATTCAACAACTAAGTGACAGTGTCACGTGCCAGGTGATCCAAAACGGAAAATTCAGCGAAGCGTACGAAGTGAACACAGGAGTGAAACAAGGTTGTCATTATCACCGATGATATTCTAAACTGTGGTGGACTGTATTGTGCGTCAGACTGCGCACGGAGAGCGAGGAGATAGGAATGCGCTGGACGACTGATAAGAAGACTCTAGAAAATCTGGATTTTGCAGATGATATATATCTAATGTCGCATAAACTCGAAGACTTACAGGCGAAAACCAACAAACTGACTGAAGAAGCAGTGAAGACAGGACTCCACGTGAACATAGAGAAGACGAAGGTGATAAAGATAACCAACGAACAGCAACAACAACAACCAGCACCAACTACCATCAACAGTAGAGATTTGAAAGAGGTTACTTCCTTCACTTATCTAGGAAGCAAGGTTTCAACTGCAGGCGGGACGGATGAAGATGTCAAAACCAGCCAGAATCGGAAAGGCAAGACACGCACGCGTTCATCAAGCTGAAACCAGTTTGGAGATCTTCTGCACTCAGCCTAACCATAAGGAACAAGATTCGGATTTTTAACATAAATGTGAAGTCAGTCAGTTCTTCTATACGGGTGCGAAACTTGCTCTGCATGTTACGTAAAGCATTTCCAACAAGTCGCAGACTTTTATCAATAGCTACTTTCGCTATCGCTATATTGATCATTAAATGGCCTGCCGGAAAGAATTAGCAACAAGAAACTCTGACTGGAAACTAACCAACCAAGAGCCGATTGCCCAGCAAATAAGTAAGGGGAAATAGAGATGGATAGGGTATACATTGAAGAAACCATTGAATAACACTGAGGCGCCAGGCCACTGTTCGAGTGAAACCCGAATAGGAAGCGACGGGTGGGTAATCCGAGGATGACATGGAGGAGACCATGTGAAAAGGAGATTAGACATTATGGGTAATCGTGGGCCCAGTTGAAGAGGACAGCAGGAAACAGAACAAAGTGGAGATGTGTTGTTGAAGCCCTTTGTTCTACTTGGAACATAAGGGAACAATGATAAAGTAATAACAAGTAACATCGTTTCGATGAAAGTGAAATCGTACGACTTGTATCTTGAGGTGATCAATTTCTTTCAGAATGCTTAACAATTAATTTTAGCATTTACAAGCTACATTTTTAAACCACATTTAAAGTATCTGTCATTTTGCAGCTTTAATTAATTAATTAATATATTTTGCTATCAGTTTTCAGTCTACAATCATTTATTTCGCTTTAGGAAATTAAAGCTACCATGTCTGAAAGTTGATCTAATTTTTTGAAAGAATAAATTTTGTCAACAGAAGTTCAGTCTACTGAACAAATTACTAAAAAAGAAAGTTATTATTTGCGCCTGGAATATCTCAAAACACTGGTGAAAGTATCACCGTGAACCACTATCTACCTGAAGTTGAGAATGTTACTCACAATTATCAGTTTCAGCGGCTCAAGAAACAAGAATAGAATTCAGAAGAAAACTGCTTTGAAATACACTACCACATTTGTTGCGTCTTTTAATAATTTGCAGTTATGATCATTTCATTTTAGAAGCCAATTAGTGACTAGCGGTATCTCGTAAAAAACGTCATATGCTTGTTGTTTAGATTTCGTGGTCCCTTAAAACTTCAAATGTGGATAGTGTCTTTCGCCTGATAAACTTGGCATATTTGAAGCAAAGTGTTTTCGCTCGAAGACGTTCTCAAAAGGCGAAACTGACCAACATAAAAAAGTGAGGATAGTTGCACTCATTTACCACGTCAGTTAATTCCTCAAATCCGGCTGAGTGATGTTGTGTGAGTGGATCCTGTGAAATTAATCTGATTAGAACATGACACGCCAGCACCGACTAATTTGTCATGCAATGTTAATCAACCGATTAGAAATAATTCCTAAAACTATAGCACATAACAAATGAATTATTCACAACATCAAAGTCACTATATCTGCTTATTTTCTTTCGGTAACATCACTTCAGTTGAATGAAATATCCAATTCAATATGGCTTTATGAAACTATTCTAAAGTATATGATTTTCATAGAACACGGATTATAACTTCGCATCCTAACCTTAGAATTCTAAGTGACTATAGTACTTACTTTACTTTACTTCGGCTATCTCCTACGGGAGGATGAGCCGGCTTCATGAACATCTCGAATGAGAGTCGTTTGTAAGAGAGTTCATGAAGTTTCATGGGAATTTGGTACGAGTGATGTCCCCAGAATCGCTCGGCCTTTTGTTTCAGAGTGCAGCTCTAGCCTTTACACAACCAAGTGTGACCTACAAGGCAGTAGGAGTGGAGTAGGGAGTCCACTATCCATTGGCAGCCGGTGACCGGAGTTCGGTTCATACGCCTTTTTGAATGGGGCCAGACATCCAGGACATCCAACAAACCCTTTGTCCATACGTCTGCCGGGGAACTCCAGTGAGCTTCATACGCCAGTCGTTGGAGGTTTGGAATCAGGGTTTAGCCATCTCCCCTAGACTGTCATCCAATGGACAGTCAACCCGGTGAAGAGCGCCGGGCATCCGCTTTCGCCCTCTCACTTTGGTGAAAAACACCTCCGCCACGTGAAGGCAGTGAGTAGGGTTTCCTCAGGAGAGGCTATGTAAGTCGCCCGGTCATATGGGAGCATTTCAAGAGGTGTGCGGAGGGGTGGCCAACCCGCAGCGCAAGGCACCCACCCCCGACCATCCTGAGGCTTTGGAGGCTATGGTGCCAGAAATATACAGTACAACCTTTATACGGGTCTCAACAATCGTATGTTAGTTAAACATATGTACGTGTATATGGAAGGAGAGAGGTATACACAATTGTAAGACTGAAACTGAAATGAAAGAGAAAAGCAATAATGCTATAAACAATATGTCCACTAACTACTAACCTAAATAAGAGCTGTACACAACAGACTATTCGAAATCAAGTTTTGAGGTGATTAGAGTCATCAATGCAAAATGCAGCGGTAAATACAAAGTGATGAATGATCATAATCTCAGTTTACTTGTTATAAGATGAAATTTTTCTTCGCTTCTTTTCACAGATCGATGAAGGTTGTGTTATTCTAAGAAGCTCACCTAGTTTACCAGCCGATCCTATTCCCCAAAAAGTAGACAGGAGGATTTGACAACCGTACCTTGGAAGTCAAACTTCGTTGCCACAAAAAATTCAAAGCACAGGAAAAAACAATGAACTTGTTGAAAACGTTTATTTCCCGGTACGAAATTTACTACTGTCAGCAGACAAAGAAACAAGAAGATGCTTGCATTTGCGGAGGCTTGTGCAATTTGAGTTCATAAACCAGGTCTCTGTGTACAAAAGGAGATGGTCGTCACTCTAAATCTACCATGGTAATACGTTTTACTTATAATTCTACCTCTTATTATTATTATTCTTGATTCATTTAAAACTATCCTTTATCAGTAGCATTATCTTAACTCACTTCAACATTATTATTATTGTTATTGTTAACTATTACTATTGATATTACTCTGTTTGCAATTCTTGCTATATTCTCTAATGTCTAATTGTTTATCTAAGTGATGTAATTGAAGCGTAATGCAATCTATCTTAATTTTGATCTCTCATACTCTCTCTCTCCCCCTATCTATTTGAACATGACCTGGAAAACATTCGCACCTGTCTTTCTGCAGGACTAATTCGATGTAGTTTATTTACTTATCAGTCTTATATTTCCCAATGTAATTTCAAAAGTATATATATCCGAGTATGTAGAGTATTCAGCTGACGAGTTATATCGAAATTTGATGAATTCATTAAATCCTGATTTATTAACCTTTATTGCTTGTTTAAATGAACTAACTCTTTGCTGGATTCTGGAGGATGGAACGGCGCAAACTGGTGAAATCTTCTGAAATGCTAGTGGACGGACGTGTCTTTTTGAGACGAAAGCAAAAATAAGCATGCGACATGAAATGTCCATATGAGGTTTCAAGATGGTTGGTAAGGCTGATTAGTTTGCAAAAGAAATATGCTAGAGAAGGGTTAAGCACTAATTAGGACAGATGGAGTGCAAGTAGCCTCTCCATAATTCTTGATTAAATAGTCAGTAATATCTACTCAGGTTACCCAAACCACAACCACGAATATGTTGAGAGTAGCAATGTTAATGCACTGTCGAAGGCCCACGTTCCACTAGGAATCCAAAGGCATGATAATAATACTATTATTCTAAGAAGTTTCAACCTAGGAATTCAAGAGTATAGCGTTTTCTGCACATTTTGTAGTCACTTAGTGTGTCTTGTAGGTAAAATTACTCCCACAACATTTTAACACACAAAAATAAGCTGAAAAATCTGGAGAAAAACCAAATCTTACCGGAAGCACTTTCGTCACATTGGAATCACTATACATTAGCTGTACACGTACAGTAATATTCCGTGAAGATGCTTGTTTTGACGGTGGAAGACTAACACTCTTTGGATAAACATACAGAAGATTCCTGTAAACAAAATAATGGTAAAACAACATTATATATCAAGCTAAAACTATGAATACAATTGAACACTGAAGTTTACAAATACTGATGAGGTCATCTTCGCAAAACAATATCTGATCCTGCATATCTTATAACTATCGTCTTCGAATGAGCGCAATGTATTGCATAAATCTTAAGTGTATTTGCAGTAAAGTCGAATTTGTTACCAATCAAAATTCCTAATTGTTTTTAGTAAAGATCGTTGGCACTATATAATATGCAATCTATCCTTTAACAGCACCATGAATGGGAATCTAGTAAATAAGGCGGTGAATATGATATCATTCAAGTAAATATCAGCAACAACTGATTTAAAGAATATCCCAAATTTCCATGAACTTTTATTTTTTTATTTTTTTTATACTTTACGTTCCCCAGTGGAACACAGGGCTTCAAGCTAGAGTCTTGAAGTTTCTGTAGCAGTGTTTATTTTACAGGATAGGGTTGCTAGCCTCATGCCCAACCTTACCTCTTCACCAGCATTATTTCTGGCTTAGCGAGGTGAAGGAGTGCGTCGGCCGGGGATCGAACCCCGGACCATGTGCATGGTCGGCGGGAGTCCTAACCGCTATGCCACCGACGTTCCATGAACTATCCTGACGAAATTCATTATGATGGACTTCAGTCTTAATGTGCCACTTAGACGACTACAAATCCCTGTTTATAAGCGTAAATAATCTTGTAAACAGTAACCTGATGAATAGTTAAATTAAAATATTGAAATTTAAAATATTCTAGTTGTCAAACTAACTCAAGAAACAGGATGTTTGACGTAACTAACATCTGATAAATACTTGCTTATTCAACTGGAAATTATTTTGCATCCTTTCAAAATGTGCCAGAGAACACTACCCAGCCTGGCTGCAAGCAACCGAGATCTATTCATTCACAAGCACTACGACTGTCAGTACTTGTCACAAAACCTCAACAGACTCATCATTCAGAGTCATTTATAAAGTGAGCAAAAATCTACCAAAGGCAATGTGTTCCCAACACCTTTGTCCTGCACAAGCTCTTGCCATATTCATCAAAAAGCCGGAGATGTGTGTTCAAAAGAAACTAGTCCATCCTCTAGTCGTGTTTGACTCCTTAGTTGTCGTTTTTTCGCATTCGCTTCATTTTGCATCATCTTCAGTTATAAAATATATTATTTCAATTTGCTTGTTAGCGCATCTTCACACTCGTAAAAACAAAACTAATCTTAAAAAGCAACTATTGAAAATTAATCTGATGCTCGCTAATGACTTGCTACAGGTTGGAGTTTCCTGGAGTTTTAGTGAGAAGTCGTGACCAGTGAGGTCCATCCAGAGGCCATGTGTGAGGATGGATGTCCCACCGAACAAAACTGGTTGGGGTCGCGCTAAATCACGAATTGGTAGAAGTTAGAATTCATGGAATGGTCATTGAATCGGGTCCCAGTGGCTGAATAGTATACAAGCCAGCTTGCCTTTTAACCGGAAGGTCCTAGGTTCGAACGCTGGCAGTGGGTGAGTACTACCGATGATTCCCAAATTTGGATGAAACAGATGTCCAGTACTCCCTGCAGGTTTTCAATGGTTCTCTAACTGATATCAATCCGTAGTCAAACTCGCAAAAGCCTATCGATTCCTTACAAATCAACTATAGAAAAAAATAACTATTTTACATATTACGCAACTATTTTCTAGTTCTATGTAATTTTGTTTCTATGCTTCTTGTGATTTATGTATTCACACCTTCAAACTTTATTATGCAGTTGAAAATTATAATCTCCTTTTATCTTTCTTCCTTACTGTGTAGAATTCAATAACAATACTTGTAAGCACGCAGACTTATGTGTACAAATGAGATTGTACAGCTGTGTTTGAGGATGATATAGCCAAAAATCATGTCTCTGCAGAGATTCTTGTTCTTTTCTTTTTCCAATTTTATGAATTATTATTTTTTTATTTTATTTAATTAACTATCTGCTTATTATATTTTTCTGCCAAAATACTCCTTTTACACAGGTTTATTAAAACAGAGAATAAACAAAAAAGGGTATTGTTTTAATACAAAATACTGTACGACTACTATTTCAACTAATAAAGTAGTAAAAGCCACACTTTCACTTATCTCCCTCTGTGTGTGTCTAGTTGACTACATACAACCAAACAATCAAAATGATGGACCTAATATATATATATTCACTACAAAATGGCGAATATAGGCTGGTTTTATTTAGTCTAACTTTTTGGCGGCAACAATATTCTCTGAAACGCAGACTGAAATCACTCCTCTTTAGTGTTTATAAAATACATAGGGAAAAAAAGATATATATTGTCTAGCATTAAGAGGGATGAATATTCTTTTTTTCAAAATTTAATGCTGCTACAGTCTAAATTTCTTCAAGATATTACAATCTGTTAGGCATTTCCTTCTTCTTCCTTTTTTAATATATACCTTATCGTGCAAGATTAGAATAGTTGATTGAGAACACTAGTGTCTTGTTTTTACTCTAAAGTTATGTGTGTATCTTGACTGGTGATGGGGGAATGAGGGATTATATGAAACATGGATATTAGAAGTAGGATATGATGAGTCAGATTTCGTGCAAGACAACTTGTCGTAGTGCCAGGACGTTGTTGAAAAGAAGAAAAAGAAAAAAACACGCATCAGACGGCAACTATTCCACATAGAACATACATAGTAATAAGATTCAAAAAATAATCCTTGGAGTAAAATTAAAGAAGTTTAATTATTGTTTTGCGCAATGGTAATTACAAGAAATCCTGATTTCATAAGAGAAAGATGAATTTCTCAATCCTAGTTGAATTGGTAGAAGCTGGAATTCATCGACAATTGAATTGAGTCCCAGTGGCTTAGTGGTCTACGAGCTCGCTCTCCTTGTGACCAAAAGGTCCTGGTTTTGAACCCTGGCGATGTCTGCGTACTGATAAGAAGTCCCAAACTAGGCTGACGAAACAGCTGTCTAGTACTCCCTGGCCGGTTTTCCAATGGTTCTCTAACCGATGTCAACTCATGATGAAATCCTGTAACCAATTAGTCTAATCCCTACAAGTCAATACTTGAAAAATCAAATATGTGTCCAGCAATAGTTACTGTGTCTGCGCATCAGTATGCTGATGTATACTGAGACAACGAAACAGCCGCACCAGAGGCATGTATACAGAATAACTAGAGACCACTGAGTTAAAAGAAATAAATCCAAAGTTTTCATACAACTTCAGCCCATTTCTGTGTGAAGTAATTCATCTTGATGAGTTCTACACTCGCAGTGTGTCATCTAATCGTTTCAAATATTTCTCCTGTAAATATCTGAATCACATCTCCTCAAATTTAAAGAATCACTCACTTAAGAAAATACACATAATCTGTTTTAATTTAATTTTATACTTCCCTTTGATTGACCGAGCGGTCTCCGTTGATATGTCAGTTCCTAGTACAGACACGTCAGCGATGTCCCAGGATGAACATATTGTTATCACGTGAATGCTGACTAGCATTGGAATCCAAGACGAGTATTTCATCCTGTCTGAAACTCGTCATCAGGATGTACCGGCATTCCCGGAGATTGATGTCGTTTGGAACGACAGTCACTTGGCTCAAGTCTCAGCCAGAATGTCATCACACACTTGGAATGCAGGTACATCCAGATGAAACGTCCCCAGTAGAACCAAATGCTCATCCTAGATTCTACTATTAGTTACTATCCACTATATTGACAAAATCCAAAGAAGGTCATGTAGATAAAACATCCGTACGCATCTGATAAATTATTTATATCAATATGTACATTCTCTTTAAACGTTTTATGCATTTCAGTGACGGGAAAAAGTTTTTCATTTGGTCTTTACAACTCAGGATAAATTGTTCTTGACACTCCTACAGCGTGAAGGCTGCTAATGGTAACCAGTCATCCAGTGTAAAGTAAGTAGATTCAAAGTCGTTAACATTCACGTTCTCTGCTTTAGACAGTGGAATGGTTCACAGTGAAATAAATGCATGAAGCAATAAAGTGAGGCCAGCCAAGATTAATAAAATTGCATGGAGGATTTCATCATGAGCTAACATCAGTTAGAGAACCACTGGAAAACCTGGGAGTACTGGACAGCTGTTTCGTTCTAGTTTGGGACTCTACAGCAGTACGCATCCACTAGGATTCAAACCCGGGAGCTTCTGATGCCCACTAGTGACTGGCCCTATTCAGGCAGTGACCTGGGGTTCTAGTGGGAAGCCGTGACCAGTAGGGTACAGCAGGCTGAAGATGAGGCAGTAACTCATCGAAGAAGATATTGCGAAATGGACGCGCTATGTCGTGAATTGGCAAGTTGGAATTCAAGGACTATGGGATCGGGTCCCAGTGGCTCAACGGTCTACAAGCTCGCTTTGTAACCACAAGGCCCCGGGTCCGAATCCCAGTGGGTGCATACTGATGAAGAGTACCAAACTGGGACGAAACAGCTGTCCAGTACTCCCAGGTTTTCCAGTGGTTCTCTAACTGATGTCAGCTCATGATGAAATCCTTCATGCAATCAAACAAAACCGATACTTGAAAATTATTAAAATTCATATTATCAACTTTCTTATTCAATAGATTACATATCATGCTAATAAAATTAACTCGAAGGATTAGAGTGACAGTGATCGTAGCTGAAAGCAGCTATATCTGATTGAATGTATCTTCATGACTGCAATCTAAGACATTAAAACAATGTTATAATTATATACATACTTACCGATACGATGTAAATGGAATCATAAGATCTATTGAAGGCAGTTCAAGAACTTCTCGGATTAAATTTGGAATACGTGGAGAAACCGTAGAATTCATATCCAGTTTATTCATAGAAAAATCATTGAAAGATTGAAACACTGAACCAGTATATGAAAGCGATTCTGGATTCAACAAAATCACCGATGATTCAGTCGACTGATTCAATTCCTCGGAAGGTATGCATGTCTCAGATTCCAAATGCATTGATTTCAGTAACTTGATAAGATTTTGTGGAGAAGCCCACCGTAAACGCAAATGCAACGATAGATTAGAGAATGTTTTGAAACGTCTTACTGAACCACTAGTAGGACTAAATGCCGTTGAAAGAGTCAACGAAATATTTGAAAAGCTTAAACTTGAAATATCCTGATTCCCTGAAGCGTTATTGTTTACTGATGACGAGGTGACGCTTGTGGGAGAGGTGGATGCACATGAAAGTCGACAGATAGCAGCAACTGTTTGACGATGAATGTCGTGAACATAACGAAATAATTCGTCATCGTTGATACGATCAGGTTCCTGAAAAGATTAATTTAATTATGCAAGCATTTATTGATTACAGTGTATTTTTTGAGTTCTAGTATCTTTAAAATCGTTAAGCACAAATCTGAGGTATACTTACACAGTTCATGTAATTATTTTAAAAATTAGTAATCTGAAAAATATATGTTTACGAAGATATAAATGAATAGCATCGAAACACTTGTGTAAACGTGATCTAAAAGAAAACATTTTAGTACATTTTTAGCACCAATGCATGCAACAAGAAGCACTTTCAACAATTTACTGTAGACATTCATCCAAAAACAGCTTTTGCTGACTTGAAACTGAATACTAGAAAATAAGAAGGGATAAGCAACAAAGAATTCAAGCAATGAACCAGTCAAGAATAACCTATCGTCCAGGAAATATACAGGAGGAAATGGAGATGAGTCGGGCACGCGCTGAGAAAATCACTGAGTGATATTGTGGTGAGAGATGGCTGTTAGCCAAAGTGGTAGACAATAATTGACGTCAACTGTTTATGTTTCAGATATTAGTCATGTGAAAACAAGGTCAAAGATGGACAGCAGAATTTGCGTAGGCGGATACAATTAGCAGATAGATGATCTGAAACTCAAGAGACAGCAACAAAGAGATGAAAGATTAACTTTTAGTGAGAAACAACCAATCAAAAGACTGTATTTTCTACTAACAATAATCTACAATAATGTACATTAAAATCTATAAATATGTGTTGATTTTCCTCAATAAACGATCTGTTGCCTGGCCCTTGTCTTCTCTTGTTACATTTGGTGTCGCTGCCTACCGACAAATGGAAAGCCTATGCCCTGCAGTTTTTGATGGAGACGTATGGATCTTCGGGAAGGACTTCGAGGCTTCTTCGCAGTTGAGTGTCCTTCAAGATCTGTCAGCGATGAGGCTGCCAATTGGGACGCTGCTGGAAGGTCGGGAGAAAGCAGCATATGAAAGTGTGAGGCGACAGGGTCAGGCAAACATTTTCCAAAGTGGGAAGGACCACATATCGTCACGTTGAGATGGGGTTACGTAGACACAATCGCAATGGTAAACACAGAGAAACGGATGGACATCCGCAAGCACCGAGATTCCAGACAGCAAGACAAAAGAGAAAAGCCCCAAGAACCAAGAAGACCAAACCAACTTCAGTCGCAAGTCTTTGACGGGGGGACGAGTGTGGTGAGAGCTGGCTGCTAGCCAAAGTTGGTAGACAGTAATTGACGTCAATGTTTATGTCCCCAATATTGGTCGTGAGAAAATGAGAACAAAGGCTTTGCGTAGGCGGATACAGCTAGCTTATGGATGATCTGACACAGCCACAAAGAGATGCAAAGTCAACTTTCTGTTAGAAACCCAAACAATCAAAAGACTGTATTTTCTACTAACAATAATCTACAATAATGTACATTAAAATCTATAAATATGTGTTGACTTTCCTTAATAAACGATCTGTTGCCTGGCCCTTGTCTTCTCTTCTTACAATATCACGCGCCAGACAAAGCCTTCAAGTGAAATTCCGTTAAGTGTGGCTACGAAAGTGACATGAAACAGATAATGTGAAGAGGAGACTAGAGCATATAGGAAATTGTGAAGTCAGCTAAGAGGTATTGCAGTGAAATGAAAGGATGAAATGGAGGCATTGTTGAAGCCCTGTGTTTCAATCAGAACCCAAGATATTAATACTAAAGACAGAAAGTGTTAGTATTATGTTTATTTTGGTAAGTGTAAAATAACTTTAAACAGAAATTCTGAAGTGATTTAAAAATGCTCCGGTATTTAAATATTGACAAAAAGGAGGTAAAGAATAAACAAATGAATTCATGAGCTTTTCCTTAAACTAAGCGGAAGTTACTAATGTAATCACATGACGAAGAGTAATCCAGTAAGAAGATCAATGACATAAAAATGTTCACAATTGACACTTCATGTGTAAGGATTCTTATGAGTCAAAAACATGGTGATGACATACCTAAAGAAAACTGGCACTTAATCTTATTGATTACTTCATCAATATATGAAATGTGACTAGATCACATGTTTTCCACTAAGAAAAAAGGCTAGTTTATTGAGCTGTTATGAAGATGAATTGTAGTCTAACATTCTTGTATTTATAATAATAGAGCTTGCTCAAATAAGTATTATTGTTGTTTTGAGCTGTAGTTACTCAAGCGATATAAAACTATTAGCTTTCGCACATCTTAGGTATTACCCACTGGGTGTTATTATTATCTGTGACTCCACAGAGGAGTTTCTGTGAAAAAATTAGCCGCCCATGCTTAGCGTTCCAAAAAAACTACTCTACATGAACCTTCAATTCAATGGAGATATATCTGCGGAAGCACTAAAAAATCGACTGTCGCGCTCACTTAAGAAGAGCTTCTTCGCAGCCGAACTACGACTAACCTTCTCCACAAAACCTATGATTCATGTGAAGGTGAAGGATAAGCTACCGCTGCTGGCATCATCAATGTGTATTTATCAAGTCACTTGCTCGTGTGGAGCCACGTATGTCGGCCGTACGCAGCGCTCGCTTTCCAAACGTATCACCGAACACTTACCAACATGATTTTACAAAGGAGAAAATCAATGTCTCCGCAGTTCCATCTTAGAACATCTGAAAGAATCCGGACATCAAGCTACACCGCAAACAAACTTCAAAGTTGTCTACAGAGCACGAAGTAGTTTTCCTAAAAGTGTACGAATCAAACTTCTCCAAACTGCGGAAGCAATGGCGATTCAATTGCTAAGTCCTGAACACTGCATACAAAAGAAGTTCGTTCAGTCAATACACTTGCAAGGGGCGTAATCTATCTTAATACCCGACAGGTAAATTCTATTTCTTTCCGCCCCTTGATTAGTATTGTTTTGTCATTTTAGTTGTAACATTTTACATTTTCAAATTTCCTGTTCTCTACCCCCACCCGATTTAATTTCTACACCTCATTACCATTGCTACTGACTTGACCAGCGTTCAACTTCTAGTCATCTATGTTAATTCATCCAATTTATTTGCTAGATTTTAGTCCTAATTTAAATGGCACTATCCTCTACCCCACCTCTATTTAGTCTCTACCTGTAATTACCTCTGTTGCTATCCTGACCTAAGTTGTAACATTTTAGTCAATTATATTACGTCATCTAACTTACTAACTCAATCTTATTTTAGTTGCTGTCTAGTTAACCTTGTTTCTATATTAGATCATTCTTGTATTACCTAATTAATTATCTTAACTTGACAAACCTCATGTACACGCACACACAAATTATACATAAATGCGATTGTACAGCTATGTGAATGAATTCGCCGAAAAGAGTCTCTTTGCTGAACGTCTTCTCTTTTTCTGAAAAAGGCTTACACTCACTATCTTTTCTAAGGTAGACGTAAGGTAGACGCTGAATTTCTTCTCTTGTTCATATGACTCAATGGGGATTTTCAAGCTACTTAAATGTATATAATTGTAGAACCAGAAGAGGGAATTATCGAAAAGGATCAATTATTTTGTGTTTTATAGATGTCTGAATGACTATTTTTGCTATATTAGAACAGATGAAACTGAAAACATAAATCCGCATAGTTTTGAGCATATTTACAAATACAAAATGTATGAATTCGAATTTAAACGTAAATTATTCCAGCAGTTAAATAAACAGTTAGTATCACCAGGGTATAAATGGAACTGTAAATCGTGGTTCCCATACTGACGGCCTGCTTAAACCACTGAGCTACCTATATCTCCATCGAAAATAATTCATACAGTTTTCTCTATTTCTCGATGTTTTATTCTTCTAATTATTTATACGGTCCGCAACATGAACTCTCGCCAATTTTTAACTGACGTCCGACCTACCCTTTTTCTCTTCAAGGGGGAAAATATCGTTGTGAATTGAGTTTGGTTCTAGATAGAACTACGTTGCCTCATACTTTATACTTTCAGAAAACACTTCCTATACGGGGAAAAATTACGCTGCGGATTCCGTGTTGTGTGCAAACATAATTTCAAGAATACAAAGCTGTTATCACGAAGGTCTCTGGAGTTTCCAGGAATTTTACCAGTAAACATTTTAAAGTGTTTATGAACCTTTAAGTAATTATATGGTAGCCAGTTAACACAATCAAAAGTCAACAGCTTTTTTAAATCACATAGCTTTCGCATTGACTACAACTATATACATGGAAAATTTACCTGCTTAAAGAAATTAGTAATTTTTAACTCAATAGGCAAAAACTCCGTTGGATCTAATTGTTCACTGACAGTTGGACACTTTGAGGTATTTCGAGCCTGACGTTTTTCATAATGTTCTGCTGCCATTTCTTTAATACGTTCATATTTTGCTTTTCTTCCATAACTTTCTTGACTGTTTGGAATCACTTTCGATGAGGCTGAATCACCAAGACTATTATCAGTATTATGCTCTATGTGATGATTGCGTAAACCTGGTTCCACTGATCGACTGCGTGTACTACCAGTGGTATTTTGTCTGCGCAAATCAGAATTAGTGGCTAGTTGTGTGTATGTGTGTATGGAGGAAAATGAAGGGGAGAGAGAGAATGAAATGGTGACGTTATTACTAAATATGAACACAAGAAGTAAACATTAGCTCATCATACAATAACAAACAAAAAACAAAGCCATGTGACGTATTTGAAAAAAGAGGACGCTTCATAGAAAAAAACACTGGCAAGTTACATACAGTTGCTACTTTACGAAAATATGATTCATTACTGCTCATATTCTTTAAATAAACAGAAAAACGCATGACTTATTTGAGTGCATAATGCTATGGGGAGGCTTATGTTTACGGTCAACGTTGAAATCGATTCTTGGAGGTTGAACATGCAACTAAAAACTTCAGTGGATTCATACTGAGAAGTGAAAAGACACTTAATTGAGGAAAAATTAACAATAATCGTTTGGTGAGAGTCAGTAGTTAGTTTCATCAAGAAAACATACGACTCAGCAAGCGGTTAGCTTGAATCTCTATTATTATTATTACTGTTCCCTTGGGTTCCTTGTGGAACATAGGGCTTCAACTGCACGTCTCCACTTGCTTCTGTCTTCTGCTGTACTTTTCACCTGCGTCCATGTTAATCCATACTGTTTCAACTCCTCTTCACAGGATCTCCTCCATGTCACACTCGCCAATTCCCTTTCGAGTTCCACTCGAACGTTGGCCTGACGCGCGTTGTCACCCGGCGGCCTCCTCAGCGAGTGTCCAATCCATCTCCACTTTCTCTTGCATATTTGTTGGGCGATTGGTTCTTGTTTTGTTTGTTCCCATAGTTTCTTGTTGGTGATTCTTTCCGGCCATCTGATCTTGAGTATAGAGCGAAGACAGTTGTTGTTGATAAAGGTCTGCAACAGGCTGTTGGAAATATTCTTTGTGACCCGCCAAGAAGAACTGACTTGACGTTTGTATTGAAAATCCTTCACAGTTGAATCTCTAAGCTACCTGAATTTCTATCTAACACAATGCATCAATTTTTCTCAACTTTCATTGTCTTCATCATTCACTTATGTCATTGGGTCATAAAATGTACTTGCACGGATTTTGTGAATTGGCTTTCAATCTTCCACTGTGTGTGTATCCAATAGAAGAAAGAAAATTATTACGAGGAATTGGTTTGAGCTACAGATGACATCATGTGATGTACAATGGATTACTGTTTTATTCGGAGATCTTGAACGAGGAGAAAATATCGTTCTGTAAATTATGCTGAGAATTCTATATAAAGCTAGAACTACAGTTTTAGCAGAATAAAATGGTGCCATCTTTTATTTCGTTGCCTTCTCGTCAGCTGCTTACAGGGCAAAGAAATTATTAAATGTATCTACAAAAACAATTTTAACATACTTGCACAGAGTTCATTTTAAACAGAAATCAATCGATCAATATGCACATACACTAATTATATATATATGCAATATTGAACACAATTCCGATCAATAATAATCATACAAAATGAAAACTTTTCAGCATCTCGCATTCGGATGAAAAATATCTAGTTACCAGGGCAAAGAAAGACTGATAACCGCTTCTTTCTGAACGCATAAATCAGGTTACAGGCGCTTGATGGAAATGGCTTCAGCAAACTTAAGGAGAATTGGGCTCTCTTGCTTATTGATAATTTTGAGCGACTTTTTGACGTCCACCTCATGACCCTTGTTGAGGAGATGCCTGGCGATGGCACTGTTTAAAGCATTTGTTCCCTTTAGACGTAAGCTTTTTGGTACATGTTCAGAAAATCGTAGATATGCCCTTCTTGCTGTTCTTCCAATGTAAACGCTCCCCCACATACATGTAAATTTGTATACACAGTCGAAGTTAACATGAGAAGGATATCTATCGATTTTTGATTGCATCAAAAAGCAAGTTGTTCGATAGACGGGAACAAGCTTAGCTGCAGGATAGTGATGTGCTCAGCCTTCTGTTGATTAGTGCTGCAATGTTTTCAGTTTTATAATCAAGCTCAAAGTAGATTGGCTTTTTTCCTACTGTGATTTGTTTTTCATTTGTGACTTCAGATCTTCCATACTTGTTGATGAACCTTTGAGGGTACCCACTGCTCTTCAATGTCTTTTCAAGAAACTCAAATTCTTCCTCTAATTTCTCTATAGAGCATATTCTCCTCGGTCTATAGTACAGAGTCCCTTTGGGTTGAATCTTGATGTCATCATCCTGGATGAAATTAGTTCCCACTACATTAGGGCTTTGGCTGCCTCTGGTGACATCATGATAGCCATTCACTGCCTCAGTGTGATGATAGTTGTCGTCTTGGTGACCATACTGGAGTAGATAACTGACTCCATTCTTTACCCGGGCTTGTGACCAACTAGGAAACCAGCGAGCTGGTAAACCAGGTGAGGTTCACTCGGTGATAGCCCACAGATATTTTAAATGCAATAAAATACCATGATTTACCAATTTGCCATCCATTAATCTTTTATCATCCACAGTGGTTAGAAGTTTGTATAACTACAAAGGATATTTCACTGTAGAAAAAAACAAACAAAAGTATTCATATAATTCATATTTACCTATCTTAGATTTTGTATGATTGCTACCATCGTTTTCCATTCGTAGAAATTTATTACGTGCTTCAAGCATATATGGTGTTAAGTCAACAGCTGTCCAAACTAATGGCATTCGATAACGTCCTAAACGCTGGCAACACCAGTTGATTGTACTTTTAAGTTTATCTTTATTCTACACAATAAAAGGGGTAGACAAGAAGAAAAGAAAACAAACCCATTCGGTTAATTTTAAAGTTATTTCAAGCCATCTGGTTTTTAAAAAGCTGCTAGTCTATAGAGAATTCTGAAGACAAATCAATAAATATAAAATTAAATTAATAGTAAGCTAAAAGAATAGTGAGAATAACAAGAATTTCATTGGTATAATGTAAATGAATGTTGACTTTTGTTTGAAACTGTAACGCCTTACTTACTACTACTATTACTTCTACTAAATTTGTCCTAAACAGCAGAATTAAGTAACAAAGTGGATAAACACTTTTTGTTCACGAAGTGGAGTAAATTTATTTTTAAAACTATACACCCAGATGTTGAAAACTTTGAAAGTCTTTTCAATGATAGTGTAACATATGTGAACTAACAGCTTCTAACTGATTTGGATAGCAAGCAATATGTTCTTCGAAAAGCAGTCAAAACTCTAGTCTTTCTAAAGAGAATATATGCAAAAAGGTGTCCTTTAATGCATACTCTACAGATGTAAAACGGAACTGTATATTAGGCGAACAACATATGGGGTGTATAAAAGTGCTAGCCATCTACTTATTAATCCATTATATATATATAAATATATATATATATATATATATATATGGTAAGAGCGAATAAGGCTTTATACCTATCTGCACGTCTCTCCCCTTTTAATGTATGCCATAAATCCAAATAAAGTATATGCATCTCATAGAGAGTAGAGATACCTGATACAGCAAAATATTATGACTAAGAAAGAAATCTATTCTTGAGCTAATAAAAACTCGGCAAAAATAGAGGTTCCAGTTAAAAAAACACAACAACAACTGCAAAGTGTTATCTCTTCAGTTCTACGCTGTTATAGATTGCATTCATGAAACTCCACTGTGCACAACAAAGTCAAAATAAACGGAAGTACATAAAAGGGGATAAGTAGTGTATCCTTAGAACATAACTCAATTACCTGACATAATGACGTAACTAAGTATGACACTGAAAGATAAAGTTACCAGTTGTCAGAGTACATTGTGAACGGAAGCCTTGTATACGAAGTTGGATCTTTCTAGGTATTAAGAATAAGTGATCAAGAACCTCAAGTGAGACGTATATATTGGTATCAGTGCATTTCTCACTCGTCATCCCAGAAAGCGAGAAAACCATTTCATCTTATAACTTCACTTTCACGACTCATTTAAATAGAAAATACATTGCACTGATCAAGGCACTCTACTCGGACTCATGCAGCCAGCCAGGTGAGAGCTAACGGCCAGTTGTCATCTGAACTGGTGACAACTAGTGATGTCCCACAGGGATGCCTACTATCCCCATTTCTATTCAATTTCATCATAGATGTACTAATGGACTTAACCCTAACTGCTGACTTTAGAGACTCAGGGATTGACTTGTTACCAGGGAATAATCTGGTTGATTTAGAATATGTAGATGATACAGTCCTTCTAGGCGAAGACGCTGACAAAATCCAGAATCTTCTGAAGGCCTTGAGCTGCAATCTACGAATGTTCGGCATGCGATTCACTCCCGCCAAATGTAAGATGATGTTACAGGATTGGACTACACTGACTCCAAGTTTAGAAATAGGGAGTGAAGTGGTAGAGCACATTGACCAATTTACTTATTTGGGAAGTTGCATCAGCCAACGCCAACGGTTTGATCACTGACAAAATCTCAGCACGGATACAGAGGGCTAGTTTCGCATATGCCAGTTTACACCATTTCTGGCGTGGACGTGATATCCGGCTGGCTATCGACCAAAGAGCAGGTGTACTGCTCAGCAGTCCTCTCCGTCCTCCTTTATGGCAGTGAAACATGGCCACTGAGAGTGGAAGACATGTAAAGGCTAGCTGTTTTTGATCACAGGTGCCTGCGTTCCATCTCCCGTGTGAAGTAGTATAATAGGGTAAGCAATATTGAGGATAGGCATCGGTCGAGTGCTAGGTAAGGAGGGGAAACCAATCGACAAGACCTTAAAGTTACATCGACTGAGATGGTTAGGACATGTGTTACGTATGCCCAATCATCGCCTTCGTCGACAATGGGCAATGGTAGCTGACTGTCATAGGATCAGGTTGGAAAAGAATAGCCAGCGGTGGTCGAAACAAAACATGGCTTCATCAGTCAATGAAATCCACAACAGTTAGTTTAAGCCACATAGGAAGATGTAGACCTCCTGGTTGGGGTCCTCGGGATGATAGAAACCAATGGCTGAAGACAACTGGTGATATGACTCAAAATCCTCGTTGTCGATGGCGCAGATGCATCCACTCCTTGTCACTAGTAATACCCAGTGAGACTATTTTGTTCTTCGATATTACTATTCTTTTTGTTTCATATCCCTGTCTACTGTCTCTATTTTGCATCTCTTCTACTTTCTTCTCTTGCTTTGTGTGCTACATGCAGTGTGGTGACTCGAACTGCTGCACATCGTGCAAAGTTCTAAGTTGAAAACAGACAGACTCATTTAAATGTTACCCATACCTTTATTTGCTGTCTAAATTTTTAGAATCTGAAAGAAAGCAATTTCAAAAAGGAAAAAATTGCATATAGAACGACTCATTATACTGTTATTATTCTCATAGATTCCGAGTAATACATAAAGCTTCGACAGTATACGTTTAATTCATCCTGTTCTCTGAAGTCCTCTTCAGCTGCCCCCACGATTGCCTATAAGCTCTTACCTCCTCCTCACACAATCTGTTCCATGTCACCCTTGGACGGCCAACATTTCTTTTTCCGGGAGCTCAAAGCGTGATGTCACTCAGCTGTCTCCTTAGAATATATCCAATCCGTATCCATTTCCTTCGGTGTATTTGTTGGGAAGTAAGTTCTTGGTTGGTACGCGGCCTGTCGAAATTCCACACTCCTTATCTTTACCGACCATCTGATCTTCAGTGTCTAGCCAGCTATAGAAGCTGTTGATTATTGCCTGCAGTACACAATTAGAAATGGTTTTCGTGACGCACCAAGTCTTCAAAAGATATAGAAGCACTGATTTAACATAAGCGTTGAAAGGTTAAATCTTTTTCTTTATGCCAACAGCAACAGATTTCACAACAGACTGATTTCACAGTGACAAAAGTCCGTCTTGCTTTCCTACAGGCGCAGAATTCAAATCTAAACTACCTTTTTTAGGTGACACTTGATAGAAAAAAGTGTTAACACAAGATGAAGAAAAACAAATTAAAACAGCAAAGCAACTGCAAAGAAGGTTGTTTATTTTGCCTAGTATAGATATCTACATATTTCTGCCAAATTTCTAACCACCTGACTGACTTCTATGGGTGGTTAACAACGTGGAATGCACTGAGTGACTGGACAGTTAACATTTCACAGAATCACTACAATACATACACTCAAAAGTAGTATGTTTATGCACTACAAATTGTCTCCAGACATCAAAAACTTCACACCAGTTTTTTTTATTTTTAAAAAACCCAGTAAATAACGAATACATCTGTTATTTGTTTTTATGATTCATTTAATCGGTGCAAAATATTCCCGCTTTCTTGCGTTTTTTCCTGCCGTTTCCTAATAAACATAATCGATCTAACTAAGTAGTTAAATATAAGAGTGAATGCTTTTCTTTTAAAAGGTCATCTACGGATTCATAAGATAAACTAACATTAATTTCTATAAGGCATAATGTTTTCGTACATAGGTGACAAAATGAACGAAAATATTAACATATGTTAAATTTGCATAGTAGCAATAACAGAAGTCGAAAGAGGATTACTCATTTAATGCTTTTGTACAATCAGTTAATTGAAATTGAAGAAGAAATAACAGTTTAAAAGGCATAAGCCATGGGCCTAAGACCTGGACGATTATGTGGTTACTTAATACCTTGATAGTCTCAAGTTCACTACTTGGTAGGGTCATGGATGTACATTTCTAAACAGTCTCATCCAAGAATGAAACAATCGTCACTCAGCATCAACAACAAAATTCGGATTTTCAATACAAACGTCAATCAGGTCAATTCTTCTATACGGATCAGAAACTTGGCGGGTCACAAAGAATATTTTCAACAGCCTGTTGCAGGTAGACCTTTATCAACAACTGTCTTCGTTCTATAATGAAAATCAGATGGCCGGCCGGAAAGAATCACCAACAATAAACTATGGGAACAAACAAAACAAGAACCAATCGCTCAACAAATATGCAGGAGAAAGTGGAGATGGATTAGACGCTCGCTGAGTAGGCCGCTAGATGATATCGCGCGTTGGGCCAATGCTCGAGTAGAACCCGAAAGGGAAGCGGCGAGTGGTTCGTCGGTGCAAGGGTGACATGGAGGAGATCGTGTGAAGAGGAACTGAAACAGTATGGATTAACATGGACGCAGGTGAAAAGTACAGGAGAAGACAGAAGCAAGTGGAGACGTGCAGTTGAAGTCCTGTGTTCCACTAGGAACCCAAGGGAACAATAAATAAAATAATAAAAGTATTTTGATTTTTACAAGTCCCCTAAGGGATTTCAGTGGGTAACACAATCATGACAGAAACATATCACTAGACAATCTCAAGTGTCATTTCTTAACAGTGAGTATTTTCGGCTTTTATGGAGACCAAGGTATAAGCGCTTACCAGACACATACATTTTCTATAAAACTCTGGCGTTAACTGTCTTTAGTTGAATCTTTCACATACCTTCATTGCTTAGACGCTTGAAGCCTAAGTGAAAATGAAAACTGTCTGTTCCCATTTCACCTCAAGAATAAAACTAGTGTGTTGTTTCAATGCATCATGCCACACGCTACTGATTGACTTACATGAGTAGTTGAATGCTACTCACATCAACCAAAACTGACTGAAACAGCGAAAGGTGGATCTGGTTAGCAGGTGGGTGGCATCCAGCATCACGTGCTGTGATCTTGTAAATTTGATCGAACTGGGTGGTTTGGTACTGGTGAAAACTGTGTAAATATATTCAAACGTTTTAGTCTGAATTCTTTTGTAAAGCAAGAACAACAACAATAAAGAAGCATTTAAAATGTATCTTTCTTACTTTTTCATCCTTATTATAGCCCTCCATGATATCGTTTATGTCACCCTGCTGCAACACTTTCTCCACCTGAAATGATAAAATATTCAGTGCAAATAAATTATCACTTGAAATTTAGTGAAAGATAAACTATGAATAACAAATCAAGTACATGTAGAACATACTTTTTATCTGTCACTTAGTTTCATTTTATCAAAGATAAACAAAATCCCTTTCTAGATGAAAACTTAAAAACTGGGCATTAATCTTTGAGTTATACAGAGAAAATTCCCATTCAGTAAATTGTTAGGTTCACAGAACTAGAGTAATCTGCTTTAATGACTGTTTTAAAGAAGAATTCAAGATTATTGGGAAATTACCCAGTAAAACTGGATATCCACGGAAGTTCATTGATAAAAATGGGAAGTTAACGTCAAAAGCTTTGAATAAGGCCTTGTATTTAAAAATTACAGTTCCTTTATGATGGCATCTGTAAGATAATAACACAATGCTCAAAGAGTGCAGCGAAAAGAACATTCAATATGGAAGAATTTCATTGTCTCTTCACTCCACTCCAATTTCACTTTGGGGGTACTAACCACAGAAACCTAATTTAGCCTCTTCCATGTGTCTACCAGTTTGAATGATCCTGTAGAGACAATTACGTTGGGCGTACGATTAGGCACGTTCATCATCTGATTTCTGAACATCATCCTGCGCTGTTGAGCAAGAGACAAAGGACGTTTATTCATACCTCAGTTGTAGCTCATCTTGTAGACACTGAACATAAAATCGATGTCAATCAAGTATCTGATCTTAATTTCGCCTTACGAATTCGTCTTTTACAACATGGCCGAGACTGTCAGAATTCACCTGGAGAAGCCAAACTTATGTGCTCAGAATGAGTTCGTACAAACGCTTTATTTACCTCGGTCATTAATACTTTATTGTAAAAATCTGACGATTTCAACTTCTCTCTAAGCCTTTTACAAGCTATTAATGTCGTTTTAATTACCCTTAATTGTTACAGAAACTTTCTGCTTCATTTTAATTGATATTCAATTTAGTATTGTATTCATGTTTGCATATGAACACTTAGTTAGAGAACGATTGGAAAACCTAGGAGTATTGGACAGCTGTTTCGTCCTGGTTCGGGACTCTTCGTCAGTATGCTGTCCAGTACTCCCAAGTTTTCCAATGGTTCTTTAACTGATGTCAGCTCATGATGAAATCCTCCAAACAATCAAAGTTAATTCCTACAAAAACCAATACTTGAAAATATCATCACTTACACAAGCTGTATTTCTGTTGATCTTAACAACTCGATTTTGTTTTAAAAAGTATCACTATTGTTCACCACTACTTACGTGGTTAGGGTTTGATTCCCAGCCGGTGCACTCCTAAACCTCACTTAACGCGTAGTAAGCCCAGGAAAGAAGGTAGGTTAGACATGAGGCTAGCAACCCCGTTTCCTAAAAAGAAACACCACTTATATTGAAACTATAAAGCTGAAAGTTAAAGCCTTACGCTCCACTCAGAAGGCAAAGAAAGGAATCGAAAAATATCATCAGTGGCTGTTCTTCAAATATTATTATGTAAACATAACTGTGGTCCAGTGATGTAGTGGCGATCACATTCGCCTCACACGCGAAAGGTCCCCGGTTCGAACCCGGGCTGGACCAGGATGACCTGTCTGGTGGTTTTGTGCGTCGGTGGCATAGCGGTTAGGACACTCGCCGACCATGCAACATGGTTCGGGGTTCGATCCCCGGCCACCGACGCACTCCTTTACCTCGCTAAGCCAGAAATAATTCTGCTAAAGAGGAAAGGTTGGGTATGAGGCTAGCAACCCCATCCTGTAAAAATAAACACTGCTACAGAAACTTCAAGCCACTAGCTTGAAGCCCTATGTTCCACTGGGGAACGTGAAGAAGAAAAAGAAACTTTAGTAGCCAGATGAGAAAGTTGTCGAAAAAAATATTTTTCCAAGGATGAACACAGATTAACATCATCTGCAGAACCATTGAAAGCCAGAGAGTACTCGAATGTCCTGCGTGAGAAACCCGGCGGATGCGTACTGCCAATGAGTCCCAAACCAAGTCGAGACAAGTGTCTAATACTCCCTGGTCTTAAATGGTTCTCTAACTGAAATCAATCCATGACCAAACTTGAAAAACAAATCAAATTTTTATAAAATAATTCTTGAAAATAATATTATTGGTCAATCTTTCGTCTTTTGCCTTCTAGCTGACAATGAAAGCCGATTCACAGAATGAGCATTCGAAGTAAAAGTAACTCATTTAGTAAAGTACTAAGCAGATTATTAATTTCAAACTAGCTACACTGAAAACATCTTTTGTTACATACAAAATCAGAAAACTCAGTATGCTTCCTATAATTTGCTAACCTCATACCTAACTTCATGTTAGAATACAACTTTTGAAGTATTGGTTTTTGCTCTTAACCACAGACACAGTCACAGATATCTTTTGTAGGCAACAAAGTATCCATGCATACTGTTTGTGCATTTTTTAAAATAACTATTTTAAAATACAAATAATCATATTTTTAATATGTTTAAGAAATTTGAATTTCGTCCCACGAATTAATCAATTAAGTATCACTATTTTATTTAAACAAAAGTTTGATAAACTGTATTTAGTATTTAAGAAGTTTGTATGTGAAACATTGTCTGATATGCAGTGCAGCTGAACAGAGATGATGACATACTTGGAAGGTAATTATGAGTTGGAAAGGACAGGCCTATTAGATCGTTTCTTTTTTCACAAATAAACTAGAAGGCCATAGCATAAGTGACATGTAAGGGAGTAAGTGGACACTATCAAAACAGTTATACATCGAACAAAAAGAGGCTGTCCAGTATATAGTGATTTTCAGTAGCCAGCAATAATCCGTAATGTGAAGCACTCTAAATACACCTGGATATTATCAGCACATATATATTTAAAACTTAATGATTGACATTTTCAGGCTAGAACACGTTTCAATAATGAACGATAGAAAGAAAAAACAATAACAATTAGTGATGGAAAGAAAGTAAAATGTTTGTCTGATAAGATGAGAAGTAAGCAAATATAAAAAGCACAAGTTACTAATGTCAACATTCAGCCTAATGCCCAATGAACTTTAGTCTAGAAATAACGGAGAAGGTTAGTAGGTTTAGGTGAATGATGTATAATGTGATTCCGTTCTCTGAGCTGGCTAATTGAATCGTGAAGCTTTTATTGCCCTTTTAGACAACCTCTTCACCGAAAGCGTCAATATGAAATGAACTTAACTGTATCTCCTGGGTACCTTTGTCATGATGAGTTGTCAGTTTGCATCTAAGAAAAATAGATACTTCTAAAATTCCGTCAAAAAAATTTCCAAACCCGAATCCAACTACTAGTAAGGAACCATCCCCAGAAATCATAAGAAAATTCATTGTACCAATTTTTTATTATTCCTTGACATTCCCAGTGGAACATAGGGCTTCAAGCTAGTGGCTTGAAGTTTCCGTAGCAGTATTTATATTACAGGAGGATAGGATTGCTAGTCTCATGCCCAACCTTTCCTCTTCACCAGCATTATTTCTGGCTTAGCGAGGTAAAGGAGTGTGTCGGTGGCCGGGGATCGAACCCCGGGCCATGTGCATGGTCGGCGAGTGTCCTAACCACTGTGCCACCGACTCACCTTGTACCATATATGTGAAGAATATTTCTGAAATAACTGCCAGAAAACTAAAACCATTTAGAAGAATAGATATAGCACACAAATTAACACAATAGCTTCATTCAGTTATGTGCAAGCCAAAAGACGCAGAAGTAAGAAAGGACAAAACAAATTGCATGAAGTGTGACAAGTACTATGCCGGTCAAAATGGTCTTCGACTTCAGATCAAAATCCAAGAATATAAACTAGTTGTCAATATACGCGACAATGTACTCTTTCATATCGATGCATGTAGACAATGATGGACATAAATTTCATTTGGAAAATGTAGAAACTTTAAGACGTGGAAATACCAAAAATGTCAGGGGGATGTATCAGAGAATAACAGAGACATTACCCAAAATCAAATTCAGCAACTCATACAGAATAAGTCACATAACAAAAAAGTCAAATTCCAAGGCTCAGTTAAGTGTTTAACAAACCGAGCGATAGCACTAAGAAGAACAGAAAAATACCTAAACGACGAAATAAAACAGATAGAAGAGGCGTTATTGTTAAATAACTATCTATCCCATAAAATTCATTAGGAATATCAGAAAACGTTAAAAGCAAAATAAAAATAGTGGTGAAACTAATAATGATAACATAAATAAGAGAGAATATAAGACATCTATAGTAATACCACATAAGGAGGGGACATCTGAGACCCTACGTATGATTCTCAATAAAGCAGGAATTAGGGTGGCATTCAGATGAACCTACAGACTCACTCAGAGACAAGTGCTGTAGACTAAAGGACCCGGTAGACCCAAAAATGTAATTTACAAAATACCGTGCAATGACTGTGAGGTCAACTATATAGGTCATACTAGTAGATTGGGGGTAATCAGATTGTCGGAACACAAGAATTTAGTTAAGGTAAGAATGGTTGGCCCCAAGAAGTTAAGTAATTTGGAAAAAAGCTCAGCAATTGCACTGCATGCATTAGAACACAATAACACAATAGGGTGGGAGAGGTTTAAGATTCTAAGAAGTAATCTATGTAGGTGAAGAGAGAGATTGATTACTGAATCATGTCTGGTTCATCGAGTAAATCTACACCCAACACAACACATGCAGCAGAAATGTCTCAACGCAAATACCAGAGGTATGGAAGATATTATTACTACCAGTCAAATCAGAGGAGGATAATAAATAATTTCAAAATTCTATTTCAATTCACGTACATCAGAACATTCTAACAAGTTCCTTATTTTGACTATAAAAACACTCGTCTGATTTCCCATCTGATTGTATTTGATCAATAACACTCATTATTATTTCTGAATGTGCATTATCATATATTGATTTTTATTCAAATATCTGATCATCAGTTTCACCCATGTATATAAATAAAACAAGAAAGTTGTGTGGGTAAC